TTTCCACTTTATGATATACATGTATGTATTTTAAATACACCTATATTTTTAATACTTGGGAATTTGCTTAAAATTAATTACGCACCACCCGACATGGATTCATCACGGACTAGATACCTGTTTTAGGAACCATTGGTATACATTATTATTAAGTATTAGGTTAAGTCATATACTCCGTAGGTTTATAATAAGTAAAATATTAATAATTGCATGCAAGGTAATTCTTTTATCATGATTCATGATCATTTAGATTTACTATTACCATTATTGTGTAATCAATTTGATTTTACCCTTCCTTATAGAATACTCCGGTTTATATTCTAAACTTATTTAACTACGTACGTTACACTGGCCCTCATTTTCAGATTTCGGGTTTTTTAATATCCCCACCTAATAGTACGTCATTTATTTTTATTTGTTTGACATATTTCAGAATTTGTTCAGACTACTTCCTACGACCATTATAACCGAAATAATAAACGAGGGACTATAGAAACGATTGTATAGAAAGCTGGGACTATAGAAAGCGGTTATTATTTAAAGAAAAAGGTAATTCAAATAAAATATTCAACCAAAGTTAAATGCGAATTTGTATTATAGAATAATATTAATTATCGCTCAACATAATATAATTTCAATTTTACCGTTATATTCTGTTTGAGTTACACTAATTATATTACCTAAAACTAAAAATTAATTACGTTATTCAAAATCTAAACGTTATATACATTTTGCGCAGAACCGAATTCATTATAATCCTTTTGTTTTGTATGTTTTGTACTGTAAAACTAAAACGTAAATACTAAATAATATAATGTTTGAAAGCCGCCTGGTTAAAAAGGCGTAGGAATGACAAACAATAATTACTGAAATACGGTGGTACACACACACACATACAAAGAAAAGGAAATTAATTTTGTATATTTCGAAAATCCGAAGTCCGGAGAAACATTTCTACAACATTCCGCTCGTTATTTCGGTTAGAACGGTTGTATAAAGTCCAAACAAATATTCTAAAATACTTCAGACACAAAACGAATTTACGTAACAAACGGTAGGGGTTTTAGAAACCCAAAATCCCAAATCCAAAAAGGAAGATGTGGCAAAAAGTAGTGTTGCGAGCACACATGGCCAATAATTCTGTAGTATGTGTACAATATATTTGTCGAAATAAAAACCATCGTTGAAAATCGAATTTACTTAAAATCGCCCGAGAAAGACACGCTGATGGATCACGTGATGATAAAATATCGAATCACTTTGTATTATTTATGATTATAATTTACGATATTATATAATATTACCTATATACACAGGTATCTGCCGCAGTGTAATATAAATTATATTATTGCGTTTTACGAATGAAATTTATAATATTACGGCCCGATGTATATAATATTATTAATAACGTTAAAACGGGAAAATTGACTCGCACTGCAGAAAACCGTCAACGCGGGAGGATAGATAGGTATAGGTGGTTAGGATACGCGGCCGAAATTATTCATTTCCAAGCCTCCCAATTTAATTTAATATATTACACTCTGAATATTTGACAAGCTCTAATATAATAATTTATAATATATCATGATAGATGTGTTATTTTGTTTAGACCGCATAAATACATACATCGTGTAATGTAAATTTTAATATTTATTTATCGAGGTCAATATAATATTAATTAATTTTCAAAATATATATATATAGGTATTACACGAAGTCGTCGAAATGCGGATATTAAACAGGTATACAAATTTTCGACTACTCGCATTTCGGAAATAGCCTCGCGTTAACTCCAGACGCGGCTCCAGACTTAATATTGGTTCGAGGGGGGGGAGGGGAGATGGAGGGGCTAAACCGTTTACAACAATGAAACTTGCAGGTATATATTTGACCATAATACGAGAAAAAAAATCACCTTATACCACGTTGTTTGAGAGGGAAAGGGGTAATGACCCTATTGCCCCCCCCCCATATTCACTACTGATTATAGTATTAATATAACATGTATTACGGTCGATGAGTTCTGAATTATTGTTCTAGAAACAATGTCGGATCTAAAATGTTATAAATATAGACTCAATTTATAGTTTAATAATACATTTTGACGTTTTGTGAGAGTAGGAGAGAGTAGTGGAGCGTCATTTTCAACCCCGAAAATAAGGGTAACAGAAATGTAACACTATGAAGCCGTATATTTATTTAAATTTTCCAAAAATAAATTCCGAAAAAAACTTAATAATACTTTCTGAAAAATAGTGTCTTACTTCTTACGTTATGTTGATCACTCTGTATTTAGTTTTAATATTTAATAATTATTATTATCGAAAAAAACTTAATATTAATATTCAATGTTCAAGGTGAAAAAAATAAAACCGTACCTAAAAGTATTTTATAAAATGATTGTCCGGTATTAGCGCGGATTTTTTTTTTTTTTTTTGGTTCAAAAGCTCTCATACATCTATCTCGTAGAAGGTCCAATTTTGACGATTATTTTTTGTAAGAAAGAGGAAGAAGCCCGCATTGAACTCTGTTTTTCAATATTTTTATTTTAAACTTTATGATAATATATCTTTAGAAAAAAAAAATCTATTTTAAGATTATTTACCAACTTTTTATGTATCATTATTTGTAATCAAACAAAAAAATTATTATAATAAAAATATTAAATTGACAATGAACTATTCCTATTTTCATAAAGTTATATTCGTCCGTTCAAACGGCCATACCGAAGAAAGGTTCCCCTTAAATGGGCATCGATCAGTAGATTAATGGAATAATTTTATCATTTATACCTATAAATGGTCATTATAAAATGTTAAAAAAAAAAATTAAATTTTAAAAAATTAGAAAACTAATCGAAAATATCTAATTTTAATTTGGATAAGTTGTAATCTGTATAGAAAAAGCTTTTTTGAGGATGATTACGTCCTATCGATTTCCTTCCTTAACCTACGGATCGCTACAATATTTAAAATTTCTTCGTATTTCTATATATTTAAATTATGATATGTAATGTAAAACAGAATTACTTTGTAATCATCAATGGGATAGCCCATCCGGGTCTGGGAAGTATCGGCCACGACCCACCTTGGCACCTTGGCCTATACCTCTTATACATTAAAATTATGTAGTACAAATTATTAGATTATGTCGGGCTCTCATAATTATAGTTAGTGCCTAGTTTATTAATTTATTGTATAAAAACCGAAAAAAAAAAAAAAAACATTCAATCACATGAAATTTCGATCAATTTGACATTATTACATCTAAATGCAATGTAAAAACGTCAAAAAGTTCTGCCACACCCTGTATAGGTAGTGCTCGAATTGACCCAAAAAAATAAAATAAATGTCAAGACGAAATTTACGTCGAAAGAAAAATATTACTAGGTTGGTTTCTCGAACACAGCAGCATTTAAAGGGCGGGGTGTATGCCACGTTTTCCTCGGTTCGGACGACGACGGAGGAAACGGGAAAAACGTATTGTGGCCCGCCCTGTACGGTTTTCCCGGCAATTATTTTCTTCATTTTTTTTTCAAATTACGAAAACGAAAAGTCCGCTACGAGTTTAGTACCATTGTATTATTCATGTGATATAATCGCAACAAGTTATCAACGACCGCGGTGAAATTTTTGGAAATCTATAATTTATTGACACGGATTTTATTGACCACGAGCTAAAATTTGAAAGGAACGTCCGTAGGTCTGGAACGCTCTTTGGGGCGGGAGGACGTGCACCAGCGCTGCTTGTCGGTTTGTACGTGTAATTAGCCTAAAAGTCAATCGATACTTTGTCGTCCGTGGCCAAATTCAGCTTTAAATATTCAATTTTTTTTTCAACATGAATCGACCTGGTATCCGGTGAAGGAAGAGAAACTGACCTCATAAAATGTTTGCACCTCATTTTAAGATGGCGTAGATACCCGCAATAGATGAGTTACTCCCCCCCCCCCTCCCAGTTAAAAGATAGATAACCCAATCGACGTTATATTCAAAAATCAGCATTACACCCCGTCATTCGTTGTTTTCAAACGCTGGAAAAAGATCTGTCGGAGCTCAAGCTTTCCGCGTTTTTATCGTTCCGACATTTTATGGGATTCCGACTAATCAATCCACGTGCCATTAGCTCTACATTTTCCATGTATGTGACGCGATAGTCGGTGACGGATAGTAATAATATGTGTAATAAACGAAACGGACGTCGGGTTCATGTTTTGCTCGTGACAATAATAATATTTCGATTTTCAATGTCCGCGTATGGGCGTACAGCGAGGACGCCGTGACGTGAAAAAATCGGACAAAAGGGAAACGGATGTTCGGCCGCAAAACAATGACATCGGAATACCGACGGCACAGTGACGTCATACACTACGACCACGCGGCGGCCGCGGCTATCGTCAATTCCGTACACACGAAAACCTCTCCCTAACGTCCGAACGCGCACCACCGCGACGCGGACGCGTAAATTACTATTGTTATTATTATTATTATTATTATTATTTTTTTTTTTTTTTCCTCCTCGTATTATAAATCGTGGCACAATATTCGGTCCGCCGTTTTGGGAAGCCTGCTGCTGCGCGGGCCGCGTACGGGAAACTACCGGCGATCGTAACAATCATGGCTGAATAACTCAGTTATTAACTAATAACTAAGTCCTTTAGCCGTGGTAACGATACAAGTATCGTTTCGCAAATCGTAACGTGCTCGCCCCCAACCGTGCGGTTGTTACGATTCATATATTTTTTTTTCCATTTGTCATGGAAGTTCGGCGGCCCGGCGTTGCGCGACAACGCGAAAATAATATCGTACGCGGCCGATAACGGCACGCGAAAATAACCGCGCGAGAAGGGCCGCGACAACGGACTACGATAATTTTATCGAACGTATTATTATTATATTATACGCGGGTCTCGGGCGCTTGCGCGCGCGCCGGTTCTCGTCGTCGCCGCTGCCGGGAAAGGGAGACAGAAACACGAAAATCGTTATACGTCCGCAATCGATTATTATCGAGTTATTTTTCCATGAGCGTCACGTTGGCGGCCTGACGGGCGCGGCCATATTTCCAGAGAGAGACCATTCGTGTGTCGGCGACGGGAAACGACGTAACGTCCGTTCACAAACCGCATCGCATCCACCGCAACCCAATACACCCGTACCGCGTACGAGAGTCAACTCCGCCGCAGCCGTCGTCGCCGTCTCGCTCGCCGGTCCTTTTACGACGTTACAATATTTTAACCGTTTTTTTTCTTTCTCCGCCGTCTTCGTTTACTCGTAAACTATCGTCATCGTCGTAACTCAACATTATTTATATTTTTTAATAACACATTTTATTTCTTTCTCGCTGTCTCGCCCGTACCGCCGCAGCAGCAGCAGCAGCAGCCTTCGTCGTCAGATTATCACCTTAGCGCCGTCGTGTGTAGTACGCGCGCAGTCGAGTCGCACACAACCTCACGCGTTGTCGCCCGCCGCCGCCGTCGTCGTCTCGTCGTCGTTGCAGCCACCTCCGTAGGCCGCCCGTCCGTGTCTTGTGTCCGAGAAAATCGCCGTCACCGCCGCTATGTCCGAAAGGGAAGAAAACGTATACAAGGCGAAACTCGCCGAACAGGCCGAACGATACGACGGTGAGTAAACGTCCGTCCGTGTGTGTGCGCGGATCATTCGCGGCGCCCCCCGGGGGGCAACCGCGGTCCCCTCCCCCGCGATAACGGCGGTTGCAAAAACGTCGCGTAGGCTCCTACGCGTAATTACGCACCGAAAATTCTGTCCTGCTCGTCCGTGCGGCCGCGTAACCGTACGGCGAAATTGATATGAAAATACGCTCGGACGCCGAAAAAACATCGGAAATTCCGTCGTACCCCTCCGGGCGAAATTTCTCGCCGCCCGGCGTTTTTTTTTTTTTTCTCTCTCTAATCGGCGGGCCCCAAAGCCTTTTACGTCGCGACCGTCGGCGGCCGCCGCCGTTGTCGACGCCGTCGCCGCCGCCGCCGCCGCCTCCTCCTCCCCGTCCTCCTCGCCCTCGAATAATCAATACGTATAATCGGGCGCGCTATATTTTTCCTTTTTTTTTTTTTTTTGTAGGTTAGCCGCATCGCGCACCTATGGTTCGTGCGTGTGCGACTGTGTGCATATAGGTGTACGCGTACTACGCGCATAATACGTATTATATTATTTTATTATAATTTATATTATTACGATGTTTGTGTAATCGTATGTGTGTGGGCACAACTCTATATTGTAATGTGCGCGACGATGGGTTTTTTTTTTTTTTTGTCCGTTAGGCGCACGGGATTCTATTGCGTCGTGGCCAGTACGACATAATATCATTATAATAACTTCTATTAATATTTTCAGTACGTAATTATCGGGTGGCCTCCGCCGCCGGTTCGTCTGACCGTTTTATCGTTGGTTGATTTTTCCGGGCGCCGTTCCTCCCCGCATGTTTTTCATATTGATGCGCGCCGCGAACGCCGCCCCTTCGTGCGTCCGGGGGTAGTCGGCGAGCACGCCCGCGTGAGGGTTTCCGCACGGCGACTCGCATCACTCCCCTCGAACGGGTGTTTCTCATTTCAGGTCCGTTTTCTGCGGTGCCCTTGCGAGTCCCCCCCCCTCCTCCGCATACGCCACTGTCATTTTCAGCAGTTGAAATGTGTACCATTTTTCTTTTTTTTTTTTCTTTGGGAGGCGCAAGATTGACTACCCAGGCGTTGCCGGTTTTCGATTTTGACACCCCTTCCCCACCCCCGCTATTTATAAATTGAACCCTGGTTGCGTCGCAGCTGTAGGTATCTACGTTCCCCGATAATTTTTATGAAAATAAAACTGCTCGTTTTCATTAGGTTTAATGTGGTTTACCGAGTACCTACCCAATATCAATATCTCTATTATCATCCAAATACTATTTTCAAGAATATTTTTATTTTTTAATAGAACTAAGAATTAACGTGTAAAAGCTATTAATGTGCGTGTATGTGCTTCCTCGTATACTATACATTATGTTGCACTTAACTGTTCAATTTTGAAATTGTCTTTTTTAGTTTATTAAACACAATGAGATGTTTGTTCAATTAAATGTTATCTTGTAGGTAGGTAGTTTGAATAAAAAGTTTATTGTGTTATCTAAACAGAATAAATTATGGCATCAAGACGACATTGTTTGAGACTTCTAAATTTTAATATACCTACCCAAGTTTAATAACAATAGAGTACAATTTCTCGCATTATTATAATCTGTGTTAGGTAATCTACCTAGTGTCGTATTATAAAAAATACCCATTTACTTATTGGTTAGGTAGATATTTACAAAGTAAATAGTATGTCGGTATAACATTATGTGTAATAATAAATATAAATTTGAAAACTTATCCTATATAATTATTGGAACCTAGTACAAATTTTAGTATTAATTTATAATTGTTTGTTTTATTCTGATTATTTCTGACCGTTAATGTCTAGTCAAGTTACCTGAGTGGTTCACATTCAAAATTGAAGAAAATCAAAATCACATACAATAAATTTAATTATTTTGCTTATTCAGTATAGAGTAGTAAGATGGTATATTTATGTAAAAGTATTTCTTACTGTAAGAACCCGTACAATAATTAAAATTCATAATAATATTTTTAAACATTTTATTTTTTTTTTTTAAGAATTTATATTATATTTGTATTTTATTCACTTTTATTATTTTTCTGTATCTACTTAGTTTAATTTAATCGTATTAATTATAATCCATGGCTGATTAATTAAATCAATATTATTAATGTTTTTAACCAGTTAGGCATTTACACAAATTTAAAAATAAAAAATATTAAACCGTTAAATACTATATTGTTAACATCAACCTTTGATATTTGTATTTTATTAATACATGTTCAAATGTTCAAGGCTAAATCACCCTATAAAATGTCTGTTATGAAATCAAACATGGAATGTAGTGTATTATTTTAAGTGGTTTTTAAGGTGGTATTATGACGAGCAAATATTTTGATGGGTTTTAAATTGTAAGTATTGTTAATGTAGGTACCGACATAGATATTACAATAGGTATCTAGGTAATTAATAATTATTAATAAGTACTATTTTAAAACTTTTTCTGTTTAAAGCATATGAAGATCTATATTTGTTTTATTTATCTTACATACATATCATATTATAATTTCCTGGTTTAGAATCAATAGTTTTATTTTAAAACAGTTCCTTATTGATAAGTGATTAAATAAAACATTAAAATCCATTCATGTTCTACATACCAACAAAAAATATATTTTCAAATATTTGTTAATAGATTAATGTAGGTATCTACTTATTCAAATATTATTATTGTAATCGCAATTACTAAAAACAGTAGGTAATAACTGTGTTTAGTGTCAACTTGGATATCAGCTAAGCCGTTAAATGTAATTTATATATTTTTTATTGCAATCGGGTTACATGCTTGTTTTTACACTATTCCAAATAAATAGGTACTTAAAAAAATAAATAAAAATGTTTTACTTGTAATAATGTCTTTACTCTTGTGATATAATACACAAAAATAATATTATTCATTTAGCCAGTACTGTTAGGCAAATACAGGGTGCTCTATTTATCACGAACCAGCAGTTTTTAAGTTAATTTGATTTCTGTTTTTCAAATATTATGGAATTATTTAAGCTTCAATCATTTTTTTTAATGTTTTATCCCTACTGCTCTTATACCTTAAATGAGTACAATTGATTTTCAAATAGCAAAATAGACCCTTTTTTAAACCCATGTAGAGAATTCTGCAAATGTTTCAAGATTTTTCTGTATTTATACTCTACTTGTATTGAATAAACTAGTTATGAATTATTACGATTAAAAATTCAAATCAAAAGAAAAGAAGTAGGGTAATCAATTATTATTCAATTAATATGAAATTATTCCCCCCCTTACTCCTCCGGTTTAAATTTCAAAATTGATATAACTCGTAATTAGTAAATCTAATATTAGTGTTATTTATATAAATATATTTAGAAAAATATTTGATTAGTATCCTACTCACAGTAAACATATCCCCGGTATATGATTTAAATTTGTTGTTGCTATTTGACAATAATTGTTAGATGGTGATTTTTATCATTAAATTTTTATTGTTATCACAGTTATATTTATATATTTATTTTGTCATCATTTTTTCTGATACTATTTATTAATTTACAATTTTTATTTGATAATCGATCGATCTGCCAAAGACAAATAATAATGGTCTTAAAAAAAAATAAATAATTGGTGCCATTATTAACAGACAAAAAATATATTCATATGGGTTAATTTACAGTGAACATTTACTTGTTGTAAAAGTTCATATTACATTAAAGCTTATTATGTTTTTTATATAACTATGGTAGCTTGCGAACACAATTTGGCTAATTATTTAATTTGTAGTGGTCGCATTTACATAAAATACAATGCTAATTATCCATCAGTCCATATAGTCTGTTAATCTTTTCATCAGAAGAATCAGGATGCTCTTAACTTTTAGTTTGTCAGTTTTAAATTGGTAAGTTTGTGTGTTCTCAAATAACCAAATGCCAATCGTAAAACCGATTAATAAAAGTCTCTTGAAGTGTAAGGAGTTGAGTTGAAATATTTAAAGGACCTTTCTATTTAATACTGTATATTGGACAATATTCTTTTTAATATTACAAAATTAATTTTCAATCGCCATTTAATAATTTGGTTTGTAATTTATAACAATTACCAACATATATTATTACGCAGATTGTATTATTTCAAGAATTAAAAGTAATTTCCTCTGCCTTCTATTTTAACACACATTTTGAATTTTGTAATGAAAATAAAAATGATAGATTGATGACATTCAGAAATACAGTTGAAAAATAATAGTTAGTATCTATTTTTATTCTCATCAAATTACCACAGATCACATTACACACTTTTTACGGGAATATAAATGATTTTACTACATGTTATATGCATTATATTTCAAAAGTGTACCTTTGACGGAATCGATATTGTTTTTAAACGTCAGTATAAAATTACTCCCAGTACAATCATTGTTTGCTTATATAAATTTATTTGACTACCTGTTTAATTAGCAATTACTTGTATCTGCTGTGATATAATCGTCGAATTAAAAGTTAAAATGTGTAGTATTAATGTTATTAGCGTAATCGAGCACATCAAATAATATCTATAATAATTCAAGATGCCTATTATTATACCATGTAATTTGAAAAATTTTACAATTTTTTCATTAGTATTTGTGTTGTTTTATTTACGTGGGCATCCGAGGGGAAATTATTGGTATTAACGGTTCCGGGTAAACAATATGAACTCGTTTTAAATACGTAGGCATTGTTATTTTCAGAAAGTAATTTTTTTTTTTTTTGCTTTCGCCACTAAGCCAATGTATTTAATTTACTTTTGGCGGGGTGTGGTGTACGGAGGGGCGGCGCGTACATATAACATTGGTGTTTCCATAGTAACGGTCTCTCCCCTTCGTGTCAACTTACGTTGTATACCGCCGAGGCGTTTTGTACACCTCATGTACGTCCCCTGATGGTCTATTGATCTGTAAGTTAAAACTTTCGGCACGGCCGTTGTCGTGTCAATGACAAACGGAAAAAAACAAAAAAAAAATAACATGACGCTAATAAAAATCCTAAATCTTGGACGCATAAAGATTTAGGTGGCAGTGTTTTAATAAATTGCCTTATCAATTAAAAACCGCTTATTGAAGAGCAAAAAAAAAAATTAAGCTTTTTAAGCGATATTTTTGTTTTTTCCAAATTATTACAGACTGATTGATTGATTTACGATAATAATTATCGTGTCTTGGATTCGACGTAGTTTACTCGTTTTATTTTTAATCTCGAAATATCTGCTAGAATAACACACCGCGAGTGTAGGTTTTGAGCGCCGTATAACTTCGGGAAATAAATCTTTTATTACTCTTGACGCGCATGAACAGAGGTGGTCGGCTCGCCCGAAATAATACCAGTTTTCACAGAATGTTCGCGTGTTTCTACAAATATCACATGGGTGCGTGTTACAATATCCGCGTAAGACTGGTATTTCCATGTTTCGTTACTATTAATAACAACCGAATTATTAAAATATAATCGATTGGTTAAAATACTTGTAGGTCGATATTCGTTTGATGTAAAAGGCATATAATAATATCATTGTTCCGTGGGGATTGGAAGCCCAGTTTCTGTTTTTCTCCTAACACGCTGGCGAACCGGAATTTGTTGGACCCGTTCCCATTCCAACATAACGACTGATCTAGACGAGCGATAAGAATTCTAAAAGTAGATTTGAGTTTTTCGTCAAGTTTACATCCGATCGACCTTGCAACATTTTTAATTATCATTCTCCGAGTCCCAAAAGAGTAGCAATTAAAAATGACGGCCATACTTCGTACGTGGGCCACTGTTTTGTAGATGAAGTTGTTGGGAAGGTAGGATATTGAAGACATTTGTTTTATCTCTGCGCGCTACGATTAACCATTGCTAACGAAAAACAATTCGGTGCGGAGTTCGGTTGTACGTGTTTCGAAGGGCCGTAATTGAGCAAAATTTGATTTTAAAATTCTTGTAAAAGAGTATATATAGAATAATAAACTTGCTCAATTTTCAAACATTTCTTAAACACATTCACACTGAATACATATCACATAGAAAAAACTACATCGGAGTAAGATTTCTAGTTGACAATTAGTTTGCAGTATATATAAAAGAAAAAGTAATATTTTCATTTTTAAATAAATTAAATTTGATTCCTCATTTAAATCATACTACAACCAGAACTGGACCATCTTTAACGTTAATAAATAAAATAATATCTAACTTATATATCTAAACTAATACATTTTTTTTTATTTTTTAGAAATGGTCGAATCGATGAAAAAAGTTGCATCGTTAGATGTTGAATTATCTGTAGAAGAAAGAAATCTTTTATCTGTAGCTTATAAAAATGTGATTGGAGCTCGACGTGCTAGCTGGCGTATAATTTCTAGTATTGAACAGAAAGAAGAGAACAAAGGTGCCGAAGAAAAGCTAGAGATGATTCGTCAATATAGATCACAAGTATTATGCTTATTTAAACTGAACTATTAAATGATTTTTATTTGAAGACATTTGAAAATAATTAATTTAAATTATTTTTTACAGGTTGAAAAAGAATTAAGAGATATTTGTTCAGACATTTTAAACGTACTTGATAAACACTTAATAGCTTGTGCTGCTACAGGGGAATCTAAAGTTTTCTATTATAAGATGTAAATATTAAATATAAAACAAAATTTCTTTATTTACATGCACTATTATAGTTAATAAAATATTGTATATGAAATAATTTTATAGGAAAGGTGATTACCATAGATACCTGGCTGAATTTGCTACTGGGGAAGATAGAAAAGAAGCCGCTGAACATTCTCTGGTCGCTTACAAAGCCGCTAGTGATATTGCTAATCAAGACTTACCCCCCACTCACCCGATAAGGTATCTTATTAAAAATTATTTATATTAATAGTGAAACTAAAAAGAATTTATGTATATTTTTTTTAAGGTTGGGTTTGGCATTGAATTTTTCCGTATTTTACTATGAGATCCTCAACACCCCAGATAGAGCATGTCATTTAGCTAAAAAAGCTTTTGATGAAGCAATTGCTGAATTGGACACGTTATCTGAAGAGAGTTACAAAGATTCCACACTTATTATGCAGTTATTAAGGGACAACCTAACCTTGTGGACTTCAGATATGCAAGGAGACGGTATGGAAATTCAAATTTAAAAATAAAAGTTATTTTCATTAAGTTGATTTTAATAATTTTTCTCAGGTGCAGAAGCTGAACCTAAAGAACAACTTCAAGACGTTGAAGATCAAGATGTCTCATAAGTGTCTCATGTCTCCTGCGATTGCGCTATAATAAAATAACTAATTGTCATCGAAAAACAGTGTCTGTGTACAAAATAATATCAAATATGAAAACATAAAAAATATGCATTAATAGTTACAGCCCTAAAAGTAAACGCGACTCACTCCAAGACTGTCAAATTTTTTTCCGTACACTTTGATTTTTCTTTATCTCACTGGCAGGGGAAAATGTGACAGTAATTTGGTTCAATCGTATAAAATTCCGAAAAAAAAAAATTAATAATATTAAACAAATTTTGTGTCTTTCTGTTCAGTATTATGTGTTAAAAGTTTTATTTTTGTATTTAAATTATAAGGCTTTTTATTATTATTTTTTAAATTTTTTTTGTATTTTTTTTTTTTTCTTTTAGGTAGAAGAAATTGGTTAAGCAATATAATTGTTTCTTTTAATGTAAAATAGAAAGAAAAAATTTTTCATTAGACGTAGTTAACCACATTGAAAAAGAAGAGGTTAAGGCGTATAATAGTTAATCGGTTCTTAATATTTTAGTGCTAAAATATTACTTAAAGGATTTTTTTCTTTCTATTTTATATTGAAAAAAAATTATGTATACAAAATCATTACTCCTTAAAAATCTCAATTAGAATTCAGAATTAAATTAGGTCCATTGATGGCACCTATGTTCAGTTCCTGTATTTAAACCAGTGGTTTTAGTTTATCTTTTATAACATTTATTTGCTTTAATATTAGTTAAAAATGAAACTTTAGCACGTCCAATGAAACACATTACATATTATTGTTCATAATATGTAAATTGTACAAAAAAAAAAAAAAAAAAAATGGAATCAAAGTGTACTGTAGTATTATTCATTTTTTGCTTTATGTTATGAAATTTTCTTTTATAATGTTTATGTAAGTTTATTTTATTATTTTTTGCCAAATTCATCTTAAAATACTAAATTATAAAAAAAAAATGTGAATGTATACTTTTATGTCAATTAGTTTTTACTTTTATAACAAGTATTTAACTTAATGTGCATGAAGTATTATTTGGGATCATTAATGAAGTCATTTTACATTTCTGAATCTAAACCCCCTGCCTTAAAAAAAAAAAAACTAATTTTAATGAAACACATTTTAACTCCTTGAAAATTATTTCAGCAATAATTAATTTATGATATCGTTAATGATTTTTAATGTCTGTAACAAAAGGAAAACAAGTGCAACATTTTGTATGTTTTCGTCATTCCGTTTACTTAGATAAAAAAAAAAAATAACAAAATTTAAAAAAAAAAATTGTAGGTTAATATGTGTTTATTATAGTTATGATAGGGTTTATTATAATATAATTTACTATGATACGATAATTTTGTTAAAAAATTATAAAAAATCGTAATGCTTTCTCATCAAGTTTTCCGAAGATTGTTTTTTTTTTTTCTTATATTTATATATGTGTGTGTGTATACATATATAGATATTGTAATTATAATAATATGGTAATTAAAATGAAAAACCAAGGTGTTAAGTTCATAGAACCAATGCGAGTAATATTTTAATATAATATTCGTAGTGCTATGAGCATTTTTGAATCGCATAATTCTATATCGATAGCATTTCGAGTTTTTTTGTTTTTTTTTTTTTTTTTGTGATATTTTTTTTAAAACTGTAATCATTTAACTACATGTACTGACAATACCTGTATGTATTTTTTATTGTGTGTTAATCGCATCAAATACGGACCAAAATGTTTACAGTCTAAAAACTTTTTAAAAAAACTTAAGTAGTTCTTAGCCACCTATCGATTATTTAGTCTTATTTATTGTGTAGATTTTTTTTTCTACTTCTCAGTATACGTGATAATTAAAAAAAAAAAAAAAAATTAATGAAATTTAATTATATTATGATATTATTTCCGGAAAATTTCCTTTGCCGGTAACCATTTATAATTTACATACTAATTAATTTTATATGCATATTATTTATTTATGATATGCGTGTATTTGATGTATTTTCAACACTTGATCAACAATACAACTTACTATATTATAACGAGTGTGTTTGTGTGTGAGATAGGGATCCTTTGTATTACTCCAATCCCCGCCCTACGTAATGTTTTTAGTATAGATGTGTCAGTAACTTTTTTTACATACCATTTTTTAAGATGTATATTATTATTTATTTATTTTGTCTCTTTAAACAATAATATTAATATTAATTAATAATATAACATTAAACCTATATTATAATATTAATATGCGCCATTGCATTAAATTTTTACATCTTTCAAATTTTGTTATGTTTATTATGTTGTCTTTTTGTTAACTGTGTTGGTGTAAGAGTTGAATAATTATTCTGGTAATTTGTAAGAAGAAAAATACTATTCTTTTCAGGGACATCTAAAAACAGATTTTACAGAAAAAAACAATTTTCATATTATAAATAACCTACTAGGTATTATAATACTAACAAATTTACCCCCGGATTAAAGCAAACGTTTGGCTGGTATTTGAACAAAATCGTGAACGAGACAATTACAAAATTTAAACCTTCCTCAAAATTTTTTTATAAGACTTGATAATTATATAATTTTCTTATTGACTTCGCTGATGAATTAGTACAATTATATTTAATAGTTTCTTGGTTGATTTCATAAACCCTACGTTCTTCTCCTTCGCCTTCAACCCAACTATTGGGATTGCACGCTAAACTTGCACTGAGCCCGATTTCATATTCTCAATTGCTTCCAGCCACTTTAGATCGTCTTCCCCTCATTCCTCCTACATCTATTTTCATTAAACATTAATTAACTACATTCATTCTGAACCATCTACGTATGTTTTTTCTTATTTTGTCCATTATTGAAGGTTAGTGTATCGAAATTGGAGTCTGTGGAACTTGCTCCGATTTTTACGTGTAGCAAAGCAAATTGGTGTGGAGAGGTAGACTTTTCTCAATAGTTTTCTCATCAAATGCGAAAAACTAAAAAAAAAAAGAAACGGGAAAATGTACGAAACATTTAAATCATGTACGAAAATGTATGAAATATATTTGTATAATATTACAATTTCTATTTTCTATTGATAACTTTAAAAATAGGTTCATCGCTGACTTTTTCAAAAATATAGATGTCATATTATGGTAAAATGATTACAATAATATGCGTTTCCAGAGGTGAGAGACGATCATTTCTAACCCATAGTATTATGTTTATGCTTAGCACGGTGACACGCTTCGGTACGTAACCCCTTATCCCAAATCCGTGTTGATATTGCAATGATATTATATTATTGCGTGTTGTTCCGGCTTCTAAAATTCCGATATCGTCATTTTTAATTTAATCAAGTGTTTATTTTATCATTCCTACTACCTATTTTCATCAACATAATAAATAAATATAATTATACCTGTATTCAAACTCAACACTGTTGCTGAGGATACTCCGTTCAGGATAGGTAAGCATATTATTGTTACCCTTCATAGTGTATATCTTATGTTAATAGTTTCTTACCGTCGTAGGCTGTAATAAGTAATCTGAGTGATTGGCGGGTGTACATTCATTTATTTTGTACCCCTATATTCACTGTATTACAATATTATTTGGGTATTTCTAATAATACATTTTCTAACGTACCATGAGACACGACGTAAATTATCATGTTGTTTTTCCATTTTATTTCGCTGCGAACGTCCGAGTACGTCGTGCGTCGTTCATTTTTTCGTAAATCGCATTTGTTAAAAGACACCTATCGCGAAAACACCAATTGGTGAGTGTTATTGTAATTAATTGGATTATTTATTATTATCGTGTGTAGAGAATAAAACGCGTTAAAAATGACCAATGGCGGCTATTATGGCGTTTAACATGGTTAAAATAGGAAAATACACTACTGGTCAATTTTTAATAGTTTATTGGCGAAGTTGGCCGTCAACTGTTTTTTCGACTTTGAATCATTTTATCGTGTATGGCCTCGGGTCATACACAACGGATGCAGTACACCCCATTTAAATTCGCGGCGGAAAACGGTGGTCTTGCGTTTTGGCGGACGAACGCCTAATTTCTCATTGTTTTAAATTAGGTTTGGCTAAATTGGTGACGGGAAACGCCGCGTTTATACCATATACCAATAATTATGACAATCGTGTATGTTGTAATAAAAGTATATTTTTCACTATAATATTAATGTAAATCTAAAAAAAAAAAAAAAAAAAAAAAAAAAAAAAAAAACAGCCGTGCATTACGCATTAAACTGCATTAAAACTGTTTTTAGACCACTATAAGTACAATTTATATTGTAAGTACTCTGTGTTAAATTTTCAAGTATTTCTGTTAAGTCATATAATTTTAATAAAAGATTCCTACCAAATAAAAATACAGTATTTTGTGAAAACTACAGGTATCTACAACAGTTTTTATTCGAAAAAAAAAAAAATCAAAAAACTCAAATGCCATACATTTTGCCGTGTTTCCTACGTTTTCCCCCGGGTTTTTGTAATCATTTGGAAAACTATACGGCAAATAGGGCAACTGCTTTCTCACTCATAAACTAAACAATATTTCTTATAGAAAATATGCTGTTCTTGAAATTTCGACAAATATCTGGTACAAAAATGTACCTTATCTTGAAAATTGTAAAAAATGAAATCGTTGCGCCGAAATTAAAAAAAAAAAAAAAAATATTGTATTATTTGGCTTTCCCCGATTATATAAAAACTGCTTTAAGTATCCGAAAAACTTCTTTCTCTGTCAGTGGCTAGATATTAGATGGAACAAAAATAGTTGTTATTTTTCGATTGCAGCAAGATTTCTGGTAGTAAACTTCGTTTGCAAAAATTAAAATTATTAAACCGAGATGCCAAGTTTTCGTAGATATTATTTGATTTTGATTTTTTGGGTATTACTCAATTATTAGGTAAATTGTTTTCGCCAATACACAACCCAGTACGTACAATGGGTTGCATATCCGCATATTATATGAATAAATGTCATTATTCGTGTTTTCTTTTTTTTTTATGGCGACTGCCAATTAAAATATTTTTATTAATTAACCTCGATTTTTATTGTATTGTTGATTAATATTTAAGTATTATTACGAAATAATCTAACCGGGTTTACGCGGTAATGTTGTTTACGTACCAGCGACCGACAACACAGCACGACGCGTCTTTAGTGGTCGCCGTTCTTTTTCACGACATGGCCGTTATGGCGATCATATTACAATAACTTTTTCGTGTGATTTTTTTTATTGATCGGCTACCACGCTGGCGGTATTTTAACAGTTTTAGAGTTTGAACAGCCGCTTGTTACAGGAGTAGGCATTAGAGCACCTTTACTGACCCGAGTCCGCATCTACACGGGACCGTAGTGTACATATTGGCGGACGAATCGAACGGTAGATCATTTACCGAACTAATCCGTCGGTCGCTCTACATTCGCACCGCGTCGTCCATGGACCAGTCGACGGAAACGCCCGGGTACATTACCATATTTTATAATTGTTACGAATTAAATACCCGTAACGGTTTTGAACGTCATTTGTGTTATATGTTTTCACGCCGACAGCGATGACAGGCAACCGCCGTTTTGGAAACTGTGCAGATATTGGGTCGCTTTTATTAGTTTTCTGGGATTTATCAACCTTTATATGCTCCGGGTCAACCTGAGTGTAGGAATCGTGGCGATGACTGTGTCCACGGAAACCCAAGTAAGTTTGCTTTACACGTCTGCAGTTTAAGTCACGTATGCATATTGTATTTACCTAAGATCCGACTTTTAGAACTATACGCGCACAAATATTCACAATATTTGAATAAAACCACAACATTAAAATATTATTTTAAAGAATTCCAACATTTCCGTATGGCCCTCCTGCGAATTCATCTAAAAGTGTATACCTATTATGCAATATGTTATTTAGGCTAAAGTCATCTTAAAATTGGCTAAACCCAAATAGTTGTGATGAAAACGTAGGAGAAGAAGGGCTTCTTATACCATCAATGGGTATATTGGCTATAAGTTACGTATCTGTCTATCGATAGTCAAAAATCTAAATTTTAGTTTCCAAGTGGAATGAAGAAGCTTAAAGTTTTACAAAGATAATTTCAGAAGACTTACTCGGACGACTACGTGCAGCACTTTCACTGAAAGGAAATCGGCTTGTGGAGGTACCTATGGGATGTCATTTTTCGATTTTCTCAAGATTTTTCTCATCAAATTTGAAAAACCGAAAAAATATAAGAAATTGAGGTACAGTAAAACTTCCATATAACAGACACCGTAGGGACCGAAAATAATAAACGCTCTTTATTTGTGATCGTTAGCGGAAGTTTTACTGTGTTAGTTAAAATATGTTATTAAATATATTTCTTTTTTTCTGTGCACAATTTTTCTACTAGCAATACCGATTTTTACATGTGAAAAACCGTCATTTCATCGTCTCATTCAAGGGCTTACTGGAATAACTGATTCAACTTTACCTCGAAACCATAAGAAGATATTAAAAAAATTCCAAATTAGGTATGAAAATTATGTATCCATGTTGACTAATTTAATCGCGAAAACAGAAACACAACTGTTATACAGCAGATATATAGAGTGCCAATAATAAAAGCTATATGGGAATGACATATCAATTTATTAATGAATTTTCATACAAACGGTCTTCATATGTCTTAAGTTGTGGGCGAATAAAAGGTCACCATAATTATTTGAATATCACTACACGTACTTACATGACGGTATATATATATATATTTAAAAACTGATGGTTAGAATATGATCGATACATAGAGGACGACCACATAGTGCAATTTATATGCGCATTACATTCAAAAATTATAATATTACAGAATGACGATGACCTCGCGCGTTCCCCGTCTTTCTAGGACTATTCAATTTTAACGGTGCTACAGAACTTAATTCTATGTTTTACCGAGAGACGTTTTTAGGATAAAAGTCTACAAAGAATACTGCTGCAGTCATGTATGTGAAAATAACAAACTCGTATTACTACTCCCGAAATAGGACTTATTGGGTAATAGTACCCATCTGTAATATGTGTTGGAGTTCAACTCGATGTAAGCTAAGTTTTATTAAGGGTAGCAAGCAATTATGGAATTAAAATATGTACCATATTATAATTTATAAATTGTTTTAGAGACTAGTTTATATTTTGGTTACCTAAATAATATTTACGTTACTGGAAAACGGGTAAACTGTGACAAATTATGGTTTACAAGTATAATTATTTCATATTAAAGACGAAGATTAATTTATCGTTTAGACATTTGACATTGATAATAATTATTAATTAGTATTATATTCGTTGATATTAATATGAGAATTATTTTGTTGTTTTCGGTAATTCATATATTTTCTTACAGGGCCACTAACTCTTTTTAACTTTACGTTGTTAAACTAAGGGGGTATAAATAATACTTACAGAGTAAATAGTATGTCGGTATAACATTATGTGTAATAAAAAATACAGATTTGAAAACTTATCCTATATAATTATTGGGACCTAGTATAAATTTTAGTATTAATTTATCATTGTTTGTTTTTTTCTGATTATTTCTGACCGTTAATGTCTAGTCAAGTTACCTGAGTGGTTCACATTCAAAATTGAAGAAAATCAAAATCACATGCAATAAATTTAATTATTTTGCTTATTCAGTATAGAGTAGTAAGATGGTATATTTATGTAAAAGTATTTCTTACTGTAAGAACCCGTACAATAATTAAAATTCATAATATTATTTTTAAACATTTTATTTTATTTTTTTAAGAATTTATACTCGAATTTATATTAGTTAATTTACTTAGTTTAATTTAATCGTATTAATTATAGTCCATGGTTGATTAATTAAATCAATATTATTAATGTTTTTAACCAGTTAGGCATTTACACAAATTTAAAAATGAAAAATAATAAACCGTTAAATACTATATTGTTAACATCGACCTTTGATATTTGTATTTTATTAANTTTTGATGGGTTTTAAATTGTAAGTATTGTTAATGTAGGTACCGACATAGATATTACAATAGGTATCTAGGTAATTAATAATTATTAATAAGTACTATTTTAAAACTTTTTCTGTTTAAAGCATATGAAGATCTATATTTGTTTTATTTATCTTACATACATATCATATTATAATTTCCTGGTTTAGAATCAATAGTTTTATTTTAAAACAGTTCCTTATTGATAAGTGATTAAATAAAACATTAAAATCCATTCATGTTCTACATACCAACAAAAAATATATTTTCAAATATTTGTTAATAGATTAATGTAGGTATCTACTTATTCAAATATTACTATTGTAATCGCAATTACTAAAAACAGTAGGTAATAACTGTGTTTAGTGTCAACTTGGATATCAGCTAAGCCGTTAAATGTAATTTATATATTTTTTATTGCAATCGGGTAACATGCTTGTTTTTACACTATTCCAAATAAATAGGTACTTAAAAAAATAAATAAAAATGTTTTACTTGTAATAATGTCTTTACTCTTGTGATATAATACACAAAAATAATATTATTCATTTAGCCAGTACTGTTAGGCAAATACAGGGTGCTCTATTTATCACGAACCAGCAGTTTTTAAGTTAATTTGATTTCTGTTTTTCAAATATTATGGAATTATTTAAGCTTTAATCATTATTTTCAATGTTTTATCCCCGCTGCTTTTATACCTTAAATGAGTACAATTGATTTTCAAATAGCAAATAGACCCTTTTTTAAACCCATGTAGAGAATTCTGCAAATGTTTCAGGATTTTTCTGTATTTATACACTACTTGTATTGAATATACCAATTATAAATAATTACAATTTAAATTACAGTCTTTTATATTTATGTATTAAAAAAATTACGTTTATTATTTATTGAGTATAAGGTAAATATAGTTGTTATAACTCATAACGATTGTCTTACCACAATTTTTTACAAAAAAAATATCAAAATGTTATCACTTTTTATTATTATATAAGTTTAAACCATGTACGAAAATGCGTGAAATATATTTGTATAATATGACGATATCTTTTTTCTATTGATAACTTTATAAATAGGTTCACCACTGACTTTCAAATATATAGATGTCATATTATGGTAAAATGATTACAATTATATGCGTTTCCACGACAACAAATTGAGTTTTCTCAACAAATGAGAAAAACAGGAAAATTTAAAAAATGGAGGTATCAGCTAAAATTATAATGGTCTTCTTTCCTTGTGAACCACTTTTCTACCGGCAATTTTGCTTTAACTTTTAATGATAGCAATTTTTCCAATAGGAAATTTCACTGGAGATTTACTTTGAAAGGGTGGTTTTTCGATTGTCTCCATAGTATTATCAGCAAATGTGAACAACTGGGAAAAAACCAGCGAAATCGGTACAACATTAAACAAATATTATTAAAGAAAATATATAGAGCCTACTAAAATTGTTTTACTATGATATGGCATATATATTAATGACAAAGCATCACTATCAACTGAACTCCGTTTTTTCGTAAGAAATGGTTTATCGTTGTTTACAGGTATTCATTAAATTACTTATAACAGTGGCTGCACCCGTTCCCATTATCCTAGGACGTCTTTTTTCGACGTGGCAATAGTAACAGTATAACAGTCTTTCGTCATTATTGCATTGCAACAAGGCTGACCAAGTGCACTTAGCGGATTAACGAATAAGCTAATCAGGCCTGGGTCTAGGGCCGCAAATATTTTTTTTCTTCCGTTAAAATAAACAATGGAAACCCGTAATTTCATTGAATTTTAGTCGAGTTATTTCTTCATAGATGCTGAGGAATGTAATGGTTTTACAATGATGTTTATTTAATTTTTTTTTTTTCCTATAAACAACTCTTTTAACTCTATAACAACTCAATTTAACTCCGATCCACAATGGCAATACAAGGCCTAAGAGCGCTAAATGTCTTAATCCGGCACTGGCACTCGGCCATAATCAAATGTTACACTAAATGTGTGTAAAAACTGATTAAATAACTTAGGCAATTTTTCTACGGAGAAAAACAAAATTTAAACACCTGGTCAAAATACAACAACTCATAATTTGGTATGTTTTCACTCGGTCGGTTTTTTTTTTTTTTTACAGTTGTAGGGACTCGTTAGTCATCTTATTGCGCTTGGTCACTTTTTGCGTGACGGCCGGACGACGACGATATATATTATACATTTATGTATAAAAATTTAATTATATAAATGTAAATTAATAACCAGTGATACGATTATCTCCAACCCATAATATTATGTTAATGCTTAGCACGGTGACACGCTTCGGTACGTAACCTCTTATCGCAAATCCGTGTTGATATTATTTGGGTATTTCTTTATTATCGTGTGTAGAGAATAAAACGCGTTAAAAATGGTCAATGGACACATTGTATAATTTATAAATTGTACTTAGGATTTTAATAAGTGATTAAAGATCAAATGTTGACTAAAATCGTAAAAAAATGATAGCGTTTCAAAAAAAAAAACGTTTAACCGAACTTTGATCTGAATCGTTCTTCGTTAGCAGTGGTTATACCCTTATAGGTATAAATTAAACAATTTTCTGTATCCTGTCTTCCCGATAATACACCTATATACAATGGTGGATCTAAAGTTGAATTTCGAGGGACGGGGAGGCTCCTAAAAAAAATAACTACTTACCAAAAAAAGAAAAGGGGGTTTGCTCCGTTAAACGATTGCTTACGTATACATTGATAGGAGTAAGATTTCTGATCAAAAATGTAGAAATAGAATTTAGAATAAAAATTTAAAATAGAGTCTACTTAATTATTTTACTAATATATGGCACATATATTGTCGACAATCGCCGCGTTTATACCATATATGAGTTATATGAGAACACAATAATTGTGACAATCGTGTAAAGGTACTGGCGACGGGTGCAGCCTCTGTTATAGGTGGGAAAATATCTACAGCAGTTAGGTAATCCTGTTGAACAGGTAGGATACGTAAAGTTATTAAATTTTTATCTGTACGCAAAGGTATTGTTGTAAACCATTGCTAACGAAATACGATTCGGAGCAAAGTTCAGTAAGAATTATTTCGAAATGCCGTAATTTTTACAATTTTGACCAAAATTTGAGAAACATAATGCATTAAGCTGCATTAAAACTGTTTTTAGACCACTATAAGTACTGTTTATAATGTAAGTACTCTTTGTTAAAATTTCATGCATTTCTCTTAAGTCATATAATTTTAATAAAAGATTCTTACTAAATAAAATACACATAAAAACACTAAAATATCAAATAGTCTATTAGTTTTTTGTGAAAACTACAGGTATCTACAAGAATTTTTATTCGAAAAAAAAAAAAATCAAAAAACTCAAATGCCATACATTTAGCCGTGTTTCCTACGTTTTCCTCCGGTTTTTCGTTATCATTTGGAAAACTATTTTTTAGTTATTTTTCGATTGCAGCAAGATTTCTGGCTGAAAACTCGGTTTGCAAATATTAAATCAATTAAACTGGGATGCCAAATTGCCGTAGATATCAATCGATTTTGGTTTTTTGGTGTTTCCCAATTATTATGAAAATTGTTTTCGCCAATACACAGCCTAGTACGCATATGCGTTGCACATCCGCATATTATATGAATAAATGTCATTATTGGATTTTTTTATTTTTATGGCAAAAACCTATTAAAGTCTCTATCTTCATTAAACTCGATTTTTATGGAATAATTGATTAATATTCAAGGATTATTACAAAGTATGTGCATTGTCTTACTTGCTTACCTACAAATTATTGTAGGAGAGCTGGATCTTTGTCAAGACTATTCGAGGCGGGCAAAATAGTCTAACCGGTTTTCGCAGTTATCTTGGTTATCTGCCAGCGCCCAATGGTCCCTACAACACAACACGACGCAGACTTCAGTGCTCGCCGTTCTTTTTTACGACATGGCCGATTTGGCGATCATATTATAATAACTTTTTCGTGTAATTTTTTTTATTGATCGGCCAACACGATGGCGATATTTTAACAGTTTAAGAGTTTGAACGGCCGCGTGTTACAGAAGTAGGCACTAGAGCCCATTTACTGACCCGAGTCCGCATCTACACGGGACCGTAGTGTACATATTAGCGGACGAATCTAACGGTAGATCATTTACCGATCTAATCCGTCGGTCGCTCTACATTCGCACCGCGTCGTCCATGGACCAGTCGACGGAAACGCCCGGGTACATTACCATATTTTATAATTGTTACGAATTAAATACCCGTAACGGTTTTAAACGTCATTTCTGTTTTATGTTTCCACGCCGACAGCGGTGACGGACAACCGCCGTTCTGGAAACTGCGCAGAAACCGGATCGCTTTTCTGGGTTTTCTTGGCTACATTAACGTTTACACGCTCCGGGTGAACCTGAGCGTAGGTATCGTGGCGATGTCAGTGCCCACGGAAACCACAGTGAGTTTACGCGTTTGCAGTACCGCGCGTTAACGTCGTCACGTGTGCGCGCGCGTATTTACCAGAGTCCCGTTGTCGTACAGCCACAATATGCGCACAAATATTCACAGCGATTTGGGGCCCATCGAAATGTATAACATATCAATAAAGAGTGTCCCGGAAAGATTTACCCGTTATAATATCTCCAGAGATAATAAATATAATACGAATTCTTGTTTTTTGTTTTTTTTTTTTTACATTATTATACTCACCGGGATAAAGACTACGGATATTTATATTGCAGTTAATTTTTTATGTTTTGGTAAACTTTTCATTTTATTATTTTTGAAAAATCTGAAGTTTTTTTTCGGAAAAATAACTTATCGAAATATATGTGGTCGGAACCGTATTTTGTCGGAAAATAATTTTTACCCAACGACGAAAACATGCAAATCATGGAGTGCTTATAATGAAATTATATTGAACAATTCCGACAAAATAATTTCCGACGATTTATTTTTCCGAAAAAATACTTTTCATAATACTTTACACAATACCACAAGTTTACCTCTTTTTTTTTCAAAATGAATTCGTTATTTAGTGTCGAAAAAAAAAACATGAAAATGAAAATATATTTCCTATAAAACATAGATTAAAAAAAGGCATATGAAGTCAAAAAGTTTTTCTGAACGAAAATTGGCCTACTGGAAGTGTGTTTGTTTTACTCCAGCTTATTAATTTAAATGTACTTATAGGTAATAACATGTTGGGATGGGAACCTTTTGGTTTTTACTAAATTTCCATATTTTTACAGTCCTTCCCCAGATTTGATTTTATATTTTATATGAATATCAAAATATAAAATATATTCGATCGAAGCGATTTTTAATATTCGAAAAATTCAATATGTAGTTATACTTTATACCTATACTAAGGTAGGTACCTTCAATTCATGAAAAAAATATGTATATGTTTTTTATCCATTATTATTTTAACGATAAAGTTAAACATTAAAAATCGCATAAATCGAAACCTATAGAAGACTAGAAGAAAAATTCAAATCTGTTTCCTAAATTTGAATCTGTCAAATCTAAGATTTCAGATTTCGATAAAATCACTTTACACGTGCCTACCCTTGATATTGTCATTCGGCAGCAGCACTATTGCATTATTGCCATTATAAGCAGAGTACCTTGATAACGAGAGTGTGGCCATATGGAGTGATAAGAGATTAGGCCGCCATTAGTTGGCTAAACAGACATTTCAATATATATTAGTTACTAAGGTATTACATGTTTTTTTTTATAGTTTCAGTTTCAAATTGTTCTCATTTTTTCTCAAATATTAACTTTTTAAACTTAACGATATAGTCTTAATTAATAAAATATATACTCTGTTAAACTATATTAAACAAATAATAATTATTAACATCGGTAATTCAATTTTATTTTACCATTTTTAAAATAAAATGCTATTCTGGGTGTAATAATTTATAATTTGTTTATTTCATACTTGAAATCTAACATATTGTAGCAGCTGAAGCAATTTATCGTAAATGTTGACATTTTTAATAATCAACCATAACCGATGAAATTGGTACACAAATACATTATTATTGACAAAGTTGTAAATGGTTATAATTTAAATTCTTAAATTTATAAATAACAGTATATATTATCAAAAAATAGAAAAAATATGCTTGGAAATATACATTTGAATCTTTCAAAATGTTTTTCTTTTTTAGAAAATTCATGGTAGCGGTGACTTCTTGCTATAATATCACATTTTAAATAAACTTACTTATATAGCGATCAGTTTTACAATATATTGTTAAAATTACATATAGATTTAAAATAATGTCTTAATTTATTTTTGTGTAGCCCGATTGAATAGAATTAGTTATTTACCTACTCTGAATTAAAAACTTAAATTAAAGACTTTTAACTACATTGTAACATTACACTATATTTCAAAAAAAAACATAAATGTCAGATCCCTTAATACGAATACTGAATTTACTTATTAGGTGTAATTCACAGATTAAATGAAAAAAGGCCGCAATATTTTCTTACTAATACCTATTTCGTTTTTCCTCCGTTGTTTTCCCATTTGTTGGAAAAACTAGGAAAATCAAAAATGACCTCTTTGAAGTACCACACCAGTCAGTTTTCTTTCAGAAAAAGTGCTATCAGTGTGAATCGGAGCGAAATTGCTGGTAGAAAAGTTGTTCATTACAGGGGAAAGAAAGGCCACGGTATTTTACTATACATTCGTACATTTTCTCTTTTTTCCAATTTATCGGGAAAACTCCTGGGAACTTATACACCTTCATACCTGTATGAAAACATAAACTAGTGATTTAACATTTATTTAACAACTAAATGGCTTTTAAATTTTACGGTAAAGTATTATGTTAAAACATCTTATCAAAATGAAAAATAGCCAAATAATGGCGATCAATCCTGTTGTCTAATCAGAACATTGAGCAACTCTCCGTTTGGTCACACTCTCTTTATCAAGGTACTCTAATCGGCATTATTTTTATTAACGGATAATTAAACCCGAAACTGGTTATAATGATATATTAATACATCGAAAATTATCATAAACTATTATTCATTTATTAAAATTATGGTTTCAAAATAATTTGAAATATATATGTATAATGTAAACACAATATAAGCGTAGGTTTCCCAATCAAATTACGTAAACAAGAAAAAAAATTGTAGAACATCGAGAAAATCGATCGATAACTGAATTTCTGGTTACACATTATGACTGTATCTTAACAGTGAACATACTAAAAAGCGCCTCCCTGTCTACGGCACTGTAAGGAAAGATGTGTAGGATAATTTCATTTTTACGCAACGATTAAATTTACGAAAAACTACTGTCACTCTCTAGACTTCTAGATTTTATTGACAAACCGGCCTTTGTCCAAACTAAATTAAAAGTGGATAATAATTATTAAATAAAACTATTCAGGACAAGTTTAAAGAACTGTAACACATGCATGATACTATAATCTTTACAAAAATATATCTGTCACTTCTATTATACCACTTAAGAAAAGAAATCTAATCCACAGCCTTTATTTATGGGGTTGAACCGATTACCTACTTACACAAATGGAAAAGAAGCGCACTACCCTCCCGCATTATTTTAGTCCAAAAAATTGTTCCTATTATTCAATGTTCTAACTTATATAATAATCGTAAGAGTGGATAGTTATTGATTAATGCGGAAAAGTCGCAAAATAATTAATATTTGCATAGGCGCGTAATCAGCTGGTTTATGTTTGAATGAACATAGTCGAATAGATCCTTTACGATTTATTGTTGACAGGTGACCGAATTTCAATGGAGTCCACAACTTCGAGGCACCGTAATGAGTTCGTTCTTTTACGGCTACATATTTACGCAACTTCTAGGAGGTGTCCTGGCAAATAAAATCGGTGGTGTGAAGTTAATCGGTTATGGCGTCCTGAGCACAGCGATCTTTACCATCTTAACGCCCGTCGCGGCCAGATATTCGGTTTATTTGGTCATCGCGGTCAGAATCATTGAAGGTGTTTTCGAGGTTCGCATTTGCGAGTGTTGTCTTTAGGCATTGAATTTATATTTAATTACATTTTATTATTATTGTCATTGATAAAAAATACGTTCACCGAATCTGCATGTATTTATTATATATTATACAGGGTGTCGTTTTTCCGGCTATGCATGGTGTGTGGTCAAAATGGGCTCCGCCTAACGAGTCCACGCGATTGACATCGTATGTTATTTCTGGCGCTTATGTAGGCACGGTAATCGGCTACCCGATGTGCGGATGGTTAGCGAAAAATTACGATTGGCCTTCCACGTTTTACGTACCGGGTAACGTCCGACATATAAGCAATTTACTCTTGTTAGAATTTAATTTTAATATTTGTTTTTTTTTTTTTTTCATATATATAGGTTTTATAGCTATAATATGGTGTGCCGTTTGGTTAACGACCATTGCTGAAACTCCGGGTGAAGATAAATCAATTACAAAAGAAGAACTTAAATATATAATCGATTCCATAGGACCGACTGACGACAAAAAACGTAGGTCCATACTGATCTTTAAAAATAAAAAGTTGTTCTTCATATTTTTTTTTTATATATCTAAGGTTTTTTTTTGGCAAATATTGAATTTTGACATCTAGTTTATACATACACAAATACAACTAATATATAATAGGAATATTTTTCTAAATTCCTTTTTTGACAGTACCAATTTTAATAAAAGTAAAATCATTTCATATTATACATTTAAATCATGATAATTATAGGTACCTGTACATAGTGTGCATAATAATAATGTATGGATGTTAAATTATCAATGAAAATAATATTCGAATCTCGCCTTTATTCTTCTCCTTTGCGTGTCGGCCAGTGATATTTAAATGGCTTCCTTTGCCTAATAATCAACCATTTTAATTGTCTATTCTTTTAATCGTCTTCCTGGAAAGTCCTCCTTCTCTCCATGTACATGAACAATGTGCACGATAAAATAATAAATCACTTTGTGTGTACCTAAAATTTAGTTAGTGTCTCGAATTATCCATGGAAACAAATTTTTACTTCAATGCCAGTGTGGTCGATAACGTTTTCCACTGTCTGCGAGAATTGGGGATTCTTCACGTTACTGACCCAGTTACCAACGTTCATGCACGGTGACTATAAGAATGGCATCTGATTTCCACTCATGGCGATAGATAATTAATTTTAAATGTCTTTCTTACACAGACGTATTGAAATTCGACATCGGAAAAGGAAGTTTACTATCAGCATTGCCGTACTCGGTCATGGCCGTTGCCCTCCAATTTAGCGGAATATTTATAGACTGGGTTCGCAAAACAAACATATTTACGACCACCCAAGTTTGTATTCGTTTAAAACGTTTTATAAATGTATGTGTACTATTTATACATAATAGGTCTTTTTTATTTAAAGGTCAGAAAGATCTCCACTTGCGGTGCTTTCTTTTTACAATCCATTTGCATGTTTTCCGCGGGAAATTGCGAAACCGGACTAGGATCCATCATTTTTTTAACACTGACGGCCGGTCTCGTTTCTTTTTCTGTAACCGGATACTGGTTTGTTATCATTTTAATAAACGCTCGATAATTCTACTTAATTATTATTATTATTGTTTATACAGCGTTAATCCTTTGGATATCGCACCCCAATACGCCAGCATTATATTGGGGATCGCTAACACGTTCGGAACCATACCCGGTATCGTAAGCCCTCTGTTGACTGGATTTATCGTGCAGCATCAAGTTAGTAACAACTAATAATATTCAATACTTTGGGTATAAATTTGTCTGATTTACATAACCACATGTTTATTTAAGTTCCTAATGTTTCTAATTATTTCCTAATTATTTTTTCAAATTATTCTCGTTACAGAGTCCGGAAGAATGGAAATGGGTGTTTATAATATCCAGCAGTTTATATTTTTTGGGGGGGCTATTATACGCGATATTCGGTTCGGGAGAACGTCAACACTGGGCCGAAATCAAAACGACATCAAAAAATGACTTTGTTGATGAACCCTTGATGCGAAATAACGACATCGTACCATTGTCACAATGCGAATAATAATATCTATTTTATGCAAATTAATATTGGTAAGATATAAAATCTGATAATAATCTTTGAAGTTTTTATTATTATTTTCCCATTTATTCCTTTTCCGTATCTTTTTTCCAATTTTAGTATGAACCTAATTGATAATAAATTATATCGCACTTTTTTTCAATTATCTTTTAATGCATTTTTTTTTAATAGGCAATAGGTACTACGAATTACGAAGATATTTAGGATATGGAAGGACAGCACGTCATCACAATATTATTGAAGACAAATATTGTTTTTAATAATAATAATATGTTATTATGTTATATTGATCAAAATACAAATAAATTATATTGAACAAAATAAAGTAAATAGTTATGTGTACTTCTATTGATTGTATTAGATGATGTAATGTATCGGTTTGACAGAACTCCATACAGAACTTGCAAAGTGAAACGACAGAACTAAAAAAAAAAAGAATAGTTTATAAATTTAGTTTTGTTTTGTGCATTATGCATATGATATCATTTTTTAGTACAAAACAGACCACAATATATAGCATTAAGAGTCGAATTATGCGAGGGGTGTGAGAAACTTGTGTCAACGGTGAACTGTCGTTGCGCATATTTTGTATATCTTAATTATTTGTGTTTGGTACGCTGAAAATCACGTCGTTTTTTTTCTAACTTTCCGATATCACAATTTCTTTATTATTATTATTTTTTTTTTTTAGCTAAAAATTTAACTGATGGTTTGAATACGATCTAATTATAAAGAGGACGACCACATAGTGCAATTTATATGCGCATTACATTCAAAAATTATAATAGTACAGAATGACCGTGACCTCATACGTTCCCCGTCTTTCTAGGACTCTTCAATTTTAACGGTGTTACAGAACTTAATTCTATGTTTTACCGAGAGACGTTTTTGGGATAAAAGTCTACAAAGAATACTGCTGCAGTCATGTATGTGAAAATAACAAACTCGTATTACTACTCCCGAAATAGGACTTATTGGGTAATAGTACCCATCTGTAATATGTGTTGGAGTTCAACTCGATGTAAGCTAAGTTGTATTAAGGGTAGGAAGTAATGATGGAATTAAAATATGTACCATATTATAATTTATAAATTGTTTTAGAGACTAGTATATATTTTGGTTACCTAAATAATACTTACGTTACTAGAAAATGGGTTAACTGTGACAAATTATGATTTACAAGTATAATTATTTAATATTAAAGACGAAGATTAATTTATCGTTTAGACATTTGACATTGATAATAATTATTAATTAGTATTATATTCTTTGATATTAAAATGTGAATTATTTTGTTGTTTTCAGTAATTCATATATGAGAATATACAAGACAAGACTACTAACTCTTTTTAACTTTACGTTGTTAAACTAAGGGGGTATAAATAATAAGTGATAACGGATTAAGGGAGTCAGTAATTGGAGAATAGTAGGCGATAATCATTTTAGCTTAACAATAACTGGATAAAAAAATGAAGTGCCTTTCCCCCGAAAATTGTTTCTGGCTACGGTACTCGTTGCTATATTTACAGACGTAAAATAGTCGGCACCTATATTTATGTGTTTATTACACGATGTATTAAAGGATTCTATAATGGTTTTATTGGAAATAAAATATCTCTAATATTAAATGTATTCAACACTCATGTTGGTTCGTGTTAAAACAATTAAAGGAAGCGAAATTACATAAAGTTATATACGATTACTATTCAATAATAAGTCTCCACTAAGTGATGGTCTCATGTTTTTTACATGTGTCGCCTATTATAAAACAAATAAATGTATAAACGCACGCGAGTATTTATTAAACGGTACAATAAAACTAGTGATTTTAGACACGCATTTAACAATTATGAAAATAAAAACCGTATAATAGGTATAAGGTATAAGATTTTTATTACATATGCGATTATGAAAAAAGATTACCTATATCGTTTGTTTGTTATTCGATAAAAACCGTTAAATACCCAATAGGTTTAGGTTTACCTACGTCTATTAAGACCTATATGACTTTAAGTTTTTGATAAAAACATTATATTGTCTAAAATTATTCGTTCAAAATCTTAAGTGGTTTGAACAAAAAAAGATGTAGAATCGATGACACGACTTGCGGTATTTTTCTTGTAGTTGTTTTTGTTTTGCATTTGACGCAACGAAGCGGTCCGTGTTGAGACGATGTTAAACAATAAATAATATGTATTACGAATGGAATTATACAATGAAATGTACTCGAAAACTACACCGTCTTCAAAGTACTGGACCGACATATGCAATTATTATAGTCCGTACATTCGGAATATCATTTTAATTGTAAGTCACGCATATTTTAAACATCCTAATGAAATTTACGTATATCTACATTAATATTTATAACATGTTTATAGCTATGACAATAATCGTGACAATAACAAGGTAATATAAAACAATAAGAAAGTAGGGCAATTTAACTTATATTTTACGAAAAGATATATGACCAGAAACTATTGCTGACGATAAATAATTCTGAGCAGTTGTATTAAGTTTATTTGTTTATTTTTTTGTGTCTGTAAAAAACTTTTCTACCAGAAATCTTACTTCAATCGATAACTGTATAGAAACTTACTTGTAGAATTTTTTTTCTAATTGGTGCATTAAGGAAGTTATTTTGCTATCAGTTTTCTTAATAGATGGGAAAAATTGAAAATTGTTTTCCCTTGTTGCCCAGGATCCTAAAAATCAACAAAACTTATACAAAAAAAAAAAAATACCAGTTTTTCCATTTATTAAGCAAATTAAAGGTTGAATAAAAAAAATTATCTTTTAGATTCACCAACTAGATCAAAAATGTTTCAAGTAATTTCCTATATAGTTTTTGCGTGGAGTAAGATTTCTAGTGCCTAGTTGTTCAAAATAAACAATTTTTTATCATATCAATATATTCCCATTAAACAATGCTATAGCCAATTCCGATAAATACAACTGCAGATCAACAAAAAAGTCGAATGTTACGATTAATTTCGTAGACGTGAAAATGTACGAGTTGTCGTTTTGTTGCTATTTATAAATATAACAGAAGCTGAGGAATTGAAAAAATAACTAGCAATCATCCTTTCCTCTGAAGTGCCGATATTTAAGAATACATACATATAACGTCATCCAAAATGGACTCGGCTGCAAAACTCGAGTAATTTTTTACCGTTCAGACAATACTATAATACCGTTTAAATCTGAGAAACTATATTTTTTTTATCCACAGCAATACGCAACCCTCGTTCTGGAAACAGCGCAGGAATCGGATTTCGTTTCTAGCGTTCTTAGGATTTTTCAACGTCAACGTTCTCCGGGTGAATTTAAGCGTAGGAATCGTGGCTATGACAACGTCATCGGATACCAGAGTACGATTGAAAAATCTGTACAGTAGAAACTCGTTTAACCGTCACTGTCGGGACCGGGACAATGGCTGTTATTAGAATAGACGGTTAACAGGCATTTTTAAATAAACGTATATATTTTACAATGGCAAGGGTAATCTACGATTGACAGTTGCATTCGCACAGACCATTGCAGTGATCCGATCTTTTTAGAACTTTAAAACCTAGGGCTGTTTTTTCCAAAAATGATGCTAGTGTTTTTTTGTGGTAAAGCTCTCCAATTGAGTCCAGTTTCATCACAGTGATAAACTTGTTCTCTAACAAGTTTAAAATCAGCTTGTATTTTCAATTTGAATTGTTCCTTGAATTCAGCAATAACTGCGTTATTCGCACTAAGTTTCTCTCCACTAATGACTACTTGTCGAATGCCATGACGAAATACTTTTTGTCATTTACTGTTCTCTCAACACCATAAATCTGAAAAATATTGGTAGCAGTTCACCTTTCTTCAAACGTTTGATAATTTCGAGTTTTTGATTGAATTCTAAAACAACACGTTTCCGCTTTTCTGTCATCTTCAAAACACGACACATAAACTACAAAAAACTCCGCACACACAGGCTGCTTGCCAGTCACTGGTTAAATTAAATTTAAAACAATTCCATTATCATTGTTGCCGCGTTTATCGCGTTTATTGCATTGTGGATAATACAAACTATTTTTTTACGCTTGATAGTCACCGCGAGGAGTTTATTGCGATCGCATCATTAACTATCTTTTTTCGACGGTGACCGATAACGGTTAATCGAGTTTCTACTGTATTAAAAAAAATCATCGATATCATAATATTTGTTCACAGAAAAGCGAATTCCAATGGGGCTCTGAAGTTCGCGGTGTCGTTCTAAGTTCGTTCTTTTACGGATACATTTGCACACAAATGATCGGAGGTATAATCGGAAGTAAGATCGGGGGCGTTAAATTGATAGGTTACGGCATCCTGAGTACCGCAATCTTCACAACTCTGACCCCCATCGCGGCCAGATATTCGGTTTATCTCCTAATCGTTCTCAGAATTGTCGAAGGAGTATTCGAGGTTTGTATAGTGATTATACATAATTATTATAATCGTGGATCACACGACATTACATAAGTAGGCTAGAATCAAAACTTGCATGTTCCAAAAAAAGGGTAAATAAGTTTTCAACGCTGTTTTATAGGATTTTTGTAAGCGAATATGATTCTGTAATCTGCAGTTTGATTTAAAACTTGAAAGAACAGGTTTAAATTTAACCGAAAATTAACGGTTTGTGTAAAAACTAATAAGTTCTATTAGATCATTTGAATTTGATACTGAACCCTATATAACTCCTTTCAAAAATCATATGACCTATAATATGAAAACTCACATATTCAGATATTTTATTTCAACTTTATCAAAACCCGCATGTTCCAAAGTTTAATCTCACTTATTAAACGCTTTTCTCGATTTTAGGGCGTCGTGTACCCAGGCCTACTCGCTGTGTGGTCGAAATGGGCCCCGCCAGGCGAGTCTACACGATTGACAACGTTCGCCATTTCCGGCGGTTTTGTGGGCACGGTCGTTGGTTACGCGATGTGCGGATGGTTAGCTGAATTGTTTGGCTGGCCTACGACATTTTATGTACCGGGTACCACGTCAAATCTATAAATGAATCGTCCGAACATTATTATTAATTTGTATCACTACTATCGGGTACTTTAGGGGCTTCCACTGTGCTAAACAATTTCATACTAGGGAGTTAGAGTTTTGTTATTAGCGAATTGAAGTGAAATAAACTTGGTTGAATTTCACCATATTTTTGTGGGAGAGGGGCGTTTTTTTAGCTTTGTATATATTGTATGCCCCGGAAAACTCCTCAAACGAAACCATGAAGGGGGGTGTCATTTTATATATTCACGACAATGTAATTACACTCTGACAAACATACATAATTCAGTCATTAAGATCTATTATAAAAACCAAGAACGAAATATTGTTACGGCGATAAATCGACTTAGAGAAAATTCGATTTTAATTGCGAAGTTCTACTGTTCACGGACGTTTTTTTATTTGTCAATATAGGTTTTATAGCTATAATATGGTGTATTGTTTGGTTAACGTTTGTTGCTGAATCGCCGGTAGAAGATAAATACATAACGAATGCGGAACTCAAGTATATTGTCGATTCGATAGGGCCGACTGGTGAAAAAAAGGGTAAATACGTTATTCATAAGAAAAAAAAATATAAAAAAATATGTATTATTGTTTTTGTTTTTCTCTTAATAACATTTCGTTTTGGAAAAATACATGAAATTTATCTGAGCCGATGCGTTTTCAGCGAAAATAATTACCTAGTGCTCTAGTGGATTAATTTGTTTGTTATTATTTTTTGTTAGATTCATAATGTAACGAGTAATTTTCGTATACAAAGTGTGTTTTATACTTTTATACTAGCTTAATCCGATCATTAACATTTACATAGATAATTTATAGTTACAAATTTTGTCTTGTTGGTGTATTTGGGAGGTAATTTTTTTTATATTTTTTGCATTATTTTGACAATTTTTGGGGTATTTATACTTAATAAGTAGTATACAATAGAGAGTTCTACCCCAAGATCAGGATCAGGAGCAGGGGTAAGTGTTATACCTAATACATGGCCGCCTGAATTGCCCACCACTTCATAGACTATTGAAAAAAAAATTTGGTCGTGTAAGATTAGACAATAAGTAGTGTTTTTTTTTTTTTTTTTTTTTTTTTCGATCAAACCTATGCTTAACTTACCTAACCAAACCTATACTAAACTAACCTTACAAAACCCGTGGTAAACTAACCTAAAATTACATTTTGTACATTAAAAACTAAACCTATAACACAATATTGTGTATTTCCATTTTCTAACTTAACCTATGATTTTCAATAGGAGGAACTAGAATATTTATAATAATATGCAATGCACATGCGTGTATTGCTCCGAATATATTCCAACGGTTATTGAAGATGCCGATGGTTGTGAGGCTCATTTTATCCTTATAATATATAAGGGAAATCGTTTCTTACTGTTGTTTAATCGTCGACGGTAGTCGAAACAGTGAACATGAACTCTACAAAAATCTGCAGTTTATCCCAAGTTTTGGGTAATCGAATAAAACGAACGAACGAGCGGTTTGGATTATGGTTGCCAACATCTAGAACTAGGTTTTTATTGGCTAAATTTTCTGTTAGCAACCATAATCTAGTCGGTATTTTTTTTTTCTTTCTAAATTCGTTTCTTGACGACACGGAGTAAAAGCAAAATTACCTTATCGTTTGGATACTACGAACAAAATGGGCCAACAAATTGTACAAGTTATTGAAAAGGAAGATTTGGAAATTATAAATAAAAAATATAAAAATTCTGTAGCTATTCCGTACAAAGTGGAACTGGCAGACGTTAAGTTGGACGATCTGTTAGAAGAACTTCCAGAAAAATTAGCACAGCTTAAAATCGACAATTACTATCTTATGGATTTCGACATTACGCAGGATTTTGTAGGCGTATTTAAAAAAACGGAAATGACTCGTTTTCTAACAGACAATCACAATTTTTGTAACCGAGGAGAGTACGATTGGCAGCAATATAATTGTAGATAATAACAAAACAGTTGGTATAGACTGTTTAACATGGCTANATGTATAACAAATTTGTGTGCCAAATTACCAGTCCTGGAGTCAACAAACAGATCGGAAACCATAGTATCGACTTTATCAACTGTCCAGATGCACGTCCAAAGAAAACATTTTCTTCTAATCCAGCGAGAAAGCATGGCGTAACAAGATTTGAGGTGACAATATATATAACTATACTATTGAAGATTATTATAAGACAAGGGACGTATTTAAACTACTGGAAGATTGTTTAAGTTTATTGGAAAATAGTAAAATGTATTTCCAAAATGCACCGTTTTATTCCGTGTCGATTGCTAAAATGTGGACAAAATTGACAGACAGTTTACAGAATAGCTGTTGCATCGTGTTTAAAAATGTCTTGCAGTTCGAACACGAATAGGGGCAATTCGAATACGAAAAAATTAACTGGAATACAAATTAAATNCATTGTTATAGAATTTAAAGCGGGCCGTATTTAATAGACTCGCGGGCCGGATGCGGCCCTCGGGCCGCCGGTTGCCGACCACTATGTTAGATTATTTAAAAACTTGTTATTTATTAAAATACATTTTAAATTTAAAATGAAATTGAATAAATCGATTTAAGTTTATTATAATGCTGCGCGTCATATAGGCTGGATATTTGAATGTTTATCTAATTTGTATTCAAAACGCAACGTTTAAATAATATAATGATAATTTTTTCAAAAAAAAAAAAATTAACCAGTTTTAAAACCCGTAAACAGTAAGAATATTATAGAATATAATATAATATATTAAAATACATAATATTAGAATGTTATATTATCTGGCAGGACCGGCGCGACGGGATATCGAGCACGTCATTTATAGAGTATAGTGGAGCTCGCTATTTTAAAGTCAGGTACACAAATTGTATACTCCACTACACTCCCCCTACCTAAACTTAAAAGTGGAATATCACTTGGAACAAATTTGCGGAAATAAACAAATTTAATTTATTTTATCTAATTGTAATATGTATATCGTCGAATATGTAGAAATCTATAAAACGTGATGTAATATACGATTACCAGTTCCATCACAAAAAAGATCTTTTAAACAGTACTGCCACCTCACTTTAAGCTACTATGGTGGACAAGTGTGAGTCGTTGATATAAGAGACCGCGGAGTGCATAATAAAGCGCTAGACACGCCACTAATTTCTTCACTTCTCTGAGCTTGCTCAGCGAAAACACACGTTCTGACCATATTAATCCTGACTTACCTTATACTCTTCCAAACTTATAAACAACAGTTGCAGATACCGCCCGAGTACTACCCGAGTTCTACCCCAAGATCAGGATCAGGAACAGGAGCAAGGATCAAGTGCTATACCTAATACATGGCCGCCCGAATTGCCCACCACTTCATAGACCATTTAGGTCACGCCCACTTTTGACATTATTACCACACTGTTATCATCATACTTTCAACTACCCAGTTTCAACTACTTTTAAGTATTATGCTACATTTATATAATCTTAATGGAAGGATTTTTTTTTTTTTTTTAATAAAAAGACAAAATTTATATAGGTAAATACTTATTTATTATTTATTATACATTATTACACACAAAAATCCTGCCTTTCTTTATTTTTACTAGGAGTAGTTTTAATTCTATCCATCTTAATTTTTATCTTATAATTTAAATCTATATTCATACATCTGACATTTCTTTCTCCAACCAGAAATTTGACACATACAATGAATCCAGGTTATCGAACTGCAATATGTAACGAACTTTGTTTCTGCGACGTATTTGTTTTATTCCAATTAAGACTAATTCCGATTTGTCCGGTATTTCTTCCAAACGCCGACACTGTGTAACCTTAACATAGCCATTTATTTCTTGCATGGTTATTTCTTCGATTTGTTGTATATCGTTTTGATTAAAAGATAAATCATCCATATCTCGTAATACTTCCGAAAAAAATTGAACATTTTCTACTTTTGCGAACGAATTACCATTAAATGTAGTAACTCCATTAGTATTAAATGTTATAATAGTTTCTTCTGTCGTGAGGACTATTAATACCATTTCGTTAAACGGAATTGAAACGTATCCTTCTTCTTTAAGTTTTTCTCTGGTGTTGTAAATGTTTATAAAAATTTTTTTTAAAGAGCCTTTTAAGAAGTATACACTTTTGGTCTCATCTTTTTCGACATCGTTTTATTCGGTGTCAATTGCTAAAATATGGACAAAATTGACAAACAGTTTACAGAATAGCTGTTGCATCGTGTTTAAAAATTTCTTGCAGTACGTAATTGGGGCAATTCGAATACGAAAAAATTTACTGGAATACAAATTAAATTATCCGACAATCGAGAACAGAGAGATAAGATCATAAAATATACTCTTTCTGCGTATAGTTTTAACTGTTTACCTATAAACTGTATAGAAGTCGCGGAGGGCGAAGCAAACAACGAAAACATTACAATAATACAAAAATGTTATATTAAAGCGGGCGAAACGTTTTTCTCTAGACCCGGGACTTGTTTCTCCACCATCTCGAAGGAAGTAAATATCGAGGACACTGGGTTGATCAAAACTAACAATGTTATTCCCCAGATTCTAAGGAAAAGATCTAACATAACCAATAAACTGTCTACGTTTACAATAAAATAAATAGAGCCTCTCTCGTCTGTATACGTAACATCTGCGGGAAAACAAAAATTAGAATTGGAAGAAATAAATACGAAAAAAAGAAAAATAGATTATTTGTCAAAGACAATCTCCATTAAAGAAGAGCATATGCGTCTCTTAGAGAAAGAACACGAGGCTGCACGATAAATATTCTGTATTTTAAAATTGAATAGGTACCTAATTGTTAGTATTAACTGAATTACTCGGAATAATCTTAATTATATATAATAAATAGGCGTATACACGAGTTTGTGATCAATATGGTACAGAAATATTAATAGAAATTAATGAAATTAATTTTGATCGTAATCACTAAAAATTAAAATAAATAAAAAAAAAAAAAAAAACGAAAATACGTTTTATGTATTTCTATATTAAAGAAAAAAAACATTAGGTAATTATACAGTTTATGAATTTATGTTAACAATTATAAATCCAACTACTGTCTAAACTAAACGATATCAAAATAAATGTATGCAATATAATTTTTTTTAAATTTTTTTTTACGAACGAACATTGGAGATATTAATTTAATTTAGTTTGCGTCGGTATTGTTTGAAAATAAAGACTCTGAGCTTGATCGAGTTCTGCTGCTAAGTCGAACCTCACTTCGAAATTCAACACCATACTTTTTTCTTTTCTCAAGCTTGGGTTTTTCGATTTTTCTTTTCCTCTTCTTTATAACATCTTCTGGTTTCGTGCCCGTAGTTTGCGTACCACGTGTATTAATTTCGATTGCCCCATCGTCTGACGAACTATCTTTAATGATGTTCTCTACAGTATTTATTTGACTCTTATTCGGCCGTGTCATACTTGGACAGTTTGGTTGATGATTGGGCTGAAACGGCTGATCCTTTTCTGTTTCTGCAGTAGATTCAGTATCAATATTTATAATTTGAACATCAGATTCCCCAGAAGCAGAATTAATTTGAATAACTTCTGACGGAACAAGTGTATGTGACGGCGACATAACAATAAAAGGAGAATTTTCATTATCTTCGTCATCCGTATTCACTACATTCGATTCATCCCTATGATCTGGTGATGTAACAGATATTGGTTGCTCAACTATATCTTCATCATTTAATTCAGAGTACTCAGAATACAGCATGGAATATCGAGAGAAATATCTATCATGAGCGTAGCGTACATTAAGATCATAGTCAACCAATCTATATGGACTACTTGCAAAGTTATATAACTCGTGGAGGAAATGCTCGGCGAAGTTTCCAATACAAGGAGTTAGTATGGTTATCAAACGAGTGTTTGTTATATCATACAATACGATTAAACGCATTATAAATGATGTAAAAACTTCATCATTAGTACTTGCGAAGGGAGGTCTATGCGTCATATCAAGTGAAATAAGAGTTCTTAAAACATTTACTTCTCTTAGGACAAATGCACGTAATCTTAACGTATGTGTTGGATTTTCTCTATAAAAAGTTAAACTACAATCTCTGAATTGACCCCTTATATCGGGTAATGGCTCAGCCCACATATTCTCTGCATATACTCGTCTTCTCGTTNTACTTTGGCTGCTTGAATCTTCATTGTTTTCATTGTCTGAAAGAACGTTGATACCGACATTTAAACTATTATCTCGGCTTTGCATATTTATTTCAAAATTATGAATACCACCACTTGGTGTTCGGTCTACATTACTTTGATCCATGTTATTCTGCATATTGAAAATTAGCCAACCGAAAGACGGATTGACGTATAGTATCTCAACGGAAAAACACGACGATACCAAAATGAACACGTCTAACTTTCCAAAAGAACGTGGATAAAACCGCGCTGTGACCTACTCAAGTGTAGTCCCAATATGACACTCCCTTGACGGTAACGTGGACCTGAAAAATCACGTCACTGCCCGGTATCTGTGCGTCCGTGTGATATATTATATAATTAGTATACAAAATAGGTAAACAACGGTCGACCGTCGAAGGCAATACTGACCACCCTTTCTTTTTGTAAATGTTCAAACGTTATCATTCATCAGTGATCCCATAATATTTTTACACGTCGTATACAACAGCAACTGTCACGTTCAGCAGTCGGTATGGTCCTTGTGCTCGAACAGTGTTCGCATATGAATCCAGTAGCTGGAGTGCGAGGCGAAATTCGTAGAAATATATTATACAGTAATAACAGTACACTCTGTTTTAGAAACAAATCTACTAAACTTTACTGTTAATAATAATTTTTTTTTAACCATTTAGTCGATATGGTGATTTCAAAAAAATCTATAGGTGTGTTACTATAGTTATGTTGAACAAACAATTACAAACTTTAAATCCCGTCTTTTTTCTATTTTCTACTCAAATTTACCATTTTGTTTTGGAAGTAGTATAGGTATAGTTGTAGTGTTGTGTAATAAAGTGTATTATCATTATATATTCGACTACCTATTTATTGATTTATTAATAATATTTACGTATATAATGCATAATATAAGCGGGGGAAAATTTTACTCTAGAATAATACAGTGAAACCTCCTTATACCGGCTCCTTATAATGGGGAAATCTCCTTAAATGAAAAACAACAACAGTTCTGCATAACCTATACCCCCTATATATCAGTTTCCCCAGAACGGAAACTCCTTTATAACGGAAAAATCAATCGTTACCGAGCGATTTCGTTATAAATGTCAGATGTTAATATAGATTTAAATTATAAGATACAAATTAAGATGGATAGAATTAAAACTACTCCTAGTAAAAATAAAGGAAGGCAAGTTTTTTGTGTGCAATATTGTATAATATATGTATACATATTTTTATTGTTAAAAATAATAAATAAGTATTTACCTATATAAATTTTGTCTTTTTATTTTAAAAACAAAAAAAAACCTTCCATTAAGGTTATATAAATGTAGCATAATACTTTAAAGTTGTTGAAACAGTGTAGTTGTAAGTATAGTAACGTTACTTTCTTACCTATATGATAAGATAACCTTGATAATGATAACAGTAACCATAAAGGTATAACGATAAGTATATTTTGTGATAACAGCAGATATAACCGTGATAACAGTGTGGTAATAATGTCGAAAGTGGACGTGACCTAAATGGTCTATGAAGTGTTGGGCAATTCTAGCGGCCATGTAATAGGTATAGCACTTGATCCCTGCTCCTGCTCTTGATCCCGATTCTGGGATAGAACTCTCTATTTTATTCTATTTTAATTTAAATGTTCGAATATACGATACTAGGTTCATTATAATATTCAGTTACAAAACCATTCTTTTCGCCGAAACCATTTCGCCGTGACCTATTCGCCGACGGACTTATTTTCTTAAAAGAAATCAACACATTTTTTTTAAAAGATAACTGATACTGGAGACGAGTTCAGCCACCGTTGGAGATGGGAAATTGGGATTTTGGGATGATATGACACATACAATTATTTAATTTAAATTTGTACGCAACGATAAACTATCGCTGACGAAAAACGATTAGATCTTAAAATGCATATCAAAAAAACATCAGAGTATTCAACTCAAATTTATTTTTTAGACCTCTAAGTAAAACTTATAATAAACCTTGTATTCAATTTTCAAGACTTTTTGTTCAGCCAAACCGTTTTATCCACTTATATATACCAAATAGGAATGATACAAAAATTATACATGACACACAATTTATTATTTTTTACCATCAACTGCAACTATAACACGATATAAATTAACTTACTCGTATATCGTGTTCAATTTTCATATATTTTGTATTAGTCAAAAAATTAAACGATTAAAAGCATAAAACGACAAATAATACGAGGGATACAATTTTTCTAATAGGTGCTATTTTATTTTTAAACAGTTATTCAAAAAACAATGATACATTAAAACTTAAATTCTTTTTTGACCACTTAGTACAACTTAAAAAAATAAGTCCATCAGCGAAAAGTCTGGCGGCGAAAAGGATAGTAGCGAAACAATTGGTAGCTAATTGGTTATGGCAAATCGATCCATCGGCGAAACGGTCCGTCGGCGAAATTGTTTCGGCGAAGTGTCCAGATCCATTAAGTTATTCCTATGGCAGTACATAACTATCGAAAATCTAAAGACAAAATCTATTCAAATTTTGTCAAAATTATTAAATTGTTAACATTGTAAAATTGTTATTATATCGATTTAAAAATTAAATGACTCTCTATATATTATATACCACTCTTGAAAGCTAAATTTAAAAAAAATGACCATAAAAGTTCTAAATTGCATGGTTTACGTTAGGCATATTTTATGCAAAGTTAAAAATAATTGTAAATTATTTTTTTTTTAGTTGGCTGTTTAAATTATCCTTGGAAAGATATATTTACATCGATGCCAGTGTGGGCAATAGTATGCGCCCAGTTTTGTGAATTTTGGGGATTCTTTACGTTACTTACTCAGTTACCCAGTTATATGAACGGTATGATTTGATACTAAATTTTAAAATTTTAATAGCATTTTTTTTTTTTTTTAGATGTATTGAAACTTAATATTGAAAAAGGAAGTTTACTATCAGCTTTGCCGTACTTGGTTATGTCTGTTTGTCTTCAAGTTAATGGATTCTTTGTCGACTGGCTTCGAAAAAAGAACTTATTTAATAATACACAAGTTCGTAAAAAAAATGTATGACAAATTGCGTGTTTAACGAAATTATTTTCATAGATCAGAAAGCTTTTCACTTGTATTCCTTTCGTATGCCAATCGATTTTTATGTATTTGGCGAGCGGTTGCAAAACAGGGAATGAATCCATAATTTATTTAACATTAGCCGTAGGTCTTGGAGCATTTTCTTGGACTGGATTCATGTAATTTTCAATTAGCGGTGTTTACACATTTCTTAGAAACTCCTAAATTTACTTAATATATTTTCTATTTTTTTTTTTATTTTTTTTTTTTTTCGTAGCATTAATCCCTTGGATATAGCACCCCAATACGCCAGTATCATATCAGGGATCGCTTCCACATTCGGGACTGTACCCGGAATCGTAAGCCCTTTGTTGTCTGGAATTATCGTGCGAAATAAAGTTAGTATTTCGATATACTTTTACTCGAATAATCGCGATTACAACGAAACTAATATATAAAATCCTCTATAGAGTGCAGACGAATGGAGATGGGTGTTTTTAATTTCAAGCTGTTTATACTTGATCGGAGCGATAATCTACGGCACATTTGCTTCTGGAGAACGACAGCACTGGGCAAAAATTAAGAGCCAAGAAAATGACTGTTGTAATGACGTATCATCGAAGATATGATACAATTATGTCAACCATGATATGACGTATAAATACTTACGAAAAAAAAATCTAAAAATAAAAAAAACACCATTGTTATAATAAATCTATACATATATAGATCCATCTTTTTCTAACCCATTACCTTCGTCTAACCATCTATTAAACTTTCTTCGCTATCATCTTATGGGTACTGCTAATGAAGACACCCACATCTGTTAATTTTTAAACTGAGTCGTTTATTTTATAATTATCTATGCTCCTGGGCACCCGCAGTAAATTTATCAGGGAGGGGCAGTGTCTTAGTAACGTTTCAAATTATTTTTTTTCACTTTTTTTACATTCTTTTTTTAATAAGAATCGGCCTGGATTCTTTGATGACCAGACCGACATAATGAGGGGCATAATAAAATCAAACACCAAAAAACTATAACAAAATTATATAAATTATCTAATTATTAAAATTATAAATACAATTTTGAAGCCCAGGAAGGGGGGGCAGATGCTCCGTCATGCCTAATTGCCCCTCTCCCAACACAGGCACCCATGTCTATATACCTTTAAAATATAATGTTATACATTTAATGTATATATTATCAACTATGTTTTTGGACCACAGCCTGTAAATGTATAAAGTGAAAAAAAAAGAGATATAATGTTTTAAATAGAAAGATTTTTCAAAAGAATATATTTTATTTCTATTTTAAAACACTGTGCGTCACGCCGGGCTAATAAATCTGCAGATTCGACGTGTCAATCAATATCGAATCGATAATGTTCACATGTTACATCAATGGTAATATTATAATACGCAAGTAAATCGTAAACGTATTGGATACAATATTATTTATTTAGATTTAAATTTATTAAAATACGGTTATGACAGCCAGATAGGTACTAAATAGTTATTAGCGATAATAGCTATTATACAAACAGAAAAACGTTAAATGAAAAATCACCGAGGATCAAAAGGTAGATATTAAATATTTAAATTTAGAAGTATTTTTAGTGGTTTCTATTCCTTTTCACGATATAGTGATGCAGAGACGTTTCCAGACTTTGACTATGGGGAGGGAGGGGCGAAATAATTAAATTTAATATTAATGACTGATAAGAAAAAAAAACAGACATACTTCACACCATGAACGGACCACTGTTGTAGATGCGAAGTTGGAGGAATTTGGAAAGGTAGGATATAGAGGGAAATTTAATGTACAGATGTAAGCAAAAATTAATAATTGCTAGCGAAAAAAGATTCCGAGTGGCGCTCAGTTAATAGTATTGCTTTTTCAACAATATACATATATATTATATATATATCATATTAGAGTAAAATAAAATACATTTTACTAAAACAATTTGTACGAGCCAGTAACTAGATTTGTTCCACATAATTTTTTTAGTTTTACCACGTACAAATAGACGAATATAAATTTTTTGCCCAAATTTCAAGTCTACGAATATTTTAAACTGAATTACAAAAAAAATAATACAATTGTACACTATTTTTGTATATTTCCCATTTTTCTTACGTTATCTCCCGAAATTCCCAGATGTTATAAAAACCGCTTGAAAAATCAAAAAAGACCTCCTAAATTACTTTCCAGATATTATTTCCTTTACGAATGGTGCCATACATATATATCAGGGCAAAATTTCTGCTAGAAATTTTTGTGTCACTATAAAAAAAAATAATGTCAAATAATATATTGATTATATCTATTATATCTATTTATGGACCAATGACCGCTAAATACCAATGTCGGCCCATCTCTTTCGGGAGAGGGGTGATGGCGCTAATCGCCCCTACCCCGGCCTGTGACGATGTGCAATTATAATATCACTAAATAAAAAAAATTAACTCGTGATACTTATAGTTAAAATGTATGAATGGTCTAGTTGACTACCACCAAGAAAGTATTCTCCCGTCACAAGGTTTTAATGAAACATTTATGTCTCTCGAATTTTCGATTTTCTTATCATTATTTATACAATTTATATACTGCATTAATCACTGTATTAATAGATTATACATTTAAAATTAAAATAATATACTGCAGATAAAAAAGATACGAAAAATATACATATTACAACGATGGTGTTTTGTATACCACTAAAAAACGAAAAATACGTTTTTGGTTTCAAAAAAAAAATTAGAAAAATAAGGAGCGTAAACTGGTAGTTAAGTTAGTAAGAGCGTATTTAAATATAGATAACATATATTGAACATATATTAATATGATAATCTCTACTAAAATATATCCAAAAGCACTTGTAAAATATAATTAAATCAACACGGATTTGTTAAAAGGGCGTATACCAAAATTCAATGCATGTATGCTTTGTGCACAAGGTATTACGTGTACGAGCAATTTAATTATTTTACATAATAAACATCACAAAAACTGTTTTGTTGGTTTTTTTTTTTTTTTGTAAAACAATTTTTTCGGCTTCCTTAAAAAATTTAAATACAATAGATGCCTGCTTGCTTAACAAAACACCGTCGATATGTCAGATATACCTACGTGTGAAATTCATTTATTCGATATTTTAAGATTAGGTATAACAGCGGATACCGTGTATAATATTATCGAGTACCTATATCAATTATTCAGACGTCGTAATCGCTGAAATAAGTCTCACTGAAAATTATTATATAAGTTGAATACCAGAGTTATCAAATAAAAAACAAGAATTTCCCATTTTTAGTAATGTGCTCGATTATTCATTTTAAATTTATAATCTATAATTACACTATATGATAAATAATATTACACCCATTATTTAATTATGTATAACGAATGATTAGGACATCAAAAATATGTCAACTAAATCTGAGTGGCGGGAGAATACTTTCTTGACGGACGTCAACTATAGACCAGTATCGTTAGAATTCCTACGTTCCCATGTCTACATCTACGACCGGACTAAATTTTAGTGGACGAATCGAACGATAGATTACTACTATAATAATTCGTCGATCCGTACTGCATCGTTCATGGACCGGCCGTCCAAAATTTTCGGGTACAATATTGTAACAAAATACCAATAACGTTTTTAAACGTACTTTCTGTTTTTTTCTATTCTACTCCGACAGCGATGACGGGCAACCGCCGTTATTTAAACAGCGCAGAAACCGGGTCGCCTTCCTGGCTTTTCTGGGATTCATCAACGTTTATACGCTCCGGATGAACCTGAGCGTAAGCATTGTGGCGATGACTCTGTCAACGGACACCAAAGTGAGTTTGATTTACGCGTTTGCAGTTAACGCCACAGATTTAATTTACCCAATATCCACTGTTTTATAACTATATATGCGCACAAATATTTACAATATTTGAAAAATCGCAAATTAATTCTATTCCGACACTCTCTCGTGACTCTCCTGCGAATTTTTCTAAAAATATTTATCTACGCAATATATTATGTAGGCTAATAGCTTCTTATATTCGGCCAACCCCTAATAGTTGGGACGATGGCAAAGGAGAAAAAAAAAAAGCTCTTACACTATCAACAGGTATACTAGCTAACAAAACCTAAGGTACGTACGTTGTATCCTTCTATGGATGGTCGAAAATTTAATTTTTAACATCACTTGAGTGCACCTAGACTAACTGCAGAGCAGCAACAATAAATAAAGTAAATACTTAAAAAGTTTAAAAGGTTTTTTTTTTTTAATAATCCAATCTATATGAGTGTTACAGTTTTTGTTTAATGTAAAGTATAAAATATATTTGTATGACTTTAAACACAATTATTATAATAATAAGAAATAATCTTTTTACGATTTGTACAAAAGGCGAGCGAATTCCAATGGGGCCCAAAACTTCGAGGCGTCGTACTGAGTTCGTTTTTTTACGGCTACATAATTACGCAATTACTCGGTGGTGTACTTGGATGTAAATTTGGAGGCGTGAAGTTAATCGGTTACGGAGTCTTGAGCGCAGCAATTCTCACCACTCTAACTCCCGTCGCAGCCAGATATTCGGTTTATTTGGTCATCGCACTTAGAATTTTCGAAGGAGTTTTCGGGGTTCGCACTATACTTTATAATATACCTAACTAAACCTTCTTGTTTTATTGGTATTACTAAAAATCCATTTCCCAGATGTGTACATAATATTTGTGAAATATTCTGCAGGGTGTCGTTATCCCGGCTATGTATGCCGTATGGTCAAAATGGGCTCCACCTAACGAGTCCACGCGGTTGGCATCATTTACTATGTCTGGCATTAATGTAGGCATGGTAATCGGCTACCCGATGTGCGGTTGGTTAACGGAACATTACGGCTGGCCTTCTACGTTTTACGTACCGGGTACTGTCCAACATACAAACAAATTTACTCTTGTTATTATTAATTTTAATATTTGTTTATTTTTATAGGTTTTATAGCAATTATATGGTGTGCCGTTTGGTTAACGACCGTTGCTGAAACTCCGGGTGAAGATAAATTAATTACAAAAGAAGAACTTAAATACATAGTCGATTCCATAGGACCGACTGACGACGAAAAACGTAAGCCCATATTGATCACAAAAAAAAAAAAAAAGTTGTTAATCATATTTTTTTATATATATATATATATATATAGTGTTAATAGCAAATAACTAATTTTGAAATCTAATTTATACTTATACAAGTACAAATAACTTAAAAGAAGATTTTTCCAAAGTTCTTTTGTTTAACAGTAGTCCTGTTGGGGAAACAGGAAAATTTCATTACCACAATATTATAATAATGTTATAGAAGAATATAATATTAATATACAATTAATATTGTATGGTAAAATTGTTATATAATTATGTTACCATAACATTATGAAAATATTACCATGATAGCGGAAAAAATGATGTTGTAAGTTTATTAGTTATATTACCAAAATATTTATAAATGTTTTAATTTTAATGATATAATGTGGCAGAATTTTAGCTGGACAATTTGACATGTTTACATTATAGTTATAGTGTTACATGTAAAAATTTCAAATAGTTTTGGTACACTCGGTATATGGGGTACATTTTCTGCTCTCGAAGATTTTTCCTGATTGCAGTACTTGTAATGGATTTATTTCTGCCAACTTATTCGTTTTATTCACTGGAAGATTCCTTGTTAGAAGTATACATAAATTAAATAAAACATTTTTATTTATATGAAATAATCTGTAATAGTCATAATAAAGTCGAATATGTCATATGAAATTATTAATTATTATAACAAACAATAATCATAATCATAATTTTTATAAGTGTAATAAAAAAAATCATAAGAATATTAATAAAAACAAAAATAATGAGCACTTTAAAAATCATAATTATAATCAGTATTTTAACAATAAGCATAATATATAATAATTAAACTAGTGATCACTTAAATAATAATAATGAATATTTAAAAAAATAATCATAATAATAGTTTTAATAAAAATTATTATTATAAGTGTAATAATAATAATGAGCATACTTTTAATAAAATTAATCAACAATAATAATTATCAGCATAATTATAAAAACCATCAATAATAATAATTAATGAAAAAATTTACGGAAAAAATTATGTTTTTTTAAATTTTGTTTAAAATTCTGAGTGAGCGAAGAAACTTATGGTTTTATAAGTTGTTTTTTTTTTTTTTAATCTGTGTGCAACATTTCTACCAGAAATTCTACTTCGATTTACAAGTGTAGCACTTTTTCTGAAAGAAAATCGGCCTGTGGAGGTAATTTAGGGAGACCATTCTCTAATTTCCTTCTCTATTTTCCCAGTAGTTTTCTCAACAAGTTTAAACAACGTTCACCGGGGAAATAATGTAATATTTTACTATACATTCGTACATTTTTTCCATTGTCCTTCCGGTTTTTCGAATTAATTGAGAAAACTCCTGAGTGAATAAAACAATTACCTTACCCAACCACCTAACCTAACCTAACCTTTCCAGTAAAATGTCCATTCTGAAAAAAAACTATCATTAATTATTTGAGAAAAATTGATCACAAAAAAGTTGTTCACAGAAGAAAAAAAAGGCTGTTATAAAAAATATTAATTATTAAATATTAGTTAAAAAAAACTAATACCTACATTTCGTACAATTTCCCGTTTTTTTAAGTTTTTCACATTTGTTGAGACAACTCTTGAGAAAATCGATAAATGACTTGCTTAAAGTACCACGTCGAGAAAATTCCCTTCTAGAAGAGAATCTACATTATAAACATTGAAGTAAACTTTCTGGTAAAAAAGTATATAATGTATATTCAAATAATAAACTCTGACTAACACTTATATTTTATGCCTATATTTAAATTCTTAAAGGTTAGCTTAAGACGCTTAGGTTATGCACAAATTCAAATTCTGATATTTGGAATTTTTAAGTGTAGTGAAAGACGATATTTTTGAATACTTAGATGTTTCACAACACTTCACGAGTACCTTGTGCATAGGCGGAAATCCATCGGTTAATAATTTGAGTGGGCTACGATTTTTCTTGGGAACCAAAGCAGTGGAGGGCTATGCCCCACAGCCCCTCATATATAAAGCTAAGCCCCCTAACCCCTCGTCCCTCCAATTTCCGTCTATGATCCTGTGACAATGCCAACTTTATATATAACAGTATTTACATTAAAATATTAAATAACTCTGTGTACACATTTAATTTAGGCGGTGTCTTGAATTATCCCTGGAAAAATATTTTTACTTCGATGCCAGTGTGGTCGATATCGTTTGTCATGTTCTGTGAGAATTGGGGATTCTATACGTTACTGACGCAGTTGCCGACGTTCATGCACGGTGACGTTCATTCAAAGGTCATCTAATTTCCACTCATGACAATAGATAATTAATTTCAAATGTCTTTGTTACACAGACGTATTAAAATTCGACATTGGAAAAGGAAGTTTCCTGTCAGCACTACCGTACGCGGTAATGGCAGTTTGTCTCCAATTTACCGGATTCTTTGTAGACTGGCTTCGCAAAACAAACATATTTACGACTACTCAAGTTTGTATTCGTTTTAAACGTTTCTATACATTTATATGTACAATTTTAACGTTCGTATATTATATATGTCTTTATTATTTAAAGATTAGAAAGATCTTCACTTGTGGTGCTCTACTATTACAATTCGTTTGGATGGTTTCCACGGGAAATTGCAAAACCGAACTCGGATCCGTAATTTGTTTAACACTGACGATGGGCTTCGGCTCTTTTTCTATGGCCGGATTTTTGTATGTTATAATTGTTAAAGCGTGAAAAATTTGAAATAATAGCCTAATTTTTTAATGGTTTTTTTTTTTCTATTACAGTGTCAATCCTTTGGATATCGCACCCCAATACGCCAGCATTATATTGGGGATCGCTAACACGTTCGGAACCATACCTGGTATCATAAGCCCTCTATTGACTGGAATTATCGTGCAGCGTCAAGTTAGTAATAACTAACTATACTGAATAATTTGAGTAGAAATTTGTTTGATTCGCATAACCACATGTTTATTAAAGTTATTAATGCCATTAAAAACTCGCGTTATAGAGCGCGGAAGAATGGAAATGGGTGTTTATAATTTCCAGTGGTTTATACGTGTTCGGAGGATTATTCTACGCGATATTTGCTTCGGGGAAACTACAACACTGGGCCGAAATCAAAACTGAGGAAAAAAACCACGAAGAAGATTATCCTTTGATGTAAATCAAAAAGTGATATTCATTTTATACAAATTAATATTGGAAATAAATAAAATCTATTAATAATCGTCGGATTTTTTATTATTATTTTCCCGTTTGTTTCTTTTCCGTATCTTTTTTCTTTTATAGGATTAATCTTGTTGGTTATCACTAGGGTTAAGGACGATTTATAGCATTTGCCCATTATTTTTGCAAGAATAAAAATATAGCAGAGTCAAATACAAATACCGTTTTTCATGTAAAGAATCTAAAACCTAAATTTTATTTTGCATATATTTGCATATTTTACGGTTTTCGATTTATGGAGCATATTTTCAAGTGCTGTAAATGGACACACACTTATTACTTAATACCTATCTTGTAGTATGCCTCGTATTATAGTCGCTTTTTTCGATTTACATTGTTTAAATTCATAATTACAGTTGAAAAAAGATTAGTATCTTGCTTATTAGAAATATCGATGATTTCGTCCACTACATTAGAATAATAAAAAGACACTTTTAGTTTTATAAATTAATTTTAATTTTATATTGTGGGCAAATATTGATAAAATTTCGTTTTGAATGTCATAATATGAAAGCCTTATATATTTGGTTCTTAATAGCCGATCATTTAATTCTGGAACATCAGTTACACGCAACATAAGTAGTAATTGATTTTTCGAACTTAAATTATTATATCCACGAATAGTTAATTCTTGAGTAGATAAATACCATATTAAGGAAATTATTTTTTAAAAATTCTATGTAGTGGAATCGCTCTATGTACTAATCGGCGAACGAATACAGCAAAGAGTTCTATTTTATTTCGTAATCTCACCTATTGATATTAACTTAAAATATCTTCTGCAGTATTAACATAAAATCAATTATTCGATCTCAATCAATTTTTTTTTACTGTTTATAGTATACTTACATTTTTTTTTTTTTAGTTAATATTACAATTTTAGTCAAAAAATTTGATTATTTACCGATGGTTGCTTGCAGCCTAGAGTTTAACACCTTATTTATTGGAGTGACACCCAGATGGAGTATTTTTCAACCAAGTTGTTCAAATTTTCTGAAATTTTTCGGGACTTCTCCGTGCTGGATGTCTCCAACGAATCTTAACTGAGTTCATCCGAGATGACGATCGGTTCATGCATTTCTTCAAATTCTATAAATGGATCATAGAATATTTTTATCTGGTTAATATTAACTTTAGAAAACGAAGATTTCCGAGATTCTGGAAATTTTTTCTGAGATTAATTAAGAAACTATACATTATAATAAAATCATACTTTTACATTATGCTCAGTTATTTATATTAATCAGAAAAAATGTAAAAACTATCAAAATTTGTTCAAGTACAATAAATTTCAATAATGTATATTCTATATAATATATTATTATTGATTATTATAATTATTATACTACAAAATTATTCAGTTTTTTAAATTATTATTTTTACAAACATAATTTAACAAACGCGCTACCTCTCATATGAGCGAAATATAAAAATAATATTAAAAACTCAAGTTACAAAATTACTGTCATAAGCAAAGCCGGGTATGCGATAGACGATCATACATTTTATGTCATATTTACATTTTCAATTTTTTCCCTCATATTTTGATGTTATAGTTGGATAGAGCCCATACATCACAGCCACAGTCCACACCGTGTGTACGAGACGACAAATAGATAAATTAATAAACAAATTTTAAACTTACCTGGTAGCTTTTTAACACCGGACTCATTTCTAAACCATATTGCGGGAGTTGGAAGCAGTGACGGTGATCTTATTTCTGATTTTAAATCGTTCGTTACGTTCACATCCGAATTCGCACGGAACCGAACGGCAAAATGGACGAACACGATGAGGCAAAACCGAAATATAGTTAATTTATCTAAAGGCAGCAAACTAAAAAATAATATTGTTTAAAACGTACGTGCATGATGCGTTTTGTTTCCAAATAACGAATTCTTAAACCTGTTGGAAAATTCCGAAGGCGATAATGTTTTTTTTTCTGTTTTCAAATCGTTCGTTATGTTCATAAACAATTGAGCACCGAAACAAACTAGACAATACATGAGAATAAAAATGAATATGTCTTAGATTATATAAAAAAAAAAATTAATGAAAATACTTACGATGACTGTTCACCTTAAAGTAATAAACGTCAATTGAAAAAAATAATGGAGCGAAGAATTTTATGGTTGTTTATTTTTTTTTTCTGTGGACAACTTTTCTACCAGAGATCTTGCTCCGATTTTTGTATATAGCACCTTTTCTGAAAAGAAATCGGTGTGGAGAGGTTCCTTTAAAGTGACCATTTTTCGATTTTCTCAAGAGTTTTCCCAACAAATTTGAAAAACCGAAAAAAAAAACGGAGGAAAAACAAGAAAATGTAAGAAATGTAGTTATTATAGTTAAAAATATTACGGCTTTCTTTTTTTCCTGTGGACCACTTTCCTACCAGCAATTTTGCTCAAATTTATAATGATGGCGATTTTTCTAAAAGGAAATTTCACTGGGGAGGTACTTTAGAGAGATCATTTTTCGATTTTCTAGGAGTTTTCTCTTCAAATGTGAAAAACCAAAAAAAACGGAGAAAAAACGTAAGAAAAACGGGAATTTAATTTAACATTTTTCATTTTCATGAATATTTTTTTTTATAAAGGGGCCCGTTTTAAAATTTCTGCGTAGGCCAAAGTTGACATATCCGTTCATGGTTTGTGGTGGGTGGGTCCGACAACATAGATCACTGTACCTCGCCATTCGCCACGCCACTGGTACAAAACAGACCACATATCACTAGGAGTTTAATTATTTGATTATAGAGGTGTGTGAGAAACTTGTATCATCAACTAATAAGCTGTCATTCCATATCTTGAATATCTTAATTCGTGATAGGTACCTCGTAGTACATTGTAAACCACGTCGCTTTTTTAAACTTTCTAATTATGACATTTTCTTTCTTTTTTTTTTTTAGTTCAAAATTTAACTGATGTTTTGAATACCTATCTAATTATATACATATAGAGCAATTTAATTTGCGAATTAAATTCAGAAATAATAGTATAACAGAATGATGATGACCACAAAGGTTCCTCATATTTCTAGAACTTTTCAATTGTAATGATGTTACAGAACTTAATGTTATGTTTCGAGAAACGAGAAACGTTTATTAAGTATGGTCTCTAAAAAAATATCAAAGTTCCTATAGTAATAGTTTTAATATTTTTTTAAGATAAGGTACGTCTACATATGCAGTCATACGTGTTAAATTAACAAACTAGAATTACTACTCCCAAAATAGGGCTAATTTTGTAATAGTACCTATTATAATATGTGTTGGTGCATTACTCGATGATTAATTGTGTACGCTACGCATTATTAAGTGGAGTAAACAATTATGAAGATAAAATAAATACCATAGTATAGATAATTTATACATTGTTCTAGAGAGTGGTTTATACTTAGGTTGTTTGAACAACCTTATATTATTGGGAAAAGGGATTACCAGTGTCAAGTTATGATTTATAAGTATATTTATATATTAAAGATAAAACTTAATTTATCATTTAGATTATTATTATATTTGTTGAGATTAATACGTGAATTCGGTATTATTTTGTGGTTTTCATCATGTTTCTATACTAGCGTTCCCATCAAAACAATTATGATTTCTTAATTTCAAAATTGTTGATTTAGGTGTACGGGTATATAAAGAGATGTTTAGAGATGGGTGATATCAAACATCTAAAATTCGTTAGGTACTCGTTTAGTTTCGTTACCCGATTCTCGATTTTCACGATACCTTTGTAAAAACAAAAAAAATATATTAAACGTTAATATTATTTTATTAAGTAGTATACACAAGTTCAGTTTGTGAAATTTAGACATAAAAACATACAGATACCTTATAAAATTAAAAACTGAAACTGCTGACGAAGTTGTGGCACCTGGCACGATACTATTTTAAGTGAAAATTTGAGATAAGTTACATAAATTTATTTAATATATAATTGTACGCAACGATAAACCATTGCTAATGAAGTACGATTCTGAGCGAAGATTGATTAAACATCTTATGAAATGCCATGATTTTTAGGATTTTTGTCATAATTAAGAATTTGAATTTCTTATAAAAAAAATAAACAAATTATGAGCTCGTCTTAATTTTTCAAACGTTTTAACTCAGTCAAAGAATTATGTACGTGTTCTTTTACAATTTCCGTTCAAGTTTGAACTCTAAATGTGTAGGTATGTAAAAATCCGACAATATTACAAAGATAATCAAAACCTTAAACTTGACAAAATTTTCTTTTAAAAAAGATGCTACACCACTTGAACTTCAAAGGAAGATTTCTAGTAAAAAATAACAATAATAAATTATAAATAATAAAGATTATTGTAAAACCAATACATTTCCTGTTCCACTCAAAATCTAAGTCTCTGATAAACATATACAATTTAGTCATTGAGACAATTAAAAAAATAATAATGAAATATCGTAACAGCGACAAATCGACTCAGGGAAATTTGGACTCTAGTAATGAAACTCATAGGTGTTTTTTTATTTGTCAATTTGAGCTTTATAGCTATTACATGGTATATTGTTTGGTGAACTTGTATTGCTTAATCGCCGGAAGAAGAAAAATACGTTAAAAATATGGAACACAAGTATATTATCAAATCGATAGCGAACCGACTGGTATTAATAACCGACGTTATTCATTAAAATAATCTACAAATACAGTATATTAATTGTATAAAAAATGATTAGAACATCAAAAATACAATAGATATGTTCGACACTTATATTTCTACTAAACCTATCAAATAAACCTGAGTGGCGAAAGATTACTTACTTGGCGGACGTCAACTAGACCAGTACCGTTTGAATTCCTATGTGCCCAAGTCTACATCTCTTACTGGACTAAATTTTAGTGGACGAATCGAATAATAGATTATTACTATAATCATCCGCTGATCGCTTTTCCGTACTGCATCGATCATGGACCGGTTGCCGAAAACGCACGGGTACAATATTGTAACAAAATACCAATAACGGTTTTAAACATAATTTCTGTTTTTTTTTATTTATTCCACTCCGACAGCGATGACGGGCAACCGCCGTTCTGGAAACTGCGCAGAAACCGGATCGCTTTTCTGAGTTTTCTGGGTTTTATCAACGTTTATATGCTCCGGGTCAACCTGAGTGTAGGAATCGTGGCGATGACTGTGTCCACGGACACCCAAGTAAGTTTACGTTACACGTCCGCAGTTAAAGCCACGTATGCATATTATATTTACTTAAATACATTTAAGATTTTAAGAACTATATGCGCACAAATATTCACAATATTTGAATAAAACCACAACATTAAAATATTATTTTAAAGAATTCCAACATTTCCGTATGGCCCTCCTGCGAATTCATCTAAAAATGTATACCTATTATGCAATATGTTATTTAGGCTAAAGGCTTCTTATAATTGGCTAAACCCAAATAGTTGTGATGAAAACGTAGGAGAAGAAGGGCTTCTTATACCATCAATGGGTATATTGGCTATAAGTTACGTATCTGTCTATCGATAGTCAAAAATCTAAATTTTAGTTTCTAAGTGGAATGAAGAAGCTTAAAGTTTTACAAAGATGATTTCAGAAGACTTGTTCGGACGTCTACGTGCAGCACTTTCACTGAAAGGAAATCGGCTTGTGGAGGTATCTATGGGATGTCATTTTTCGATTTTCTCAAGATTTTTCTCATCAAATTTGAAAAACCGAAAAAATATAAGAAATTGAGGTACAGTAAAACTTCCATATAACAGACACCGTAGGGACCGAAAATAATAACCGCTCTTTATTTGTGATCGTTAGCGGAAGTTTTACTGTGTTAGTTAAAATATATTATTAAATATATTTCTTTTTTTCTGTGCACAATTTTTCTACCAGCTATTCCTTTTTAACTTTTAATGATAGCAATGTTTCTAAAATGAAATTTTACTAGCGTGGTACTTTAGAAAGTTCATTATTCGATTTTCTCAGGAGTTTCCTCATCAAATTTGAAAAATCGGGATAAAACATGGGAAAACCTTAGAAAACGTAAGAAAACTGGTACAACATTAAACATATATTATTAACGAAAATATATAAAGCTTATTTAATTATTTTATTGTAAAATGACATACATATTGTTGACAAAGCATCACTATCAACTGAACTCCGCTCAGAATAGTTTTTTCGTAAGCAATAGTTTATTGTTGCTTACAGGTATACATTAAATTATCTATAACAGTGGCTGCACCCGTCCTCATTATCCTAAGACGTCTTTTTAACACTGTTTGAGTGCAAAGAAACTATCAGAGCAGCAACAATAAGTATATGTGAAGTACCTACTTAAAAAAATTGAAAAGTATTTTAAAGCGATCAAATCAATATCGGTGTTTCAGTGTTTGTTTAATGTAAAATATAAAATATAAATTTGTATCACTGTAAACAGGCTTCAAAATATTATATTATTATATATAATAATAATAATAATAATTAACTTATTACGATTTGTACGACAGACGAGCGAATTCCAATGGAGCTCAAAACTTCGAGGCACCGTACTGAGTTCGTTTTTTTACGGCTACATAATTACACAATTACTCGGAGGTGTACTTGGATGTAAATTTGGAGGTGTAAAGTTAATCGGTTACGGCGTCTTGAGCACGGCGATCTTTACCACCCTGACTCCCGTCGCAGCCAGATATTCGGTTTATTTAGTCATCGCACTTAGAATTTTCGAAGGAGTTTTCGAGGTTCGCAATACTTTATAATATACCTATATCTAAACCATGTTGTTTTATTGATATCTTTAAAAATGCATTTCCCAAATTTCTACATAATATTTATGAAATATTCTGCAGGGTGTCGTTATCCCGGCTATGTATGTCGTATGGTCAAAATGGGCTCCACCTAACGAGTCCACGCGGTTGGCATCATTTACTATATCTGGCAATTTTGTAGGCATGGTAATCGGCTACCCGATGTGCGGTTGGTTAGCGGAACATTACGGCTGGCCTTTTACGTTTTACGTACCGGGTACCGTCCAACATACAAAAAATGTACTCTTTATTATTAATTTTTGATATTTGTTTTTTTTTTCTTTTTTTTATTTCTATACAGGTGTTTTAGCTATAATATGGTGTTCCATTTGGTTAACGACCGTTGCTGAAACTCCTGGTGACGACAAATCAATTACAAAAGAAGAACTCAAGTACATTGTTGATTCCATAGGATCGACTGACAACAAAAAAAGTAAACGCATACAACTATCATAAATCTTGCTCTGATGTATCAAGTGTAACATTTTTTCTGAAAGTAATTTCATCTAGTTTGTACTATAGAGGAAACACTTTTTGATTTTTCAAGCGATTTTCATGATTACAGTATAAAAGAAACTTCGCTCCAAATCGTTTTTCGTTATCAATGGTTTATCGTTGATATATATCTATATATATGTGGGGATTTATATTTTACCTTCCTAACTTCCCACTTATAAAAGTAACCCACACGTCATGCAAAGTATGTCCGTCTTTTTCGTATTCATTTTTAAAGATTTTAATAGCAAAAATCGAATTTCGACATCTGTAGTTTTTACTTACCGGGACGGTCAAACAGGAGTGGGGGAATGAAAAGAGACGTATCTCCTTCATTATCTAATTTTCCTTAAATATTTATAATAAAATACAGGGTGATTTTTTTTAATCACGCTCACTGTTCACCCCATTTTAATGATTAAATTATGCACAAATTCAAATTCTGATATTTAAAATTTCAAGTATAGTGAAAGACGATAATTTTGAATACTAAGTCGCTTCACGGCACTTAAAGAATATTCTGTGAAAATAAATTTAAAATAATAATTTACTCTGTTTACACCTTTAATTTAGGCAGTGTAATGAGCTATCCCTGGAAAAATATTTTCACTTCGATGCCGGTTTGGGCGATATCGTGCGCGCTGTTCTGCGAGAATTGGGGATTCTATACGTTACTGACGCAGTTACCAACGTTCATGCACGGTGATTATAAAAATGCCATCTAATTTCCACTCATGACAATAGATAATTAATTTCAAATGTCGTTGTTACACAGACGTATTGAAATTCGATATCGGAAAAGGAAGTTTACTGTCAGCACTTCCGTACGCGATCATGGCCGTTGGTCTCCAATTTACCGGATTCTTTGTAGACTGGCTTCGTAAAACAAACATATTTACGACCACTCAAGTTTGTATTCATTTTAAACGTTTTTATACATTTAAAGCAACTATTTTTACGTTCGTATATTATATAATATGCCTTTATTATTTACAGGTTAGAAAGATCTGTACTTGTGGTGCTTTCCTAACACAATCCATCTGCATGTTTTCCGCGGGAAATTGCGAAACCGGATTCGGATCTGTAATTTGTTTAACACTCATGGCGGGCCTCGGCTCTTTTTCTATGGCCGGATTCTTGTGGGTTATAATATTGTTAAAGCTCGACACATGTCTTTATTGTTGTTATTATTATTATTATTTTTATTTTTTTTACAGTGTCAATCCTTTGGATATCGCACCCCAATACGCCAGCATTATATTGGGGATCGCTAACACGGTCGGAACCATACCCGGTATCGTTAGCCCTCTGTTGACCGGAATTATCGTACAACATCAAGTTAGTATATAATAATACATTCGATACTTTGCGTATACTTTTGTTCGATTTATATAACTATAGGTTATAGTTAGGTTATAGCATGTTTATTAATTCCGGTCATCATTCGCGTTATAGAGCGCGGAAGAATGGCGATGGGTGTTTATAATTGCCAGTGGTTTATACGTGTTCGGAGGGTTATTCTACGGGATATTCGGTTCGGGGAAACTACAACACTGGGCCGAAACCAAAACGGAAAAGAAAAACCATCATGACGACAAACCCTTGATATGAATCGAAAAAACGATACCTGTTTTGTACAAATTAATATTGGTAACAAATAAAATCTATTAATAATCGTCGGATCGATCTTTTTATTATTATTTTCCCGTTTGTTTCTTTTCCGTGTCTTTTTTCCTTTTTAGGATGAACCTTGTTGGTTATCTCAGGGGGTTTGGGATTCGTAGCATATGCATATTATTTTTAAATGATTAAAAACATAGAAGACTCATACATAAACACTGTTCATAATGATATAAGGAATCTAAATTCTAAAATTCTGTTTTGTATATATTTGCATATTTCACAGTTTAGTTTACAGTTTGAGCACATTTTTGCAGTACCTATGTAACCTTTAAGTGCTTATAGTGCTACAGACAATCAGACAATAGACGTACACCATAGGCACAACTAGGGGGATGCACTCCCAAAAATAGTCAATAAACTTTTTCATATTATTGACTGAATATTTTATCTATGTATTTCATAATCAATAAGCAGACCAAATACGGATTACCTATACAAACAATGCACGCGCGTACGAAATATAAAATTAAAAAAAGTTACGATACATTTTGTAAAAATAATTTTAAATGGAATGTGTAGATACCTATTAGAAGTGTCATGTGAAGGGGATTTTGAGAGCCTTGACCCCCACGGATCTGTGATATTTGTCTATAATTCGAACAACCCCAAATTTGGTGGTCTAGTTGCGCTAATTGCAATCTCATTTTATTGTATGTCGTGTGTTATACACGCCTTTTTCGATTTACATTGTTTTAATTCATACGCATTGATGTGCAATTATGGCACAACCGACAAGACTATCGTAAAATTGTTCACAAATAATCATTGAGTTTGAATGTTTGATCAATAAGTTTCAAATTATTCATCTCAAAACACAAAGACTTTACGTAAGTAATACCATTTTATTAATATTAATAATAAATTCTCGTTTTTAATATACAATTTCAATAAAAAATAATTCATTTTGTTTAGAGCATATTTTAGTGCATAATTATACGTTTTTTTAGGACCTAGAAGTCTCTAAGACTATAGATAAATAATGCATAATGTGCTATAATAATATACCAGCATATTTCAGGAAGTCATTTTATGGCAATTTATTCTAACGGCAAAGCCAATATGAGATTACAAATGTATATTAAATTGTATTTTATTGCATTGAAACTGCAAGCATTCCTTTCGACTTTTATCACGCATTGTCTACAATCGAAAAATCACACGACACGTTTTTTGTTGCATTTTTGGTTAACTTTATTACGGTATCATAGCCAAGACTTTTGAGCCACTTTTGAGCAATTAAGGAACTTTAAGTTTTTGGAGTTTTTTTTTATGTAATTCGGTTATAAATACACGTAGATATTTGAAACTTGGTAATAATAGTTATATTTGCCTTACCTAATCGTGGTAAAATTTCCAAAATCATCGGACGGCTTTTTTTTTTTTTTTTTTTTTGATGAGCGTTACAAAATCAAATTTAAACGAAAATCGTAAATAAAAATTACGAAACATCAAATTATGTATTACCGAACCGCGTTCGGAATCGTCTTTCGTCAAGCAATGGTTTTTCGTTGCTTACAGATATAAATGAAATAACCTTATGTATCCTACCTTCCCAACTTCTCACCAACAACAGTGGCCGCCCCCCGTCACCAGTATCGGCTAGATTTTTCGAACACGCGGAATGTACACGATTATATACACGTATATTATTATTGGTATTGGCTTAGGTATTGATACTGGAAATTGCCTCAAATTATCGCCGGGGAAAGAATTCGTACCTACCTTACTTAATAAAAAATGTTTGCACGACGGTCCTGTACGCGATTGCGGGAAGAGCAATGTGAAATTCTCGACGGCAACATATTATACCAGTTTTACCCGAACCGCCGTAAAAGGATCGGATCGCGGAGATGAACTTTTTCCCGTTATTATTGTGTCGACTGTGCGAACGATCTGTTTACTTCGGACATTTAGACTGTTTAGAGAGCAGATAATATTACGTTAGGCGTGTATTTTTTACCGCAAGTCGTGGCAATGAAACTCAACAAGAGTAGGCAGGCGCATAATTGTTTTTTTTTTTTTGTTTTCTGACGAAAGTTGTACTACATATTATAGGGCGGAGGGAACGATTTCGGATAATCCGACCGTGGTAATTATAATATTATAGTGTATATTATTCTGCAGAATGATATAATTATTATTATATTATGCCCGTACAAGGGAAAAAAGAGAAATTTAAGACGACGACAAATCGCCCGTATAATAATATAATGTATATTACGATGGGAAATATAATAATATACACACTCAATTGTCTCTGGGAGCGAAAACTCGAGACTTTGAAGAGAGGGACATTTAATTAGCCCCCGTGCCCCACCGCATTCGGCTCCGGTACATATACTTTCTCTTTCTAAACCGCCACCGGACAGTATACGGATTGACAGAGAGACCGGCGGACCGGCAGCGCTCGTCGGCGTACACGCAGTCGTATAAACATAGGTGTATACCATTTGCCGGGTACCGAACACGCGAGTTCACCGGACGGAAGACGGCTCCGCGGGACCACCGGGGATGCAGTAAGTAACGAATTACGAATGAAATATTATTTTGCCGGTGTTGTTGGTCGTAGGGTTTGACGTGGGTGTCGATTTTCGATTTGCCCCGCGAGAGACGAGAGATACGGTATTTCATTTATAAACGAGCGAGAACCCTTTAGAACAATAGCACTGCAGTGGTGATAATAGATTATGGTGCCGGTACAGATTAGATGTTCGATATTAGTTAGAAAAAAAAACAACCGAGCTCATTATACTGCTGACGTGTATGCGACTGTTGTAATCTGAAAGACAGGACGTCATAAAGTTGTTTATATCTGTGTTATGTTAACTATTCTGAGCGAAATACGGTTTAAACACGTTTTAATGTTCCGTGATATTTACGATTTCCGTTAAAACTTAAATTTTTAACGAGTGTAAAAAAAAAAAAAAAAAACTATGCTACATAACGCTCAAATATTTTTACCACTCAGTACAACTTACGGTGAACCTCGTGTAAAATGTTCAACTATTTATGTTCGGCCAAAACAATAATATCCGTAAAAAACCAAATAATAACTCAAAAATTGCCAAAACGCTTTGAATACCGTGTCTAGAAAATTCTAATATACGTATTGTGTGAAAATTTCAAATCTCTACGACTATTTTTAACCGAATTACAGAAAATCAAAGATGATAAAATTGTTATAGCCGAAAAACGAAAACGTTTGCGTCTTTTTTAAATATGAAAAAAAACCACCTAAATTTTCTAAATTTGCTATCAGTTGACATTTAACTAAAAATGCATATGTTTATCCCAAGAATAAAATGTTTTATTTTATTAATTTACATTATTACTTCATTAGTATGATAAATATAAAATCTCCGGACAATACGATATTTCCATTGAACATGTTTTATGTGAGCAGAAATCATGATTGTATACAAATCGTTGACACTGTTGATGCGTGAGCCACTGTTTTAGGAGGGCGCTTAAAACGGAGGTTACATAGCGTATTTTCATTTAGATGTGTACGAAACGGTAAACCATCGATAACGGAAAACGATTCTGAACGGAGTATTATCTATTAGTGACATTGTTTTCTTTGTTGCCAAGATAACCCAGATATCAACGAAAACTATACGGAAAATTGTAATTTTTCCAATTTATTATTAATAAAACTACAATAAAAATCCAAATATGACTTTCCCGAATGCGTCAATCGGATCGAAAATAAAGTAAGTAACAGTTTCTATACGATTTCCGAATAGCGCAAGATTTCCAGTAGAAAAGTTGTTGCAGACGCATAAAAAAAAAAAAAAAAAAAAAGTAATAAGTAATAAAACCAATACGTTCCACGTTTCCCTCGGAATCTTTTACCCAACTTATATTGGTTTATTATTGAAAAAATTGCACTTACAACGTTATCGCTGTGTACATTTGTTTGCAGTGTGTTTCCGACAGTATATATTTCGTTTTTTTTTTTTTTTTTTTCAACATTCATGCATCTCGGCGGTTTTGTCGAGGACTTTTTAATTTACGTTCACTATGTATACATAATGGCAAGGAATAGGCAGGGCCCACGGCCTTGTTCGTACTCGAAAATAATGCGAAGCAAACGTTTTATTAAACGAGACACCGTTGTAAATGAATAAATAACAAGGCGGGATCGTTCTGTACTTTACTGGAATCGAAAACGAACGGAACGCGCGACCGTCCGATTGAAATTTCACACACCGTGTACGGGTTACGCAACACAGGTACTCTCGCCATGTTCGGATAATATTACATATATTTCGCCTAGGAATTTTTTTTTTTATTTTTTTTATTACTCTCAACTCTGACTTGACGATAATTGCCCGCCTACCACCGCGTGATTCTTTACACGTATTTATGGACATCGCGACGGTAGGTGGTCGACACGTTCGCGGCGACGGCCCGTTAAGAAAATATGTCGGTCGGTTTTTTATCGCATTACCGTCAGACGCGCGCCCGTGCCGACACACTAATCCGAATTTGGTAACGAATTTCTACGGGACAACTCGAATCCGGCAATTAACGCAAAATCGATTACGCGTCCAATTTGCACGCTTTACTACAGGCGTACCGAAACAAGATTAAATGAACGATCAACCGCATTCGCGATATTATCCTTGTCGAACCGCGCTGGAATTGTTTTCAATAAAATGTCTAAAGTTCAAACCGCACACCAACACTGACTATCCGGTCACATTGGTCTACTCTATGGGCGCCCGCAGGAAATTTATCAGGGAGGGACATAATAGTATCGAACAAAAAGCACTCAAAATGAAATTGTATTTGAAACTTTCAAGTCCACGGGGACAAATGCCCCGTTTTTCTGTCCCTCCCCCTCCGGGCGCCCATGGTCCCCTCCGTTTTACAATCTGAGCAAAGCGGAACACGGTGTATTGGGTTTACAATCGGAACAACATTTCTACCGAAAATCTATAATCAACTAATGACAAGAGCAGATTCTTTGTTGCGTTTTGCATCGAGAAGGTCATTTTTTTGATTTTCCTCGCAACAAAATTGGAGGAAAATCGTTTTCGAGATTTTATTGGCATTTATTTAATTTCGTGTGAACAAAATTGTTTGGCCGAACAGTAACGTCTGACGATTTAACACGAGAAAAATTTTATCACTGATATTTGATTATAAATCAAAGTATTTAAAATCAATGTTTTTACTTAGTAACTGAAAAAAAAAACAAAGTTGAACTTGATGTAGTTTTTTTAATAGCTTTTTAAGTTCATATTTTGAAGACAATCGTAAAAATCACGGAATATCAAAACACGTTTCACCGAACGTTTATAAATAAATGACTAATTTATGTTTCTGGTATTAGGTTTTATGATGTTATAAAAATAATTCCACCAATAGAGCGCGGCACTGCGCCCGTTCTGATTTATTTTCCTTAATAAAAGCATAATATTGTGTTCCAACCATAGACATTAATTATTAATTCATATACGGTGGATTAATCCACCTTGAATACATATATTAATTCGTGGTCCTAACCGTAGAATATAGCCAATATGGTTCCAACTTGCTGACCTAATATTACAGAGAAAAGAGACGTTAAAATTGACCATATTACCCGCATCCTTCCTGGATAATCTGTGTATGGTCTTTGTTTATAGATAATAATATTATCTACAAACTATGGTTAGTGGTAACATACATATCAGTAATACCACGAAATTTATTTTCACTTTCAAAATATTGATAATGTAACGTTTTTGTTTTTGTTTCAATTTGAAAACTTGTTGACTTTTAACAATAGTTTAAAAAAATAATGTTATCGTTAAATTTCGGAAATTTTTCCCTTAAAAAATGTTTGTTAGACTTGTACATTTATTAGTATTATTTAGTTACATGGAAGTTACCTACCTTTTATTTTTATTATTATTTTTTAACTAACGATTTAATAACTATGCAAAATCTAGTGTATTTGTAAATTGTAAATTATTTAGTTACCTATCTAGTTTTTAACCTGTTGAAGGTAAAATGTTTTAAAATTTTATTAAAGACAATTAACCATAATACCCAAGTACCTAAAAGTTTTATGGAAGTTTATTAGAAATCTTCATTCTTATTTTCAGGTACTTTGCAATTTTTTTTTTTTTGATTTTTAAATTAATAAATTGTTTAATTAATTAATTATATTTATATTATAAAGGGTATTTTAGCATTTTAAATGTTATAACAACTGCTTGATGATGGCTGTGTTAAGTATAGCTTAGTCATCATAATAAAAATAATAAACATTTCAACACCATGGAAACAAATAGTGACACAACATAATTATATACGTGGTGGGCAAGTGCTACAAAGTGGGGATTATTAAAAACACGTGAAACACCTTTAAAATAAACAATTATAATACTAAATATTACGCAGATATTTGTGTACAAATTTATGATAAATGTTAAATATTTGGTTGTGTATAATGTGTGAATCATTATTATTAATTGTATCTGTTGTTAAATCAGTAAGGGTAGTTTATGAGGAAAATTAAGAAATAATAAGGAATTGTGTGTAAAAAAAAAAAAATAATAAAAAAATCAATATCTTTGTAGCTATGTATAGTAAAATTGTTTTTTCTATATTTATTCAACACAATAGAGCTTAGTAACAATTATAGGTATAGTAGATGCATAATATTATTAAATTGGCCATACATTATTATTTTAATCGATTACAAATTATTATTTTTTTCTTCTAGAATCTGATTGTACGTGATTTGTCGTCTACTACAGTTGTGAAATTTGTTTAAAAACAAGAAATAATAATGAGTCATAAAAGCAATAATCGTCGTGCAAACCAAGCACAGGTATATGAAGCATTGCATAAAAAACGTACAGCCGAGTATGAAGCTAGAGAACAATGGGCTGGTGTAACACAGTATTTTAAAACATGGGAAAACAATTCAAACAAGTTCACCAATTGGACTTCTCCACAGTATTACAAAAAAAGGTAATTTAATCTGTAGTTTTCCTGTAGATACCTCAAATCAAATTATTAATGATTATCGACTAAGTCAGTTTAATACAGAGAAATTGTTACCTAAGTATGTGTAACAAAATCCAATTAAATGTTCATTATGTAAAGTTGAATGCTCTGTTCATTATAATATTATGTGTGTTCACAGTGCCGAGTTACAGTTGGAAATTCAGAGGCGAGAGCAGAGAAGACTTGAGGAAGAACAAGAAGAATGGGAAAAGTGGCAGAAAAAAATTAGAGATAGACAGCGTGAAGATGAAGAATTTAAAGTAATTACCTATGATACATTTTTGCTGAATCTAACATGTATAAAATCATAATTTTCTATTTAAATATATCACATTTCATATTAATATATAGTGCATTTATAACATGTATAACGAAGTTAACTATATCGGATTTTGATTTTTTGTTTATCATGTAGAAAGGGCAGATGAAAAAGAAGCCTATTTCGTTGTCAAGACCGAATTCTGCGGGACAGCAGCAGACACAGCCCTCCGAAGAGATGGCTATGGAATTGAAACGTAAACAAGATGCAGTTATGAATCGGGAGATCGAGTTGAGACTTCATGCTCAATCTAAATCTTGCGATCCCAAACAAGCCAAACAAGTAAGAATCTATACAGAGTGGTATGTCAAACAGGGGGGAGGGGCCAATGGAGCCGTGGCCCATCCACTGTAGGATGAACACTCAATTATTTAAATCACAGAACACAGATTTAGGATTTACATTTTAAATACACAATTTTTTTATGTTTTATTATCTTTGATTATCTTGATATCTACTTTTTGATTAGTAAATTTTCATTAGGTATCAACATTTTTCTGTCCTAATTTGAAATTTAAAATTCTTATCCATGGGCTTATTAAATAAAATCTATGATAAAAATAATTTTTTTTTTGTTTTTTCCCCCGAGAAATATTTCTGTAGGCGGCCTTGATGTCAAATGAACATTATATTTTAAAATTACACTACCATTTTATAATATAGACATTTGATAGAGAGCCCACAATGCATTGGTTTCATAATTTCCCCAAAATTGTAAATTTTTTAGACAAGTATAATGGTTTTACTTCCTGAGACTCATATAATAAGGTAGAAAGTGGTAGTTATATAATTATTAGGATCGTGAGAAAATATTATTAAAAATTTCTTTTTTCTGTTTTTTAATATATTTTTAGTGAGAATTAAAATGCTGCCACTTGTATAATGGCACAATGGGTATTTATTATTATTAGAAATATTTTTAGAGGAGACCACAATATTTTAAATGTTTGTTAAAAATGATTAATAATAACAAAAGATAAATGAAAATTTCTTGAAAATTGTAATATCTCATTATTATTATTTAATTTGCTAGTACGAAATGCGAGTGCGTCAACGGTCATCAGAGTCATCGTGGGATGACCGGATGGAAGAAAGGAAGTCTGCAGACCAAAAACGACAGGAACAGTCAAAAAACGAACAACGGTTGTCTGAAGAAAGTTTAATGGCTGAAAGAACCGTCGAAGAAGACAAACAGCGAAGCAGACAGAATAGAGCAACCGAACTGAAAAATGAGCTTGTTGGCCAAGTAGCTGAGTTGAAGTAAGTTACTTAGCAATAGCAGATTTTCTATATTCCATGCATTGAGGGATAAGTGTCAGATAAAAAAAAAAAAAAGAAACTTAATGTTTTATCACAATATTTAGAGTACAATAATAACATTGCAGATATGACATTTCTGAATAATGGCTATGGCAGTATAATATGTTTTATGTTTTAATTTATAGAATGCGTTCAGACCGGTGTGAAGAGCTAAAGAAGATTGAGTCTAAATATTTGGTGCTGCAGAGTCAAATTGAAAATATTGAACATAGAAATGATGAATTAGATGGAAGAAAAAAACACAATTTATCAAGGTATTAAAATAATATTGAAAAAACTGAAAGTATTTGATTAATAACTTATTAAATCAGTTTAAAAAATTGTAATTATAATATTTAGAAACTTCATTTGATACTAAAAAGTTAAGTGGCTTACAAAGTTTTCTTCACAAACCATAACTGACTATAGTTATTTTATTTCACATTTAGTGACTGTAGGTACCACTACATGCAATGTTTGTGATTATAATAATAATAAATTGAAATGTTATTACCCTTTTATTCTTGAAATTTACTTTTTCATTTAATTAAAAAAATCACATTGTACTATTTACAAAACATAGGTATTTTTGAAATATTATGGGCTAATAATAAATTATTTGTTTACATAAATAAAAAATTATAATGTTTTAAGGTCCAAGGTGCTGCGGCAGTACCTGACCATGTTGAAGCAGAGGTCCAAAGAAATGGTGGAGTTCTTGCGAGAAGATCAAAAACTTTTAGATGACCTTAACACCGTAATTCACCATTCAAATGTAACCGTTGATCTTGACTTAAATGGCAAAGTAAATGAGCTTAAAGATTTATTTAGTCAGTATGAAGATGACGAAAATCAGCGGCTATACCTCATGGAGTTTATGTTTGAGTATGTGGAACTTTTGCTCAAAAGTGCACTGTTGTCTGTAGTGAGAATATTTATGTTTTGATTTTTTTTCTAGAGAAGAAGCTAGAAACATATGGCGGTCACACGAAGAACGGTGGAAAAGTGAATATGTTGTCCGCAAAACAAAAGTGGGAGAATTATTTACTTTGATAAAAACTCAAGTCAGTACTAGAATATATGCAAAATATCTTGTTGAATTACTCTTGGGAAATGTTTGATATTAAATAATCCTTAAAAGTCACTTTTATTTTACTGCTATTTCTATAGGATTATTTTTGTTTTTAACTTTTATAACTCTAGTAACACATATTTTATACTTCAACAATTTTTTTTTCAGTTGGAAAATCAAATTGACAAGGGTTTAAATGAACAGCGCAAATTAATTGGCGAACGAGAAGAATTGATTGGCGATATAGAAAAGGGAAATGACGAACTGAAAACGTTAGAAATTGAGATAAATGAATTTTACAAACAACACCCCGAATATAATAACAATGATCATTCATCGGTATATTTTTGTTTAGTCATTTGATATCTTTTGTTATGCACTTGACATTAATATTTTTTTCGAATTTTAACAGGACTCTAAAAACTATCAAAAAATTGAAAACAATGCAATGAAAATAGCAGACCGCGAACACAAATTGTTGAACGATATGGCCTATTTGAACTTATTGGATGATTCCAAATTGACAGTGAGTATATTATTAATACACAAGGCAATTTAATTAAACACAAAACAGTAGTTTAATGATTTTTATTATACATTTATTGTAATGAAATTAAAACATATTTTAGCTTAAAAACATAAACCACTCAAATTTGGTACAGAAAATATTTCTGAAAATTGTTTACCCATAGTGTGAGTTCTATAAAGGAGGTTAGACATATAAACAAGAAAAGTAAGAAAAATATTAACCATATTGAACAGAAGATTTACCCAAAATCAGACACTATTGTGACTATTAAATTTTAAATTTCATGTTTCACTTAAAAAAAGAAATTTATTTATTAATTTAATAAATAATATCTCAAATAAATGATTACTATTAAATGTATGTGACAAATTTTAATTTTGCATATCAAACAAAACAGTCAATTGCGAAACAGTTTAAGTGTTATGTAGAACCAATATCCTTGAATTGTACTAGAAACTATGATTCCAATCAGTTCAAGTAGGCCTGCCTTTAAAAGTTTTCATATTATTAGAAATATTTGTCATTATAATAAATTTCCATAAACCATTATGTGCACTTGTTCTACATGCACTATTTTATTTCCATAAGATTTTATGCAATATGAAGTTTTTAGAAACCATGTATGGTGTCAAAAGTATGTATTACATGGGCCTATGGAAATAACTCTAATACTATATATGGAATAATTATAGGTATATTACATCACAGGATTACTAAGATTCATAAACACTACATTAAATACAACTCAAAATATTTAGTGTCTTATATTATAAAATAATATTGCAAATAAATTAAGATTAGTAATATTATTATTATTATTATCTAATTGTTTTAGGATCATCGGCGGAAAAAATCAGTCTGGTAAACCGTAATTTTGGTTTCCTCATTACATCAAGTAATTTAGCATTGCTACAACAATTTGTGTTTTAGTTTTATAGAATTATTTTTAATTTTAATATGTAATTCAGAATAATAACACAAACATTTTCATGTCAATTTTACCATTTTATTACTTTTAATACCGTCCAACAATTTATTCTTTAATATTATTATTATTATTTTGATTGGTTTATTTCTAAGTTTTTATTGTGCAATTGATTTTTATACTCATTTTACTAACTTTTATTAATGTTGTACAATTTATAATATCTATTGATTTGTAATATGTTATTTGACAACAAAATGTATTAACTATAAATGTAAACATAAAACATAAAATTAATGCAATTTTATTAACAATTATAAATTTATATGTTTTATATTCTAATCTATTTCTTATTATAATAATAATATGAGTTACTTAATTAATTGAATGGCAGTGGATTAATCCTATTGAGAATCCTTGAGACTAAAAATGAATTGCTTTTTGACCCTTTTTTTAAAAAATGTATTTAGCAACTAATATTCACAATAAAAACCGGTAATAATTAAACTTAAAAACAATTATAGAAATCTTTAAACCACAGTCTTTGTAAGAGATGACAAGTAATAATATTAACAACAAATTAAAATTATCCTTACATAATATGTTTATTTAATAAACATCTGAGTATAGTGAATGATTTCGAAGCCAACCTCAACCATGATCAACACAATGATCATCCATTCTAATCTGATGTGATGTTTGTCACTAAGATGGTGTGATAGGAGCTCAACTAGTTCCAAGCAATGGTTTATTTTTAGGTTCATTGTCTAAAATGAAAAGTTGTTGAAAAAAATTAAAAACAAAATAAGACCATTATAGTTTTTAATTGCTGCCAACTTTGTTGGTAATTATAAGAAATTTTAAGATCAAGTATTAACCGATTGAACACTGTTGTGATTACACATACACACACACCTTTAGACGCGTAGAAATACTGAAATAATTGCAGGATGACCGATAGAAAGTTTCCAGCTGTTCCCGTTCCCAGTAAAAGTCTGGCAAATCTTGTAGGTCTGAACTCAAATTAATCTTGTGTCTTAGTCCAAACAGTTCGCCAGTCTTTTTCATTACTTCTTTTCTGGTAATTCGTATGGGCAGTCCGTTTTGAAGGTCCTATAAATTTATCATATTACAGACTAAAATATACTACTATGCTAACAATACTTAAAAAATGGAATATTAGACAACAGAATGAAGACGACAATCACTAAAAGATTATATGGGTGACGACTAATTAATTTAAAAAAATAACACGATGTCGGCGGTCAACAACACTCACTTGCGTTACATACTCGACAGAATCAATGTACTCTTCGAGCATTGATTCCCATATGCCCAACTTGACGCTGTGAGCCATCGCGTTTGAGAAAGTGTAACGGTCCAAATCTGATGCTGTCACATCGTCTCTGATCAGGTGCAGGTTACCCTTTTTAATGGAACTCTTCCTGAAAAACATTCACGTTTAAAAATATCTGATGCTCGACAGATGGTCACTACTTTGAAAATCGCTATAAAGAAAATCACTCGGTTGAAAAAAGTAAACTGATAACCTAATATACGACGTATATTCTACCCGCGAGTAGAATCAACTTTTTTATATTTTGAAAGCATTTTTTCGTTTTAACGAAAAGAACTGATAAAATCTTACTTTAAATACATCTAAACTGAAAATAATTAAATATCAACCGTTTTACTCCACCGGTATAGGCACCCCTAAAACTGAGCGTTAGAATTAAAGAGAGCCGCAACAAGCTTATCTGTGGATTACTAACGATAAGAAGCGAAATGTATTGTAATATCGTAATGAATTATCAGCCATTTACTTGTCGTCCGTGTACGTATAGTACATGATTTCCCTCTCGTCTGTGATGATCTGATCGTTGTACGGGCCGATTTCGTGATCCGTCAAAAAATTTACAAGACTTTTGACCTCGAGGTCCGTGATGTTCCAACCGACCACCGAGCCCTCACGAAAGAAATACAAATGCCTGGGCTCGTTGGTGACGTGCATTTTAGACACGGCGTGTATGACGTCCGCGGATTCTGAAATTTTGCGATTTTAGTAAGTAAGTATAGACTGGGTAAGAGTACGTACGAACATCAGATGTTTAACTACACAATCCGACGGAGTCGTGGATTTTAGAAGACCTCGAAAAATCCATGTAAAAGTATGTACTTATTTAAGGTACATGGATTAGGGGTAAAAAATTAAAAATGGTTTTAAAGCTTAAACAATTCGATAATGATTAGAAAAAAACAGAAATCAAATTCACTTAAAATCCTCCGAGATAATTGCTAGTTCATGAATCGTTTTTTTCGTTAGCAATGGTTAATCGTTGCTTACAGATAATACATTAGATTCCTGTCTGTATCCTAACTTCCCAATACCACCCACCCCGTTTAACTCATCTGAACACGTCACTGTTCTGTGCAGATTATTCGATTAGCTCACCTGTTTCATCCAAGTCGGAACCTTTGTACAGGCACGTGGGTTCGTAAATTTTCGTCTTTTTCAGCGCCACGTGCAGTTTCTCCAACCGGAACTCCTCGGCCGTCGCGAACGCCGACACGCTCCAAAACTGTCGACAACACGCGTATCCGTGGATTATTATAATAATAAAATACGGTATACGAAATAAATAATGATAACGTAGACAAATAAACACTCGAATAAATACACAATTTATATACAAAAAAAAAAAACGCAGCCTAATCCACATGGTGATTTTTGTATCGTGAACCAGCAATTATCTCAGAGGATTTTAAGTGAAATTTGATTTCTCTTCTTTTTTTTTTTTCTAATAATTATGGAATCGTGTAAGCTTTATTTTAAACCAACGTTTAATTTTTTATCCCTACAACATATATCTTAAATAAATGCATACTTTTGATTTTCCTATAGGAGGAGGCGTAGAGAAGGGTCATAGATAAGCAATTTGTTACCCTTCGCCATTCTTCCGGTCTAAACTTTATACCGTTTTAACTCATAAACGGTAAATCTGATATTAGTGTGATGCATATCAAAATTTCTAGAAAAATATTCTCTATTCAAAACAGTGTTCAAAAAGGAAGGGTGTGTTCCTATTGGAAAATCAAAAGTATGCACTTAAAGATATATGGAGTAAGGGTAAACAATTAAACATTGGTTTAAAATAAACCTAACACGATTCCATAATTATTAGAAAAAAAAAAAAGAGAAATCAAATTTCACTTAAAATCCCCCGAGATAATTGCTGGTTCACGATACAAAAATCACTCTATATAATCCGACGGGTTTCGAAAATAATTTTTAAAACATCAAAAATATAGGCAATCAACGGACAAGTAAAACGTCAACAAACGCTTAACAGAAGACGTAATAGCCGCGCGCGCGTCCGTCCAACGACTTGGCAAATTTGAAAATTGCAGCGGCCATTTGGTTTTTGTTGATTAAAAAATATTATTAGATTGAATTGACACGGCATCAAACGCACAGGTAATACGATTGACCCGCCCGTGTTTGTAGTTTTGTGCGTCGGTTTTTCTCTCGGCATTTAATTTTTAAGCGACATACCTATGTAATGCCCGTATAACGGGTGTAGGTACGTGAAATTGACAAAATTGAAAAATACTCATGACTCGCTGGGAAATTTTAACCGTTACTTATACGGACTCGATGACGTTCAAAATTCACGTCGACGTTAAGACTGCGACGTAACGCGATTACTGTGCCCGCCGAACGCAATTTCGCTATGTCGTACCTACCTATCAGGAGACTTCTACGATATATTTAGTTTATTATTAATGTTGGAGAAATGTCCGAGAAGAAAAAAATGTCAAAATATCGGAAAATTGTACATAGATTATTTGTGTTTGTTTCTATACCGTCCTAGACAAATCTCTACCGGTCAGATTTTCGATTTTTCCGTTTACAGACCATTTTCGGTCAGTACACTTTTTACACCTCGTTATGAAATCATACATTATTTGTCGGTACCCGTTATTATTTGTGAAAACGCGATTTTTGGTTTTTTTTTTTTTGTTTTAACTGTATAGGTATGTACTAGCGTAAATGTGAGTAGTGAATTATCGCATACAACATTACGCAGGTACATCAAACTGTTTTAAGATATTTGATGGACCGCAATTTAACGATTGCGATTGCGATATGAAAATGATATAAAACGTGTACTGTAGCCACCTACTATTACATATTCACACAAATTACACACCGATTAAACAAATTTGTCGCATTGAAAACTATTCTTTTTAGGAACAACACTATATCGGGGCCATCAAATTTATGTCCCTTGAGAAATACAAAAAAAAAAAAAAAATCTACGACACGTTTAACGATATTTTTTTACATTTTTTCCACGCACCCAAAAGCCATACTACGACAAACATCAATAACATAGGACCGACAGAAATCTGCGTTGTTATCGGTTTTGAAAACTCACGCCATGTGGCTGGCCCGTGTCTTCGACTATGGACGGTTTCCGCCGCTGCGTTCGTTTCTTAATGTTCGTCGCCTGTGCGGCGTTCAACGAGCCTCGTGTGCTCAGACACCGCAGACCATCGCCGTAAACTTTCAACGGCCGTAGCCAGCCGCGGGTACACGTAAAACAGTACATTGTGCCCAGGTTATTGAGGTTGGAATTGTTGAAAATCTACAATAATTCTTTCCACAGCGAACAGAGAGAATATCGAAAACCACCGGGCCAATAGATTCAATTCCGCCGAAGTACGCAACGACCAAAGTACTTAGAACAATAACGATAACACGTCGCGAGATAACCCGGACGGCGAGCCGGTGATAACGCCTAACCATATGGTACACATTTGCCAGTGTTACGTCAGTTGATAACGGTCGCTGGTCAGCTGCTGTCGCCCTGTTTGCTGATGAACTTGTTGTCATGTTCGTTTCTCCGAATTTCCATAGGTTTTTTTTTTAATATCGAAATATCACTGATTTTCTTAAACCGAACCAATTAATAATAATACCTAATACCTATTTATTTCGATTATTTTCTGCGACGATTTCGTGGTTGAACTACTGGTACATCGTCAAACAATATTGCGTTATTAAACATCCTGTACTTAAAGGTAAATATTGAAAACCTAAGGATTCAAACATATAAACCGTTTTTTAAAAATAACATTTTTGGCAATAGTTAGAATTAAAACAGAAAATAATTTATCTTTAGTGAGAAAAATAAATACCATTGCTCAGATTTGATAGCCTCATTATTTTTGTTAAGAATATTATGAAATTATTATATTTAAAATATTTTATAGTAAAAAATAAAATATATATCGAACTATGAATAATATGATTTCAATGCCACTGTTATTATTTTAGGTGTCTTGAAATACTGTATTCAAAATGAGGAGACGAGCTGGTGTCGGTGCGGTTCATAAACAAAAATTAGAACAAGAAAAATATAAGGACAAAGGCACGGTGATCCAAGAAAATCAATTTGAACAAATGACCAAACAAATGGAAGTGTTCCGTTTGAATTTGGAAGAGTTTGCCACTAAATATAAAAATGAAATTAAGAAAAATTCTCAATTTAGACGACAGTTTCAAGAAATGTGTTCATCTATCGGTGTCGATCCGTTAGCTTCGGGCAAAGGATTTTGGTCTGTCCTTGGCATTGGAGATTTTTACTATGAATTAGCAGTTCAAATTGTTGAAGTCTGTATGGCAACAACTCATAAAAACGGCGGCATCATTGGTTTGGATGAACTAAGGGACCGTTTGGTAAATATTTCTTTTTTTTTCAAAATTGTATACTATTTTGTATGAAACCCATTTGAACATTTTCAGATAAAAGCCAGGGGACGTAATAAACAACATCAAGAAATCACGATTGATGACCTATTGTGTGCCGCCCGAAAGCTTAAGATATTTGGCAATGGATTTTGTGTTATACCTGTTGGAGAAGGCCAATACATGGTGCAATCTGTACCTGGAGAACTGAGTATGGATCACACTGCCGTTCTCAAACTGGTATCCACATCCGGCAGTGCGTTCATTACCTTACCATCTCTAATGGAGCAACTAAACTGGGAAACGACAAGAGCAACAAACGTTTTGAATAGCATGGTCACAGAGGGCCTTTGCTGGATAGACAAAGATCATAAAAAAGATGTGTCATATTGGTTCCCCAGCATGTTCACAGAATGTATTAAATCATCATAACAATACCCTATTTTAGTTATTTTTTTTTTTATATATATATAAATAATTATTGTAAGAAAACTTCTCAACAGTGTAAATATACTTATTTAATTTTGTACACAATAACCCAGACATCAGTGTATATTATTTTTATTGAATTTGTCGTTACTAAAAGAAAAATTCCATATAAATTCTTTCCAGAATTTTGGGTTTTTTCAATATTTTCCAGCAACAAAAGAGTAAAGACTTGTGTTTAATTTAAATTGAAGATTAATGAAATAATAATGTTAATTAATAGATAAATAATGTAATAATAAAAACAGAAAATATTCATTTTCAGAAAAACATCACGTAAGTTTTATTAATATAATATTGTATAATTAATATATATATATAGTGTAACAAAAAAAAAAAAATACTTATAAAACTTACAAATTCGAAGTAATTTAGGGGTCACAAGAGCAATTTTTGTTTTTTTTGTATGGGTAAAAAATTAAATATAATATTTCTATTCTAGAATAAACATTATCACATATTAAATAGTTGTATAACTCAATTTGGCTACGGCTGACATTTATTTTTATTTAAAAAAAAAAAAAAAAAACCCAATAACATTTTCAGCTTAAACATTTTAACTAACAAGTAATTATTTATTTATAATAATAATAGTTTTATAATGAAAATATAATAATAAACTATACTCTAAGCTATCATTGAAAGTGAACTATTTTAATTATATATATATACATCACAGCCACGATAGGGTACATAAACAGTGGCATACATTTAACTTAAGTGGAGATATATATATATATATATGTCAATAGACAGGGAGAGCATGGAAAATTACAGATTGAATACATATTTAATTTTTTTTTTTTTTTTTTTTATGATTAAAATGAATTCGTTTCCCCGATAATAATTGTTCGAATTTCATCAATAATGTATGCTATAATACTGGACTGTTGGAAATATTATGTGTGTATAATATTATATTTAATTTGTATAGTATAGTTGACTTATTAGTATTACAATAGTACAAAAAATTAACTTAAAACTTTGGAAGGTGGAGGTTCCAAGAATAATATTTTATTGGAACACCTAAGATACTAATTAAAATTAAATCATAAAAACCACATTTTGGGATAATACAAATGGTATATGCTGTTTGTAAAATATAAATGACAAGTTTCTCAAAAAAAAAAAAAATGATTACAAATATGTTTTATAAGACATTATTAAGCTTAAATTAACACATAGATTAGTAATAAAAACATGTCCGATGATAATACGAATTAGGGTTATTTTGCTCAATTAGTTATAATAAAAATTAACTCATAACTAAGAAAAAATACAAAATATAAAATAAATCAGTCTTAGGTAAACTTTCTGTTATCTATGTAATCCGATAATAAGATACTAGTAGAGTCAAAATAATATTATTCAAGAATATTCCAAATAAAAATTAATACCGTGGGTAATTTGCAGATTTCGGAAAACGATTTAATAATTCACTTAAGCTAAATCTAAACTTATTTATTTTCAAATGATTAATAGATAGATAGGAATTTTTAAACACCTGTTTTTTTTTTCTTAAATATATATTTTCCATAAAAGAGAATATAAAATTAAATAAAGCAAAATAATACGTAGAAAAACATTAATAAAAAACGAATATAATATTTCTGAATCCTTAATGTTTACTTTTTATTCCTAATAAAATTTCATTATATAGTTAACAGATCTTAGGAGTATATTCAAATTTTTTTAATAAACGTCAATACTATTTTATTATGAAAACAATAGTAATAAAATAAAAACGAGTTTTATTTTTAATGCTGTGCGGCTACACTTACTTCTAATACGAAAAATTATTAAGTCAATCGTAATATAAAGTTTATGACAATTACAAAATGTATAAACATAATAATATTACATACTTACATCAAATATGTCATGAAGTGCAAGGATCTTAGAATCGTTATATCAAATGAAATTTAATAAAAATTATAAAATGTAATGTTGATAAAAAAATTGTTCGGAGATGAAATATTTATTATGAAATTAAAACTAAATTTTCTGAATAAATATACCTAACACTATATTTTTTAATATTCTTTGATTAAAACTGAGTACCCTACATAAATCTAACACAAAAAAAAAATAAAAAATAAAGGAGAAAATCGTACAAAAATGATCTAAAATAAATTTACATTGTTATATTAATAAATGCTAATCCGGACTATACATCCATATGTTTGGAAGGCTGTTGTGCAATAAATGGTTCACTCCACATTTTTCTTAAATCGCCCTAAACACAATTAAAAAGACAAAAAAAAACATTAAAAATGATAATGATGTCTAATTAAATAGTAAAACTGGAAAATATTTATTACCTTTAGGTAAGCCATAGTTAAAAGAGGCAACAGTGTAAACGGAACTAAATAAAGTAAGGCTGGTTGGGCAGCTTTAAATACTTCTGAAGATACTGTAGCAGTGACGAGGCCCAAGAAATATCCGATTAATGAACAATGGAAGTAACTATTGTAAACAAATTATTCTTTTATTTATTCAAATTATATTTATTTTTCTAAAAAATTGTTATCGGTCTTAACCTAATTCTGCTAAGATGTCTTGGAGGTGGAACACCGGTTTCTCCAAAATGTAAGAGCTGGGATTTCTTGTATGCATCATAACGCATTACAAAACATAGTAAAAGCCCGGGCATAACCTGATAAACATATTATATTATCATTAAATGTTATAAATAATGAACAATATAACTCACTATATCACCAAGACCAAGCATTGAAAACCGTCCACTGTGAATGCTGGGAAATACTAATTTGCCAGGAAGAGATAATCTAGGCGCCTCTTTGGCAACCCCGCCGATGTGTAATTTTCGGGCCACTACTCCAACAGGGTTTTCTGCTTGTCTAGTCGCAACCTATTATATAGCAATTGGTGTGTAATTATATAAAGGTATGTAAGTTAAGAGGTTGAAATAAACACTTACTTTGACCATTACATTGGTGTTGAATATGTAAGAAGAGAAAAACACCCAGAAAACATCGTAGATCAATAAACCAGTCAGTAGGAGTGTGGACACTTTTAGACTGGGAAGTCGGACAAAGGCGATAAACGCTACACAAAGTCCCATTCCCATAGCTAAGATATTTGAAACAAATTATCATCTTTAGTAAATAGGTAATCTTATAGAAATATAATTTAGAACTATTATAATAAATACTTACCGTCCATTAATAGCCAATGTCCGGTCAGAACCCAAATACAAACTATGAATAATGCCATCGAAAGAGACAGTAATTCTGCTGATGTAAAACGACCACATATACCAAATGAGATTCTAGAAAAGAAAAATGTATATGAAAGTAAGTATAAATTAATACATTTTTTTTAAAAATGCAAATTTACTTGGTTCCGTCTGAGCAAGGTTTTATAATGTACTGACACATGGGTAGTAGGAGAAATGCCAAAGCAACAGTAGCAATAACTAAAAGTGGTACAAAAATGTTAAGGAATTAATACAATATGCTTTTATTAAATTAAGTTATTTAATAAAATATTTTAAGAATTTAATTACAACCTAACTTGTAAATTAATATTGGGCAATTGAAAATTCATACATGTATATTTTTCTACCTAATTTAATACACATAATAATTCATTAATGAAGTTACCTAGATAAGTTCAATATTTATTTATTTAAGTCAAATATGAATATTTACATTAACACTACATAGAAGTTTACTTAAGTTTAATTAAAGGTTGTACATAGTTAAAGAAAGAAAAAAGGCAAGTAGAACGTTATCGATAATAAAAGTGTTAGCACAATATTATCAACAGCGGACTTACTAATGTTAAAAAATGGGAAAATTTCAAAAGAGTTTTCTAATAAAAATATCAACTTTATATATAATTAATATTATTATATTTCATAATATAAAAATTATCATTGTTTCACCATAATAATCATCACACTATATGAACATGACGTACAAGGAATTATTTTTATAAATACAATTAATATCAAACATAAAAAATAAAAAAACTTACTTGCAGTACATATAGCAAATAACATTTGCATGGAATCAAAGAAAAAAAACATGACCAACAGCGATATTGATGCTCCTAACGGTAGACATAACGCTTGCATTGTATCCAAAGTTTGGACATCTACTGAATAAATAAAAGTTCATTTAACTTGTTAGTATATATTTTATACAATCTTAATTTATAAAACAATACCATCAGTTTACATGCGTAGCGTCCAGAAAATTAATTGTTAGAAATTAGATACTTTATTATTGTAAAAGGTTTTTAATAATCAAATATCAAAAAAAAATATATGTGTAATTAATTTTAACAAATTCAATAATACAAATTTTTTTTTTTTAAAAAACTAATTATTAATATCAAAATTCATGGCAAGTAATAGTATAAAATTAAAAGAATAAAAAATAAGATGTTGAATGGCAACATTATTAATAATAATTTTTTTTTAAACTTAATACAAAAGTTTTATTTTAAGAAAAGATTATATTATTGTTAAATAGTTTGCCTATTGTTTAAATAATAATTTTATTAACTATTGCCAACAAAAAGATAATCATTAATATTTTTTTTTTTTTTTAAGGTTGCAGGTGTATAAAATAATTGTATGTACATTTTATGGACACTCATTGTAAATTACTGAAATGAAATTATTTGAAAAAATGTTAACCTTGTTTTCGCTTACTAATATCTGTTATGCAAACAGAGTTTCCACTGGTATACTTTAATTTTTCTCTTTCTCTAGCTTCTTGTTCCATATTCAAAGATCTAAAATAAACAAAATACTCTATATACCCCTGACTAAAAATAAATATATTGCAAAAGTCGGAAGTAAATGTAAAAAATGTAACCTGAAACTGCCATAAACAATTAACAGAATTGATATCAAAAATGTGGAGACTCGAGATGAATCCATTATTGTATACGCCCTAAAAAATATAATTATTTATTTAATTACTTAAACACATTTTTTTTTCCTATTAAATAATAATAAAAAAATCTCACCATTGGTAATCGATTTGAGAAGCCATTTCGGGGGTAATCTTGTAGTAGTAAAGTTTTTTTCTGTAAATATCAACAATATAAACATGTTATCAGAATTTATTACTTTCATAATATTGAAAATATTAAATATTGAATCTGCATGTTATACAGAATGTTTAAAAAAAAAATGTAAACTGCATATATTTATTTTTAAAACTCTGTATATACATAGAGTAATTCATGATGAACGAGATATTATATGAAATAGACTAGTCTCTGATAGTAAGTTCTTCTACATTATATAACAGTCTCGTTGAATAATTTTATTAAAATCGCAAATATAGTTTTACAGACAGATCATTACGGTTGATTATAATAATGAGTTCAATTAAAAAATAACACACATATTAAATGTTCTCTAATAAATTTAGAACTCGAGTACTCACTTAAGCCTTAATGTCTGTTATTATAATACAACAAACTGAACGTTTTAATAATAAAATATATATTGTATGTTGTAATAATTTAATTTTTTAAGTTCAATAAAAAAAAAATAATGGATACATTATAACTACCAACAAGGTTACCAACCTAGGTAAAATTTAAAAAATAATTTTCAACATATCGTTTACAAGAAAAGAAATATCAAATAGGTAGCCTCAAATAATACATTTCACTTTCATAATGTTTGAATTCATTAATTGGTTTTTTAACATCATACAAATGAACAAATGAAAATCCATTTGATAAAATTTTTGTTTACGGTACTTACTTAGAGCAGAGAACTTAAGTTTTGGTTATAGTTTTAAGTACAATACCTAATGAATAATATTCAAAAAGGGGTAGGTACCAATTATAATTAATTTTGTTTACATATTTTCCAGAAGTAGTTTTCAGAATCCTACAGGAAATATAACATTGAAGCCATACTTATTACATAAAAAAAAAAAAAAAAAACAAACCTAAAGCCATAAAGTATCTACAAGGTTTACGTAACAATTATATTATCACCATCGAGGAACATATTTTTATTTTAAATATAGTATAATGTATTCAAAAGAAATAAAAAATTAAATACTTAGCTACTCTAATGTAACAAGTAAATCATAAAATTTGAACTAAAACTATCGAATAAAATATAACATAATGTGGAAAAGAACTTGACTTTCAAAATACTTCAAATACAAATAGGTAGTTTTAAATGATTAAATCTGTATAAAATGACCAGTATTAATGAGATTTTTTTTTAAATTATTATTAATGAATACATTATATGTTATAGAATTTATTTCATGGCATACAACTAAGTGATTTCAATTTTTTAATATTTTAACCTTTCTTGTAAAAGTTTCCAGTTTGTGAACAAATATACAACTTTTAAGTGACCCCAGAATTTCAGCAGCAAATTTATTAGCAAACGGCTAAGAAGTGAATGACCATTAACCCAATTGGCAGCTACTTTTCCAAGTGTCCTAGTATTATAAGCTTGAACAAGGCCAGATTTATTCTGGTCGTCCAGTATTAACGAGAGTATTAAGGATGTATACAATAATATAACTTAAAATCTATGAATACAACATTTTTGAAATATACAAACTCAGGACTTGTTTAAATGGATGAAAATAACATGGGCCGGTGTCTGGATGTTTACAGCATGAAATGAAACTTCATTTTTTCAATTTTTATTACCATATGATAATAATAACATGTGGTATTTAAGAAATACAAACCACATGTGCCAAGAGTAATAAATATAAATGTATATTTCTAAAATAATACAAATAAGTACTGGATAAAATGTTTACACAGTATATCTACACAAGTGGAAAACTAGTCATTTACATTATTTGTTCATTATACACTTGAACAAACATTTTATTATAGTTAAAATATAATATTTATTTTTATTCGGAATAGTAATTATAGATGCTTAAAACTATTAAAACTATCAAGAAACACAGCAGGTAAACACACAATATAAATAAATCAAATTAAATCATAAAGGAATTGTATGATAAACTATTGATTATACTGACGATTCTCTGAATGATTCAATGGTGATAATGAAATACATTATAATATTAATCTGTTACAAATGTTTAAGTATCACTTCTTTTTAAATAAGTAACAATAATTAGACAAGCTTAAAATTTAATTTAAAATGGCTAGACAAAAATGAAATTATAACTTTCAACAGACAATAGGTACCTAAGTAGTAGATACTTAAACAGGATTTTTTTTTTATGCCTTGTGAATTAATTTGATTTTCTTGGTAGGTAAGTACATTAAAAAAGATTAAGTATCTAAGTAAGTCGTCTACGTATAATGTACCTACCACCATTATGAAAAAGTTAGGTAAATGGGCAAGTCAATAAAAATATTATGTAACTATAGTTGTACGAGTAACTCCTTAGAAATAAAACCTTCTAGGTAGGTACTCAAAACCAATTACTAATAAATGAAAGTGAACTATAAATAATTTTCACCACAAATTCTGGTGGAGATACCTGCGACTATTATATTTTTTTTCTTCTAATGACTGACCTAAATATAACTAAACGACCATAGGCAATTTGTATCAGAAGAGGAGAAAATCGATTTGATTGTCAATCTTAAAAAAATATAATATAACTTATGCCTAAAACAAAAAAAGGAAAACAATAATCGGGCATTGAAATGTCTTATATCTGTGGGTCACACAAAACATCAAGATGGCATGAATATGCAATTGCTTCAAAAAGTATGGTGGAGAAACCACAGTGGTGCGTATGAAGCGACGGTCCAAGGAGCACCGACAGATCAGACGTCAGACTAACCGAATAGCAAACGAGGGTGAGCTACCGGTTAAGTATGGGTTTATAGGGGGGGGGGGGGGAAAGTTAAAATATCGAAAAACGAAAATCAATTGTTTTACATAATATTATTTCCCGAAACCCGAAAGAGGCTGCGCGGTAACAATGAGCGGGTACAGATATTAATGAATGCAATGAACGACAAAACGATCTTCAAACCAAACCTACCCCCCCGTCACCCGCCGGAAAAAAAAAGCCGAACTTCGTCGAAACACTTACTTAAGCGTCGGCCCTTAGGGGACGGTGGCCCGTCAGCGGGGCTGCGATATCACGACGATTCCACCAGCACTGTTGTCGCTGTTACGACGGCGGCGTTGAACACGGTCGGCCCATCGATTTCCATCCCGTTACGCTCCGGTTAATGGGACGAGTGGAAACGGTTTGCGGGAAAATCGGGAGCCGTTCAACATCCCGTCGTCGGCTGTCCGCGCGCGCCCGGTACCGATATCACCCGCCACGGCCGTCGGTGATGATGGCGTTTGTCACGGTCATATTAATAACAACGGCGACGGCAAATGATGAATGACGGCAACGACAACGGCGGTGATGACGATGACGGTAATCGCACTATCATGCCGCCGTCGTGCGCGAGCGACAAAGAAACGCGAACGGAATAAAAATAAACCCGAAGAACGCACGGCCGACGCGGAAATTCAACACCGACCCCGATTATTGTCGTCTGCGAAACAAAACGGATTATTAATAATATAATAATATTATTACTATTAATAATATTATTAATATTATTATTATTATTATTACTATTATCGCCGTAGTCGTCGTTCTAAAGATAATAATATTTCTCCCCCTCCCCCGTCACTTTTCTGCGGTGGCCCGTCGTCGCGTTGTCCGCGGTCCGTGGTAGTCTTTTGTGTCGTATCGCGTGCGTGCGGACGAGATGCGGAACGGGACCCCGCCAGCCGGAATATTACTGCGCGGTGCGCGGACGAACGCGCTCGTTACCGTGGAAAAACGAGAACGGGGCGATTACGCGAACGCGGCAGCGAGTCGTTTTCCGTGCGTACCGCCGCCAACAACAACGGCCGCTGTGTGTGTTTGCGTGTGTGTACACGGCGCGTGTGCGTGCGCGGAGCGGACGCTGCGTCGGCGGCCGCGCTGGGTGACGGTGGGCCGCGGCGCAGGAGAATATTACACACGGCTCCGTGTGTTATTACGCAAGTAGAGTGGGTTGTGGGTACGGCGATCACGACACTCTACTCCGGCTAGCCCGCGGTCGGGCGGCGTCGGTCCCGCGCGCGGGGGATCACGGACCGTGGGCCGCGTTATCAACGCGTTTTATTATTATTATTATTACTATTGTCGCTATTGCAGTGCGGTAACGAAAGTCCGTTGCCGGCGGGTAGATGGCGCGTTGTCCGGTCGCCGCGGCGCTCGGATGTTTTTTAAGGGGTCACGTATAGGCAACGTGTTGTAACGTTACTTTTCCCCCGTTTAAATGATAATAGAAACCCGCCGGAATATTATATTCTAATTTTTTTTTTCTTTTCTTTTAACAGTTTGGGCCAGTGGCGTCATTTGGGGGGGGGTATGGAGGGGGAACAGGCGTGGGAATTTCCCTTGGTTTTTACGGGCTGGTTAAATTTTCGGTACGTAGGGCCGCTGGAACGGCGGCTCCGCTCAGAACTCATAATCGTGGATACAGCTACATTTTTAAGAAACTTAGAAACATCAATAAAGCAGACAATTATTAATGCTAATATGCAACATTTTTACAATTTCACAGCTGCTTAATCATGAATGATATAAACGAAATGAAGTTGTAAACGTTCACCTTTTCGGTGTTGTACCAAAATCACGGCTATTGATCGTATGTTATCTACACCGTGATTGATTATTTATGAGTATTTAGTTTTGATAACAGACTATTATCGAAACATCATCGTTTAATATAACAGATTTTTTTTCATCTAAAAAAAAATATTAACTTCTAAATTTATCAGCATCTGATAATTTACAGTTCACAAATAAGCTTTACATGCACACTTTCAATTTCAAAAAGACGTCTTAGGATAATGGGGACAGATGCGTCCACTGTTATAGGTAATTTAATGTACACCTGTAAACAACGATATACCATTGCTTACGAAAAAAACGATTCTGAGCGGAGTTCAGTTGATATTGATGCGTTGTCAACAATATATACGTCATTTTACAGTAAAATAATTAAATAAGCTTATATTTAGCCTTATATATTTTTTTTTGATAATATTTGTCTAATGTTTTACCGATTTTCCCTGTTTTCCTACGTTTTCCCGGTTTTTTACATTTACTAGGAAAAGTCTTGGGAAAATTAAAAACGACCTCTTTAAATTACCTTCCTAGTGAAATTTCCTTTTAGAAACATTGTTATCAAAAAAAGTTAGAGTAAAATTGCTGGTTTAAAAGTTGTGCACAGAAAAAAAGAAGGCCGTAATATATTTTAACCAATACCTACCTTTCGTACATTTTCCAGTTTTTCTTTTTTCGGTTTTTCAAATTTAATGAGTAAACTCTTGAGAAAATCGAAAAGTGACCTGCTTTAAGTACCTTCCCACACCGATTTTCTTCCGGAAAAAGTGTTACACTTAGAAATTCGAGCAAGTCTTCTCGTATAAAAGTTGTTTACAGGTAAAAAAAAAAAAAAACCATCTTTATAAAACTATAAGCTTCTTCGTTCCACTCAGAATCTAAAATATGTAATTATCAAACATATTTAAGCAATTAGGCATGCGCATTAATATAAAAATTGTATAATAGCATAACTATAAATACTATTGATAATATATTAATACGCCGATGGGCACGCTAATGACATAGAAATCGGAATAAAATGGACTGAAATATCATGGCAGTCCATTGGTACCTATTTATTTTTATTATATTTATGCATTATCTATAGATAATTACCATTACTATAGTATCTACCAAACAGATTTTATATGTATGATAATAATTAGCATGATTAAAAATTCAAAATCCAATTATATGCACTACCTTTTTTTCCAAAAAAACCGAAAGTACCACGGAACTTCAAACAAATGCATAAAAAAAAAATTACGTCGAGGGGGGAATATGACACCCACATGTTTAAAGTACTCATCATTATTATTATTATTATTATTATCGTCATTATTTTTATTATGATTGTTGTTGGTTATTTTATAAAAATGCTGATTTGTTGATGAAAATTATTATGATTGATGGTCGTTATAGTTATGCCGATTATTATAATTATTATTGTTGATTTAAATTACTAAAATTACTGATGATAATTATGATGCTGATGTGATTATGATTTTTAAAGTGTTCGTCATCATTATTATTATTATTATTTTAGATTCGAGTGAATCGAAAAATATATTGGTTATACAGAAATTTGTATTATTTTTTTTTTTTTTATGTGATCACTTTTTTTACCGGAAAGCTTACTCTGATTTATACGAAGTAGATTCTTTTTTTGAAAGGAAACTTTTTCTTGGTGGTACTTTAAAGAGGTAATTTTTCGATTTTTCCAGTAGTTTTCTCAACAAATGTGAAAAACTTTCACAGGAAAAAAAAATCCGTTATATTTTATTACAATACTTTCGTACATTTTCCCGGAGTTCAGTGAATAGTGTTGCCTTGTCAACAATATAAATGTACACACACATATATATACCTCCACAGTCCGATTTCCTTTCAGAAAACGTGCTATACACAAAAATCGGAGCAAGATCTCTGGTAGAAAAGTTGTTCGCAGAAAAAAAAAGAATAAAATAAACATTTTTGTTAAAACCATAAGGTTCTTCGCTCCGCTCAGAATCTAAAATGCTAACATTCTCGTAAATAATAATTAAACATTTATCAATCGTATATATCTACCAAAAATGTAAAGTATACAATGCAGTATAAAAGTGTACTACTTTTTTTTTTCATTGAGTGGGCAGGGGCCCTCGGAATCAGGGAATCTTGTGCTTGTGCACCGTATCGGTATAGAAAGTATACAATCAACTACCATATTGTGCTAACTAACAGCAGTATCATATTATAAATATTATGGTTGTAAATTATTATAACTATATCGAATTCGGAATATAGAAAAAGATATTTTATATATTACAAAAACTTTATTTTACACTAATGTCAATGAAACAAAATTATTAAAAAACTACTGGCTCCCACCCTCGTGGCTCCCCATCACTGGTTATTGACGAATTAAAAATTTAATTGCAGGAAGTCGGGGAATAATATTACAAAATATAAAGTATAACTAATATGGTGGTACGGTAATTTTTTTTTTATCATACGGAAGACGGCATATTCGTATCGATTGTATTAATTGTGTTTGAATACAAACGTGTGTGTACATATGTATAAATATAAATTTGTTTTTTATTAAATCATGTGACTACGTCGTATACGTTTCGAACGTTTTTTAATCGTTTTATTCGGTAATGACGATGACGATGAATCGTATGCACGATCTTAATGGAAAATGGATGTTTACACTATTATTGCCAGTCACCAACAAGCAATCCATCTCGATGTTTACACGGGAAATTTCTACGATTATTTCTTTGAGGTATGGCCACTGGGTGGTTGGTGGTTAGATAAAAGTTAGCATTGCCCGAAGTCAACAATTTTGGCGGGAGGTGGGGGGAGGGGCGGAGAGGTTGGAATCGCATAAATCAAATTTACTTATTGTACATAACGTACACTATACACAGAGTGAGTTTTCTGATTCGGGGGGTTGAACCCACGTGACTCCTCCTCCTTCACGAGTAAACATTCGCCCCGGGGCGCGAAACGCCGCGAAAATTTGTGCCTGACGTGTACATTTTTTTTTTTAAATTTCGTTGCGTGGGCCGGCTGCCACCCATCTGCCATCGCCCGCTTATGCTGTTCGGCGTTCCGAATACGTTCGCCGGCGAATTATCATACGTGGTCGAGTCCGGAGCGCGCGCCACGAACCGCGATGATAACACAACAATTGATTATAGCGCAGTGAAAATCTGCGTCCTTCCGCCGCCGCCTGGCGGATAAAAAGCGCTAAAACTCGTGACGATGGTCCGTACGCTCAATTAACGGGACGAATTAGGCACGTACCTACCTGATTTACCTACCATTATAATACCGTTACGGCGGCACGTACATTCGGCGACCGTATAGCCTTTACGCCGGTAATATAATAATATCGTTAAATCGCGGCTCCGGCGAATAGAAAAAAAAAATGTTTTTTGTTTTTTTGTTTTTTTTTCTAAGCTAATACGATTCTGTATAACACGCTACACGTACACACATTGTTAATATTGTTTTCCGCGTGCGGCACACAACCGGGGTGCCGACCCCAGCTCCCCTCCCTCCATCCCGCGCCACCAACCGAACAGTTTAAAAACGGTTGTTTTCTCGCCATGGAAAACCACGGCGATGGCGGGTCACTGCAGTCGCACAGAAAAGTAGCGCTGATTACCGGAATCAACGGCCAGGTACGACAATAGCATTCGTATTCGCATAGTGAAATTATGTACACCAGTGGCGTAGCCAGCGAGTAGGCCTGGTAGGCCCGGGCACTTTTATTCGAAAATGAACACGATTTTAAAATTTAAATTTCGTATCGGCAATCTTTCCTGTTAAAACGTTTATATTATTTGATCTGGCCGACCCGGGAAAATATTTCTAGCTACGTCTCTGATGTACACCCGTGACAATTTTCGTGTCTCGATTTATTCGAATCTGGGCGTAATAGAGTTAAAAATTTAAGTTGCAAAATAGTTACCTATACTATTTTTGGTATTTCCTCTTCTTGAAAAATTGTTTTCAGAAATACGCCAACCTGATTATAGTGAAAAAGCCTTGTATCGTTAAGGCAATATACAAATTATAATTTATAAAATAACAATAAATTCGGAAAACCGTCACCGATCCCGTTATACGCGTATTTTGCCATTTAATTGAAAAATAAGTTACGTCAATTACTTATTTGGACATGCATAAGCTGGACGTGTGCAATATAGTTGATATTCGGTGCTGTTTTCCGTTACCGCGGACACTGAATAAGATCCCTGAATGAAAAAGCACATCGCAGATTTCGAACTTTGGGGGGCTCGATTATCTCAAAAAAAATGTGATGAGCAGCAAAAAGAAAGAGCTGATATTGGAGACGGGTGCAGCCACTGTTGTAGTTGGAAGCATGCGATACATAAAGTTATTAAATGTATACCTGTGTCCAACGATAAATCATTGCTAACAACTAAATTTTTGGATATTTTTTTTTGGGAGGAAGGAGCTCAGAACCCCTAGCCTCCTCGTTATTTGTGTATTGCATAGAGCACCTCCAAACAAATTCAAATTTAAAATAAGGTCTTGAAACCAAGGACCAAGGACCCCATAAATTATTAAGGAGAAGGGACAACCTGCAGGAAAATTCCGATTTCCCAAAAAGCGTAACCGCCATTAGACGTATTAGAACCTATGGGATGGTTGTCTATGGAATTCGATGAATACATAATACGTTTACATATGAATGGTAGGATAATTTATGGTAGGGTTAACAACTTTTACCTTAACTTAAGGAGTTAAATTATTATTTTTCCTATGAAAATTCGCAACTTAACTTAGTTAATACTCAAGATCATCATTTTAAAATTAACTATAACATAGGTAGCTCAGTTATAAGTAATATTATTATTTTTAAATTCTGAGGTCATCGAGGAATGTATTGTCTTTCCATCATGATACGATATTTTTATTTTATTTTATTTTACTCTTTTTTGTGTCTGTGAACATCTTTTCTACGATAAATCTTGCTCTGATTATCGAATGCAACGTTTTTTTTTTAATCGAACTGTACCTGTTTAGTGGTAATTTTTTAATTTTCCTTTTAGTTTCTTTAACAATTGGCAAAACTCAAGGAAAAATATCAACGACAGTAATAACAGTTTAATTATTTTAAAATTGGTTTTTTTATAGACGTGATAAATGTTCAGAGTATAATGGACAAAATTGTAGTATTTATAAACATTTAATTTTACTGAGGTTTATTAGTTTTTATTTGTTTTTGTATGTCTAAAATTGTTTTGGCTGAGCAGAAATGTTTGAACATTTTATGCGATATTAATCAAAAATTGAACTTAGAGGTCAAAAATAAAGTTGAGCGTAATGTAGTAGTTTTATTTTAAAGCTTTCTTAAGTTTAAAATATGTCGAAAAACGTAAAAACCCCGGTACCTATTTCAAAACATGATTAACCAAACTTCGCTCAGAATCGTTTTTCGTTAGCAATAATTTATCGTTTCGTACAAATATAAATTAAATAACTCTATATATTCTACCTTTGTTAATATTATATTTTCAGGTCGGATCTTATCTGGCCGAATTCTTACTCGGCAAAGGATACGAAGTGCACGGTATCATACGACGTTCGAGCACGTTCAACACGAACCGCATCGATCGCGATGTCCAACCGTTATCGTATTTGCACACTGATAGCAAATTTAAACTCCATTACGGTGACATGACCGACAGCAGCTGTCTGGTAATGATTATCGGCACCGTGAAACCTACGGAAATTTATAATTTGGCAGCTCAGAGCCACGTAAAGGTAAGGAAACGTCGGTTAGAACCAAGAAGTTTCTATTAAAGTTTATATGAGAGACTAAAATTCAATCAAAAATTGTTATTTTGAGTTTGAAATTTGGACTCCATATTAGTACTCATGTACTCTATAGGATATGGCTATTAAAATGTTAAAATATTTTGAACGTTCAGTTAAGTCTTATAAAGTTAAAGGTATTATACGATTAAGGTAAACGTCCCACAAATGCTATTCAATTAATATAACTATAGCAGTAGGTACTTTTAAATAATAAAACAAAATAATAATTGTACATTATCAAAAAAGAAAACAAAATGCTTGCAAGTGAAAATATTTATTGTTATCAATAAAATGTATAAACATTAACTTGTTTGTATGTATATTCTGTACATATACATAAGATACAGTTATGCGTACCCAAATTTTCCCCAATCAGGTTTATCCCATTATACCCCGACACGTATACTTCATTACAGCAGTTGTTGATAAATACCACAAATAGTAGTGAAAATTCTCAAAATGTTAAACATTGAAAGTATTCAAATAAAGTTAAGAACATTAATCACACAGCGTGAAAATAAAATTTAAGATACCGTAAACAAAATATAACACACACTGACGCATTTAAAAGTGATATAACTATTTATGATATCAAGCAACTAATAAGAGGAGCGCTTGTGAGTATTGTAATGATTTTAACCGAAAATGACATTTTTTATCACCTGTTACCTCGAGACTAAAGATCTTATATATTTAATAGTAATTTGTTTTCAGTCACGGCCTTGCCTTGAACCAAAATTTGTTTATCTTGTTAAACTCACGTTGTTAAGTTTTTCCATATCTATTAAGATATTATCTCTGTTTTTTTTTTTTTGTAAATTAATAACATTTAGAAATATCATATTATATTGGAATTGTTCTAGATTTCGTTCGATCTAAGCGAATACACGGCCGAAGTGACCGGAATCGGAACTCTCAGATTACTAGACGCCATCAGAACGTGTGGGCTGGAAAACAGCGTACGTTTTTATCAGGCGTCCACGTCCGACATGTACGGGAATGTCGTCGAAATACCTCAGAACGAAACCACTCCGTTCTACCCCAAATCTCCATTCGGTACGATACTTTTTTTTTCTCCCGTTTTGGATTATGGCGATGTTCGTACAGCACGAAAACAATGCGTCTTGACGATTTATAATCGTGTGCAATTATAATAAAATATACGATTAACAAATTTCGTTCATTTTGAATTTGTTTGCATAATATACAGGATGTGCTAAATTATACGCTTATTGGATCGTAATCAACTACCGGGAAGCGTACGACATGTACGCTTGCAACGGGATTCTGTTCAATCACGAAAGTCCGAGAAGAGGCGAAGACTTCGTGACGCGAAAAATCACCAGGTCAGTCGCGAGAATAGCAACCGGCTCGTTGGACTGTATAGAATTGGGAAATTTGGACTCGAAACGAGATTGGGGGCACGCCGGAGATTATGTCGAAGTATAATATTATATGGGAAATAATATGTTTTTTTTAATAATTTTAACGTTAAACTTTGCACGGGTATTTTATTGTAAAGGCAATGTGGTTGATGTTACAACAAGACAGACCGCAAGACTTTGTGATAGCCACCGGCGAAACGCATAGCGTCCGAGAGTTTGTCGAAAAAGCGTTCGAGTGCGTCGGGAAAACGATCGTTTGGGAAGGAAACGGACTGAACGAAGTGGGCAAGGAAAAGAACACTGATATCGTACGCGTCAGAATAAGCGCCAAGTTATTAAGACTAATCGACGTCGTAAGTACATATTATGTTTAGTGTTGTACAAACATATAAATCATATAATATCTAGATAAAGATAAATGATAATTGATTGAATATTTTATGCAGATGATGATATCAATTACCCGAAAATTTATTCATCTAGATGAAAATAAATGGTTAGCATTTTTTTTTTTTTTTCATCTAGATAAAGAAATAATCATTTTGTTAAAATACTTATCATAAAACTAAGTTCCAGAAGTATTAAAAGTATGACGGATTTGATACACATCGGAATTTCAAAACGGTTATAAGTGGTCTTTAAACAGTATTAATATGAATTTATTTAATTGTTCACCTATCTTTAATAAATAAATAAATTACAATTCAAAATTTACATTATCTAAGTTTATCTAGACGGTTCGATTATTGATATCAGATAACGGCTATTTTATTTCCTATTTATCTAGATAAAATAAAAGATAAAAAGATACCTATCTAGATAAAAAACAACATTGCAATTTTATGAGATTACCCATTTTGCAACATAAGATGTTTTTTTTTTTTCAGTATTTTATGTGCATCGTAAAATATTGAATTTGCGTAGTAAAAAATATTGTACGTTGTTGAATACAACACGTATAACACAGTGTGTTACAATATAATTTGTCAACAATTTTGAACAGTCACTTTGAAAACTTTCAGGATCTTTTGTTGGGCGATGCTGCCAAAGCGAAAACCATACTTGGATGGTTGCCTAAAGTGAAATTTGAAGTAAACATCGATGTTTTAAAACACAGATACATTATGCACATCATAAACATTTAATATACTCGTTTATACAGGGTGAATTTTTTTTATCACAAACCAATAATTTTCTCTGAGGATTTTAAGTGAATTTTATTTCTGTTTTTCTAATCATTATGGGATCGTTTAAGCTTTATTTTAAAACCATTTTTAATTTCTTACCCTTATTCCATGTGTCTCAAATAAGTACATACTTTTGATTTTCAAATAGGGAAGGGTAATAAATCGCTTTAAACTGTTATAATTCATAAACGGTAAATCTGATATTGGTGTTATGCATATCAAAATTTCTAGAAAAATAGTCCCTATTCAAATCTGTGTTCAAAAGGGGTGGGGAATTCCTATTTGAAAATCAAAAGTATGTACTTAATTAAGGTATATTTTTTACCCCCACTCCATAGTGGGGGTAAAAAATTAAAAACGGTTTTAAAATTAAGCTGAAACGATTCCACAATGATTGGAAAAAATAGAAATCAAATTCACTTAAAATCCTCCGGGATAATTTCCGGTTCGTGATAAAAAAAAAATCACCCTGTATACATTTTTAATGTGTTTTTCAGGAACTTGTTCGCGAAATGGTGGAAGCCGATCTAAAGCTCGAACAGAAAATTCTGCTTGTTCAAACTCGCGACTGCGCGCATACTAACATTTAATTATACATTATACTTACCATATTATTATAACATTAATTATAGCTGTTCTTTTCTGTTTTTATCACATTCTATTTATGAAAATATTACAATATTATGAGAGATAACCAAATAATATTATTCCTACATTCGAAACGAAACATAAAACCGCAGTCAGTATAAATTTAATCCACATCGCATAGTATAATACAATACGGTAGTACGTTATAAATTATAACATTATAGTTAACCAATGGCTTGCACTTTCCGCCCGTCCGTTTTCCGCTCTTCGTCTTTTTCGTGCTTTTTCCGCTCGCTGTCGTGGTCTTTACTCGCTGAAATTATAATATAAAGTCAATCATCCGCTCAAAATTTAGAATTTAAAATTAATGTGTATAAATGTATATTTAATTTATTAAAATATTGTATTACAAGTACGTAATAATTGTCAATTTATTTTTATACCACAACCTACGAGTACATTAGACAAATTGTTTATAATTGTCAACTAACTAAACTCATATTTGAAAATCTAATTTAATTTTCGAACAGACCGTTAATTTACTTACCGTTTTTTTTTTTTTTTTTTTTTAAATTAAAAGTAATTAAAAATTATTGTTTTTTAATTTTTTACGTATCTTAATTGATGGCGTTTGGAATACACATATTATGTTCTACGGTGGACCGTTTCCTTTTTATATTTGTTCATGCTTCGTAGAAATAGACCATGGTTTACATTTAGATGTTTCGAAAAATAATAATTCATACATTATAAAAAAATTCGAACGTAACGCAACAAAAATCAAAACACTACTAACAGTGAACAATAATAATAATATGGTTATTGGTTAACCTGTATTGATCTATTGTTTACATTAGGTATATAATTATGATGGGAAATCCACGCTTAAAAAAAATGACGTTTAAACGTCATTTTATAATGTATCATTTTTCCAGAAATCAAATCTCAGATTAATATCGAAACTATAGTAAGTTGACAGTTGTATACAATTTATGGCTTTCGATTTTGAGCGGATATTTGATCTTTTGTTACAATTTCAGTGGGTAAAAATTACGATGACGAGCGGCAATAGCACGGAAAAGGCGCAGAAGAGCGAAAAGTACACGGCGCCAGTTATAACCACAAGGTTTGCGGTAGGAACTGTTACTCCGAAATTTTAAGCAGTGGTAGTAGCGGTGGCTTAAAAATATCATTAACTGAAACAATATAAAACAATCAATTATTGTATACATTTTATAGTCACAGAAGATATAGCAAAAAATCTAGTGCTAATTTAATGCGATTTGACGGGTGGTTGGGTGGGTGATAGTTCAGTTGCGAAACGAACGGGTCTTCGGGAAGCGGTCGCTTCTAAATTTTGTTTTAAGATCCAGTGGTAGGCGAGGACTCTAGATGAAAATAACTGAACACTGGCGAGTGGAAATCAATTTGTGATTTGCAGGCGCGCCACTGTTCGATTGGGTTCACAATTTTGTTTGTCTATGTAGTCCCGTTTTAGATTCTGAGTGCAGGAGCGAAGTGATGGCGGGTATGTTATTGCGGTGGGTACACGGTAAACGGGAGATGAACACATTTGAATAAAATACGAGACGGTTCTGCTATTTTCGACGGACCTTTCAGCTAATAGCCAATGGGCGCCCACTGAAATAATTGTTTTGTCTAATTAATATCGAATAACACACATTATACACTCCCTGTGGTCGACCTTGTGGAGGATGACGAGGACGGGTCACCCGGGATCGTATACGGATTAATTGCGGTTAATTCTAGGTATGATGGGGAGGTGAGGGGAAAGAATATAACCAGTGTACATTATTTGATTCCATATATAAATACAGTATAGTATAATAATAACGAATAGATGTACGCGAGAACGATGACGAATGCGCCGGGCGGTTTTAATTCGTTTTTATTAGATAGACCTACGCTTATTTGTTTTGCTGCACATATTTTTATTGCTTATTTTTTTTTTTTTTTTTTTTTAAGTACCATACCCATACCGTATACCTAATTATGTTCATGACAAAGGGTGAAAGGATAGAAAGATAATTTATGGAATAACACGCGAGCCGTTTAATCGATTTTAACAACTGCATAAACATTACGCGACATAGGTATAGGTACGTAATATTTTACGTTTTATTAATCGATTTAAGTGCATATAGTACGTATGCCGGTAAAAAAAAAAAAAAAAAAACCAACAATAATTTTACTAAAATCGTACATGGAGTTTATATTTGTATAGGACTCGGTTCCGTATATAATATAATTTGATTTGAGTTGCTATGCAAAAAAAAAAATAACACCGGTGAGCTACAGAACTCTGTTATTAGAGTCGAATTTTGTTCAATCTATTTTTTAGTACAGCAACAGTCTTTGTAAAACAATAAATACGTAACCGAATACTATAATAATACAACACTAAATACAATACTAAATACATTACTACTTTCAGAAAAATAAAAACTGGTGAAATTTGATTACAAGTTTAAAACCCTAAGCAGGCACGTAGTTAGTATTTTTTTTTTTTTGTGGGGAGGAAGACCTAAGCATAAAATTTATCACTAACTACCATTAATTGTCCGGAGAAAATAAAAATTAAATATTATGGGCATGTACTATTTGAATTTTAGGTGAGAAGCTTAAGGCTGGGAGAGGGATGTCCAGACCCCACGGAACCCCCTGGTTACGGTCTACCCTCAAGAGGCATATTAGTATTGATACTAACACCATGCATAAACAAAATTTTATCGGCCTGTCTTTATTTGAGGCGCCTGTAGGGGTACACAAAACTAAACAATTTTATTTTCATATTTTTCAACAAAGTGGTTAAATTTCTATTGAAATTACACCAACTTTTATTGCTCCTATCCGCAGGACAAATCTAATTCCGGAATTTAAGCTAATTTTATCCATAAAGAGCCGCAATAAATGTCCTAAAATAGCGGGAATATGTTATAATATGTATATTCTATTGTATTTATAACAAACACAATACAGTACAATAATAGTCTTTTATTTTCGGAGAAAATTCGACGAAAAATATAATTTGTATCAGAAATGTTTTTTTTTTTTACAAATATTTGAAACTACGCTATCTAGTTAGATTCTTCAGAAACTACGTTTAAATATTGCATTAATACGCAGCAGGCAGTGTATAGTGTTTTAGTTGGTCAACAGATGGCAGTATAAATATGAAAATCGTGTTTTTACTTTTAATTACAAAAATATTAGTTCGTGAAATCGGTCATCGGTGTCCAACACCACGACTCGTCCGCCTAACATTTTGAAAATTCGGACGAAATTAAAACAGCTCTGGACACCGGAAAACAAGGTTATAATGGCGGGAACAGTGATGACGATGCGGACTTACATTGTGCCCTCTTAAAGCAGTTCGCATAAACATTTAATGTTTAATGTTAAACCCATTCTAAAATGTTACTTACTTTCAATAAATGGCCAATCCAACATCCGCAGAAATACTTAAATCGTCACAAGTCGTACTCACATATTGAAAATACGTACGCAATAGTCGACATTTTTTCAAATGTTTTATTTTAAATTTTAATTTAAAAATTTTAAATTTTAAAATTTTATTCACAAATAGCGTTTGAACGTTCGACGCGGAAATTTCGACGAAAATCGTAAAAATTTCGCGTGCTGCTATTGCACACACGCGTATACGTTCTCATACATCTAATCGCCCGCCCTCCATTCTGTGTCCTACGTTCCCGACTTCCGTCCGCGCGAACGGCGCGTGCCGCGCCCGTCCCCGTTGTCCCGCCGCGGCTTTTGTCATGCCGGCTTCCGGCTGCCGCGCGGGTTTCGAGTCCCCCGCAACGGACAGTCGGGAACGATCGAGTCTTTCGTCTCGCGCGGCGCGATGTTTTTCCGCCGTTTATTTCCGCGTCCGCGGACCCGACGGTTTTGACATCTCGCGGTGTCGCCGTCGTCGTCGGACGGTCCGGCGGGGGCGCGGGTTACGCTCGGTGCCCGCCGAACACACGCGCGCCGCAATTACGTACACCACCCGCCCCGCGCATTCCGTACGCGCCCGCCCGCCCGGCCCGCGCCGCGGCTATTATTCTATACGCTGCCGAGTGGTTTTCCCGCCCGCGCGACAAAACGGAACGCGTGTACCCGCCGCGCGCACGACGAACACCCGGCGCACGGGCGCCCGCCGACGTTAATAATTTTTTCGTGCGCGCGCGCCGGGAACGCATCACCCGACCGCGATAATAATAATAATAATAATTCTAATTGCTGTTAAAACAACGTGACCCCCGAATTCTCTCACGGTGTTCTTCTGTCTTCTCGTCTCCGGCTTAACGATACGAATATATATTACCGCGGTCGGCGGTGGGCGTGTTCTCGCCCTTATGTCCGTACAAACGCGTATTAATCGGAAACCGAAAAAAAAAATAATAATAATAAAAACGGCACGAAAACAATAGGCCGGCAGGCCGGGTTTGATTTTTTTTTTTTTTCGTTTTTCCTTCTATCGTTACAATACGCGTTATTGGTGTACGGGATATTCCACCGGTCCGCGGCCCGGGGGGGTCACGACGACTCGAGAGCCCGGAAAAATAATCACGCAACATTAAACGGGCGGGTAACGCCGTACTACACGCGCTGCCCGCCTGCTCAAATTTGATTTGTCGATCCGTCCGCGATCGTTATCTAAACGCTGCGTTATGGATATTATTGTGCGCGCCCATGAACGACCGTCGGGTATCTGTTAAGAGGACGCCGCACCCGCGAGCGATGCCGTCACTCCTTCCTCGTACACAAACGTGTAGCGGAACCTGCGTTGAACGGAATCGGTTTCGGGACGTTGGATTTTCGATACGAGAGCCAACTCGAATTCAAAGGCGCGGACATTATCCGCGCAACCGCGCAGTGGCGTGTTGAAGCGGCATGGGGAGGGGTCGGCGACGGGGGTCGATCCCCACCCCTCCCCGGGCGCCGGATTCTGAGTCCCCGGCAGGGGCGCCGTCGCCAGGGATTCAATCGTTTTCAAAGCGGAGCGATACTAAAATAATCAATTTTTTTAATATTTTGTTTTAT